TACCCCCCCCCATGTAAACACCATTAATGATGGTCTTATATATTTGCTTCCTTTTTTCAAAAAAAGTCTATACTTTCGTATACATAAGAAAATTAGAATGAATGAGTCAATATTATGGAGACATGTGTTATAAGGTAGATTCAGGACCTCCAAGGAACAAGAAATAACGCGTACCACATGCTGTCTTTTACACCCTGGGGGAACATTTTTGATCACTGAACCATGAAAATTTAATGTCCACTCTACTGTCTTCAAGTCTCTATACCTATATATACGGTTACTTGGGGCGGAAGTGCGAATGTGTGCCAATTTACCCCAGGCTATCCTAATTCAATATTTTCCTTCTCGACTGAATTGCGCGCTCAACGGTTATAAAATTTAAAGAGCGGAAATGCAAGCCAAGCGGAAGTTAATATTTCGAGAGAAAGAAAGAGAGAGAGAGAAAAAAAATTAGTAATCTTTTTAGAAAATTTCATATTAACGAGAATATTATTACACTAAAACGAATTTTTTCAACCTAATATGAGAAATATTATATCTAAAGGAATAAAACAATTTAGCAAAAAAAAAAAAGAAGGTCCAAATATAGAAAGCATAATTTACGCTAATGACTAAATATTACACTAAAAATTATTTAAAATACATTTAAAAGTAAATTACAATTTGAGAAGGGAAAATTTATTCTCTTTTGTAAAAAAAAGGCGCCTCTCATTAAAAGCTTTTTTCCCTAATAGAATAACTATTTTAAAAAAAAATTATTTTCTTTATAGACATTAAAAAATTAAAAAACAATTTTCGTAAATTTATTTAAATGTCCCTTTTTCTCTTTTTTTCCAGAAAATATCAGAAATTCACATATTTTATTTTATAAAAAGTAGAAAAAAAATATTTTTTAAATAAAAAAAAAATTATTTATCTCAAGTAATCAGTTACTTGACTATTATTTGAAACAAATACATATCAAATAATAATTATTTAATATAAATAAATATTTATTTAATAATAGTCCAGTAATAAATTATTTGAATCAAATAAATTTTTTTTTTTTATAAAAAATAGTTTAAATTTCTGACAGTGAAAATATAATATAAAAAACAGTTTCTATTTGACATTTTACTTAATCAATAAGTCATTGAGACTCTATAAACATCCCCCGGATGGAAGTGAACGCAAATAAGATAAATTAGTTTGATAGAGAGTTATAGAAATTCAGTTGTTTTAGCGTAGGAGAAAAACCTCGTAAACATGCATAATATATAGGCGTATATGATAGACAATTTGTTGTATAGTTTTCATCAGATTGTATATCATCTCAGGGAGATTTATGATTTTTCATTAAACAAACTAATTTTATATTCGCGAATGAAAATTAAATTTTTCCTATGTAACAAATATCAAACAAAAAAAACAATTTCACCAAATTTTTCCCTACACTGAAAAAAAATTTATTTGATCCAAATACTGGTGTATTTGGTTATTATCAAATAAATATTTACTTAAATCAAATATTTCTTATTTGAATTGAATAAATGGTATTTGCTTCAAATTAATTTCAAATACTGGTGTATTTGGTTATTATCAAATAAATATTTAATTAAATCAAATATTTCTTATTTGAATTGAATAAATGGTATTTGCTTCAAATACTGAAATATTTGATTCAAGTAAATATTTATTTGATAATAACCAAATACATCGGTATTTGAATCAAATACATTTTTTTCAGTGTATCATTTTAAATCTAAAATAAAAAAAAAATTTATTTTGATAAATAAATTTAAAATAGAATTTTGAAATAATAATTTAAAATTGTAATAAATAAATTAGTTTTCAATATAAAATGCAATTTATGTGTGGAAGAAAAATTGCGTTTTTCCTCTCATTTATTGATAGTTATTTGTCACTGATGTAATCCGAAGAGGCAGGAAATGTCAGTGATATATTTTATTTTATGTTATACACGCGTTATCGAGTGTTTAAAAAACGGCTTCTGACAGGAAGAATAAGACAACGCCTTGCTCACCAGCAATTACGAGTAGTTGTATATAGTAAATTTTATTGTTCGCCATTCAAAAGACCGGCTCCACGACCCACGACATGTTTCTATATACATATTATATATACATGTTGGAACCGTTGGAACCAATTATAAATTCTTATCATTTACCACGTATGCGAAAGCAAAACACAATTTTATCTATTGTCAGTATTCATCAACTTATTACAATTGCTTTCTTCATTAAAACCGCATGTAATGCGCGTGTGCCATTTCTATAAATTATTTTTGAAATAAATATTTCTATCAAAAAAATTTTAATATAATTTAATTTTTAGATGTTCATTCAAGGACCTGTTGGCTAAAATTCAAAAAGAAAACTATCGATTACACTCAACTCAACAAAGAAATACGAGTAGGATAAAACAAGTTATAATGTTATTCCCACGCTGGGATGCTACCAACGACTTTCGCTATTATTCAACTCTGATATCTATTACGAAACTGATGTTATAGGCTCGCATCTCTGAGATATTTTCCATATAGAAGTGAATGAATTTTTCCAATTATTATATAACATAATCCCTAAGAAATTTTCCATTTCACGGGAGATTTTCATTCAAAATTTTTTTTTCCCCGAAACATTTTTTTCGAAATCTATATGAAAAATAAGGATATAGGTATTTTTTTATTTGATAAAAATGAAGGAAGTTATGATTTTTTGAAATTTAACGTCAACGATGGAAGTGTGTTTTCGGGACATTTTTTAATCTATTGTACTAATAAATTAAAAATTATGCTATATATGAAATTTGTTCATTTTTTTCATTTTTTCTTAAATTTTTCAAATATCTGCTCAAAAATAACGTATCTATAAGAGAAGTAACAAAAAAGTTGAAATTAAACTCAAAAAGTGAGTTTTCTCTAAAGAGACACTTTCGATTTTTATTTATTATTTTTTTTTTTGCATTGCAATCTCTGATGACTAAAGAATTTTTTCCCCTATCTGCGAAAGTGGTACTTTTAGTTTTTAAATTATTATTTTTAATTTTCTTAGTACGGCTCACAGAATTTAAGCAGTTATTTTACAAATACAACCTTTTTTCGCTTTTTCCATTATTGTTCATTTGTTTTTTTTAATTTTAATTTTTTTTAAAAATCTTTGCGTCGAGCTTAAAAATTGTAAATAGTAATTTAAAAACTAAAAGTACCACTTTCGCAGATAGGGGAAAAAATTCTTCAGTCATCAGAGATTGTAATGCAAAAAAATTAAAAATCGAAAATGTCTCTTTTGAGAAAACTCACTTTTTAAGTTTAATTTCAACTTTTTTGTTATACTTCTCTTATAGGTACGTTATTTTTGAGCAGATATTTGAAAAATTTAAGAAAAAATGAACAAATTTCATATATAGCATAATTTTTAATTTATTAGTACAATAGATTAAAAAATGTCCCAAAAACAAACATCCATCGTTGACGTTAATTTTCAAAAAAATCATAATTTCCTTCATTTTTATCAAATAAAAAAATACGTATATGGGTCAGAATTTCTCAAACGGATCACCTAAAATTCAGAAATTTTTTTTTTTTTAATCAAAAATCATTTCTTTTGACTCCTTACATGGTAAAAATAAGTCCCTGAAATTTTTAGGTCAAAAAAAAATTTTTTGTTAAAGTTATAGACAATTGAAATTTATTGCAGTCTTATTTAAAAAAAATTTTTTCTCGAGTTCCTGTTCACCAATTTAAAAAAAAGGGTTTTTCTCGTCTTAAAATGTAGTTTCTAAATATAATTTTTATTTTGAAAAAAGTTCATATTTAATAGATTTTTATATTATTTATTTATAAAATGTTATTAAAAAATAGTGTTCTTGATGTCCTACAGAAAATTAAATTATTTTTTTTGAATTCCCCACACAATTTTGTATAAGAAACCGTTGAGAAAAAAAATGAGACTAAAAAAAAAATTTCTGAATTTTAGGTGATCCGTTTGAGAAATTCTGACCTATATCCTTATTTTTCATATAGATTTCGAAAAAAATGTTTCGGGGAAAAAAAAATTTTGAATGAAAATCTCCCGTGGAATGCCCCATATCAAATCACGAGAAGAATTATATTTACGAATTTTAGAAAAAATCGATATTTTCTATTACAAATAAAAAGAAATTGAATTTAAAAGAACCTTTTCTTTCTCATCCAAAATGATGATTTTTCTATTATAGTGAAATTTATTAGTTATATATATATATAGTCAAAAAGGAGTAGTCAAATGTATATAATATATACGATTCATTTCGAAGAAGACTAAATTATTACTGGTGGTGAAAGTATTTGGTATGGGACCATCAATATTATAACACCTGTCAACTTAACTATACTGTCACCTGCAACGATCTCTGCGGGGGGTTAACACTGAAAAGGGTATGCTTAAAAGTATTACTGGTAAAAGTATTTTTCTTCTATACAACAACCTGCTTCAACTAGAATTTTAGGACAATTGAGCTTAACGTACAATTCGGTATAAATTATACACTATACGCAGTCCCGTCTGTCACAATTTGACAAATGCATTATTTTACACACAAGGCCACCATTCCAAAAAAGGGGGTTCAATATATCTATATATATATATACAATACGAAATTAAAATTTATATGAAATTTGTTCATATAGAGATTTATTATAAAAAAATATCTACTTTCCTTCTGTTAGTCATTAATCAATAGAAATATTTTTTTTTACATCAAAAAATAATAAACGACTACAAAATCGATATTATTTATTTTACTGCAATATTTTCGATTTAGTGACTAATTTAGTGACCATAACGATTATTTGTTGTCGAGTGAAAAATTGTAACAATTATAAATTGTTTTAGTCTAATTTAAATTGTTTTACCATAAGTAAAAAATATTTTAAAATCAAATAAAAACGGGAAAAAATTTTTCTAAGATAATTAAAAAAAAAAGAATATTTTAGAAAAAAATAAAAAAATTATGTTTACTTTATAGACTGAAGACTAGATCCATTGGAGTTAAAGCAGCTGGAGTCACATTTGTAACGAAAAAGAGGCATGTCACAGTATCCACAATCAATTTTCTAAAACAAAATGATTCATTATAAAAATAGTAATTTAATTTTGTTTTAATTATTATTTTTTTTTTTTTTTGATAAATTAATAAAGTTCAAACCGGTGGAGAAGGTTGATAGCAAGTGCACGGTTGCGGATAGCAGCATCCAACTCCAGTTGGTCCTGGACCAAATCCAATTGTAATTTGCGGTAGCACAGACCAAGGAAAACAGTTACATCCGGCTGTAAATTAAAATTTTTATATTATTACAATGAAATGAAATTAATATAAAATATAATTAAAAAACACGAGTTTGAGATTTTTTATTTATAATTAAAATTAAAAACATCATTTTTATCTCTTGGAATAAAATGAACAATTAATTGAATAATTATATAAAAAATAATAAAAGCAAAAAAATTCCTTACGGCATCGACAGTTGGAATTTTCGGATCCAGGTTGATTTGTAATAATATTATTTATAGTAATTTTGGAATCATCATGAGAGTCATCATTATTTTCAGATCCAGAAGTTCCAGTTGATTTTGTATTATTATTATTATCACAGTTTGTTGAATTAAGAAGTCCAATTGTAATATTAAGATTAGTGGTGATATTTGGGATTTTAGAATTTTCCAGGACTTCATTACATTTTCCTCCAGAGCATTCATATTCTGTTTCTGTGACTTTGGAATATGTTTCAGTTATTTTTTTCTTACAACGCGTATAACAATCATGTACGCATTTTGATGATGTACAATTTGCCACAATGCAATCATCTAGACAACTTTTACTTGAACCTGAAATTTGAAAAAAAAAAAATATTTTAAAAATTTATTTGTCATCAGGTCATCTCAAATACATACCAGAAATTTCATAATGTCGTTTATGTCTCTTCAAACATCGCAAATATGTCCGGTAATCGTCATTATGACAATCTTGAAGGACTTTATAGTCATGAGCACTTAATGATTGAGTAACATCAGAGAATAGATGGTCCTCTAGGGATGAAGAAAATTGTACATTGATTAAAATTACAAAAAAAATTACTACACTTAACACCATGGCGAATTATAACGAAATGTCAGGCAGCTATATAAAGCGCCTTGCTTTTATATTTTCGAAAAGACCGCATCCCAACTTTAAAACAGGTAAACGACCCTCAATTTTTTTCTTCCGTATTTTTTCACAAATGTTTGTATTAGCGATAGTCTTGGTTAATATTTTTAAAGTGGGAATCTCTCAGAGAACAAACTATGTGATAAAGCAAAGAATTTGCACCACTTATCTCTCTGAGACGAAAAGTATTTTTTTTTATGATATTTTATATCAAAAAGAAAAAATAAATATAATGTAATAAAACATTGTCATGAATATAATTAATGTATAACATTTTCAAAATTGTTATTTAAACATAAAAAAAAATTGTTAATTCAATTAAATTTAATATTAATATTAATTAATATTTAATTAAATATTAAAAATATCACTTAACAAAATAGAATAAAAACCTGCAAAAATACATGATTAGTTTTAATAATAAAAAAATTTTCTCACCACGATGAAACTACTGAAACAAATAAAAACAAAACACAATACAAAGAAATATTCAGATTCTTTTACACCTTCTTTAGAAAAACTATTATTTTTTCTAATACAGAAACGTTATCGAAAAAGTAATAATTTTTCCAAAGGGTAAAAGAACTGATTTAAAGAAGAAAAAATAAAAAAAAAACAACATAGTGACTCAAAGATATAAATTATATGATAAATATTGATTCACTGGAATTCCAGTTATTTAGACACACACATACTCATAATAAACTCCACATTTCCCTACCTATCGCTATATTTAAAAAAAATTTATCTCAATCACACATAAAAAATTTGCCTCCCTAGCTATATCTAAAAATCGTTGAATTTAATTCTCAAACATTACACGATTCTCTCTCATACCGCCCAGGTGCAAAGGCCTACACTAGGAATACCGTCCCGGGACGTTATCCGACACCTGAGCTCAAAATCACACAAATTGCTGAAAAAACAATTACTGATTAGTCCCTAAACGAAATATCAAAAAAAAAATTTATTTTCGCATGCATTAACTTTATACTTTAAGCAATTAAAAATAAAATATAAAAAGCAACAGAGATTTTTAAGTATTTAAAATTAAATTTAAAAAGCAACAGAGATTTTTAAGTATTTAAAATTAAATTAAAATGTTATACCAAACTAGTTTTGAATAGCAAAATTAAAAACATTTACTTGAAATATTAAAAAACATTAAACACTAAACAAAATATACAATACAAATGATACACAAGTATAAACAATAAAAAACATTGGTAAAAATATTAATTTATGCAGTAATATAATTAATTACTGTATAAATAATACTTTTTACCAATGGTGTCACTATGTTGTTGTTCCTTCCCTGTTTCGAAAATTTTAACATTTGCTTCGATTAATTTTCTATATTTATTTATTTAAAAAAAGATTTAAAACATTATTGCAAAATAATGTAAGTTAATTTATTTATAAACTAATTCTTTAAAATTGTTAAATAAAATAGACAAAAGAACTTGTTAAAAACAGGGAAGGGGATAATTAAAAGACGACTCACCGGCCGGCGAATCCCACGTTGGGGCAATATGTACATCGCCACTTCTCGAGCTCTTCTTGGGCCACTCCACGGAGATCCCTCCCATATGCACATCTGCGGGAGACCGGGAGTTATGCTACCAAGTAAAAAAAAAAAAATATAGAAAAAATAGACTATTTTGGAATAATTGGTAGCATGCAGGGGCCACTTTTCTTCCTCCACATCCTTCCCGTCCTTCAAATTGGTTTTTGGACACTGAAAAATAAAAATTTTTAATTATATTATACAAGTGAATTATTGAAATGTTATTAGTTCCTAACAATTAATTTTTACTAAACGAAATTTGCATAATTTGATAATTTTTTTGATTTTTTATTCATATTTTACTAATTTATTAGAAAAATTTCTGAAATCTAATATTTAGGAATTGTATTCTTGAAAGTGTTAAATTATCGAATAAAAAGAAAACTTACCTTTGCACTTTTTCACTATTTGGCAAAGAGATATAAAGACAGCATAATCCTTCTTAAAAATAATAACTCTTCTTTCATCCTCTGCTACTGGCCAACTGACTAAAAAAAATTATTAGTTAAAAATTTGCTCGCAATTGCGTTGTTATTTGTATTATTTGTATTTGTTAAAATAATTATTCTAAATCAATTATTCATAGTCATTTTTTTAGTTCAACGTAAATATTTAAAGCTAAAAATAAATATTTAAACAAATTTAATCAACTTACATTGAACTGCGCTCAGCAATGCCCGATCTCCTCCAGGAGCTGCTCTGGAACTCACACCTTTCATCGAAGAAAATGATACCTGTAGATTAAAAAAATAATTAGCAATAACATCTTAGTAAAAATGAATTGAACATAAAATACAATGTATTGAACAAATTTATTAACCATCATTAACTGAATTTAGTTTTACTTGAGGTAATTTGTTTATAAAATGTTGCCCTAACCTCAAAATTCTTAAATAATATACGTAATAATGAACAATATATTGACTCTATTGTTTTTTATCTCCGATTTTGAGACTTTTAATGGTACAAAAATAAAGCAGGTTGTTTAGATTTTGGTTCACCTGATCAATTTTTACGGCCCTAACACTCACAAAATAATACCTGTACATATGCTCGTCAACCAATTTGGATATTTTGATATCGAAGAAAAATGCATGCAATTAATATTTAACAAATTGAAGCATTTTTTAAGTAAAATATAAAAGAATGAGATAATTTACAAACTTACAGAAATCTGCATCGATCTATTTTCCACCTCATGACCCTCAAGAACAGCCGACTTTGGAAGTACCATCAATAATGAAGAAAATGCATCCAAGCCTTTGAAGAATGAAGTTGAATAACCTGAAAATATAAATAATAATTTGTTTCCCACTGAATAATTATCACTAATCACTCTCAAAATAGATTACAAAACATTTTCATTTCGCTAACCCCAAAATGAATATTTAGATGTACAATAAATTCTCGAATCAATGTTTCATTACAAGGTTATCGATGATTTGAGAACAAAACCAAATTATTAATTATCAGAATTTGATTATACTTACTTGATTCCCATTTATTAACGGCCCAGAATTCAATATTAGTCGTATTAGTAATGAATTCTTATTTTCCAACTGTTGACTACTTGAAAACTTGCAAATTCAGGTCATTCACCCTCAATTTCAAACATTTTCCACAACCGCCAAAATCCTAAAGGTACAGTCGCAATCGAAAACTAATAGAGTGATCTGATTGGTCGAAGTAATTTGTGAACACTTGCTGTTCAGTAGAACGTTCGTAATGTTACGCATGCAACCGGAATCTCAGCTGCCCAACACTGCCAATTCCCCCACCATAACGAAACGTATTGGACGTTGTAAGATCAAAAGTCTTGTAAATTCACCTTTAACACAGTAATGGCGCGAAAGAAAATTCTCTCACGTTCAAACGACATAAGTGTCACATCCTGCAACAATTCCAACAATCGAAAAGATATTTATTAAAAGTTAATAAAACAAATGATTTCCAATCATTAAAAAAACAAAATTGTCAATGGAAAAACGAGTTGGACTACAAAAAACTTTATTGTCAGGTGAGTGCGTGTATTAATGAATTTAGGTTAAGGCGACATTTTGTATAAAAATGTTCTTTTATTTGTTTACTGAGTGCTTAAATTTGTTTAATTTTCTAATAATATAATAATAAATAATAATAATAATTAATAATACTCAATTATTTGACGATTATACGTTTATTTCAGGACTTACCAAAAATTTTACAGTCTTGAGTGTATCGATGAAACGAATCGATCGATCTTCAGAATTTTGAGATTCAGAACAAGTGGATGCAGAATTATGTGAGTTTGTAAATTATTTCCTTGATAAAAAAGTATTAACGTACAGTAATAATTACACATAATAATTCAGCTTTTAATTATGAAAACCAATAGTACAAAGAGGGTTATGTGTTTAATACATTTACAGAATATTTATTCTAAAATCAAAAAGTTTTTTCAGCTAAAAATAATTATTTTTTTATCTGCAGGTATCATTTTCTCGGAGGAAAGGTGTATGTTCCAGAGCAGCTCCTGGAGGAGATCGGGCATTGCTGAGCGCAGTTCAATGTGAGTTAATTAAATTTACATAAATATTGGTTTATATTTGCTTTAAATATTTGCAATAAATTTAAAAAAGTGGCTTTGAAATAATAAAATAATTTTATTCCATGTACTAAATATTTGAAAATGTAATATATTGTTAACTGTTATATAAAAATAATTATTTTATTATTTAAAAATAATACATATAACAACGCAATTGCGAGCAAATTTTTAACTAATAATTTTTTTTAGTCAGTTGGCCAGTAGCAGAGGATAAAAGAAGAGTTATTATTTTCAAGAAGGATTATGCTGTCTTTATATCTCTTTGCCAATTAGTGAAAAAGTGAAAAGGTGAGTTTTCTTTTTATTAGACAATTTAACATTTTTAAGAATTAAATTCCTAAATATTAGGTTTAAGAATTTTTTCTAATAAATTACTAAAATATGAATAAAAAATTTAAAAAATCAAAAAAATTATCAAATTATGCAAATTTTGTTTAGTAAAAATTAATTTTTAGGAACTAATATTATTTTAATAATACAATTGTATAATATAATTAAAAATTTTTATTTTTCAGTGTCCAAAAACCAATTTGAAGGACGGGAAGGATGTGGAGGAAGAAAAGTGGCCCCTGCATGCTACCAATTATTCCAAAATAGTCTATTTTTTCTATATTTTTTTTTTTTTTTACTTGGTAGCATAACTCCCGGTCTCCCGCAGATGTGCATATGGGAGGGATCTCCGTGGAGTGGCCCAAGAAGAGCTCGAGAAGTGGCGATGTACATATTGCCCCAACGTGGGATTCGCCGGCCGGTGAGTCGTCTTTTAATTATCCCCTTCTCTGTTTTTAACAAGTTCTTTTGTTTGTTTTATTTAAATATTTTAAACAATTAGTTTATAAATAATTTAACTTACATATTTTGCAATAATGTTTTAAATCTTTTTTTAAATAAATAAATATAGAAAATTAATCGCAGCAAATATTAAAATTTCCAAAACAGGGAAGGAACAATAACAACATAGTGACACCATTGGTAAAAAATATTATTTATCGTAATTAATTTTATTACTGCATAAATTAATATTTTTACCAATGTTTTTCATTGTTTATACTTGTCTATCATTTGTATTGTATATTTTGTTTAGTATTTAATGTTTTTTAATATTTCAAGTAAATCTTTTTAATTTTGCTATTCAAAACTAGTTTGGTATAACATTTTAATTTAAGTTTAAATACTTAAAAATCTCTGTTGCTTTTAATATTTTATTTATAATTAATTAAAGTATAAAGCTAATGCATGAGAAAATAAAATTTTTTTGCTATTTCGTTTAGGGACTAATCAGTAATTGTTCTTTCAGCAATTTGTGTGATTTTGAGCTCAGGTGTCGGATAACGTCCCGGGACGGTATCCCTAGTGTAGGCCTTTGCACCTGGGCGGTATGAGAGAGAATCGTGTAATGTTTGAGAATTAAATTCAACGATTTTTAGATATAGCTAGGGAGGCAAATTTTTTATGTGTGATTGAGATAATTTTTTTTTAAATATAGCGATAGGTAGGGAAATGTGGAGTTTACTATGAGTATGTGTGCGTCTAAATAACTGGAATTCCAGTGAATCAATATTTATCATATAATTTATATCTTTGAGTCACTATGTTGTTTTTTTTTATTTTCTCTTCTTTAAATCAGTTCTTTTACCCTTTGGAAAAATTATTACTTTTTCGATAATGTTTTTGTGTTAGAGAAAATAATCGTTTTTCAAAACAAGGTGTAAAAGAATCTGAATATTTGTTTGTATTGTGTTTTTATTTTTTTCAGTAGTTTCATCGTGGTGAGAAAATTTTTTTATTATTAAAACTAATCAAGTATTTTTGCAGGTTTTTTTTCTATTTTAATAAATAGTCTTTTTAAATTTGCTTTACGTATAAATTGAATTGACAATTTTTTTTTTAATTATGAAATTGGGAAATTTGTATTGAAAATTTTTTGCAAAATTGAATATCCCTTTATAAAAAAATTTAATTAATTTTTTTATTTCCCCTAATTTTGTCGAAGTTGTTACCGACAGTTTTTATGTTTATCTCATTGTTGCAGCTTCATAATGTAAGAGAGATTTACATTAGAAAGCGCGAGATAAAGATTTTTTTTTTTCATGAAATGAATCTTCTCTCATAAGGTGCTATATCTTTATGGGTGTTTATTGAATATGATGTATGTAATAATTTCTATTTAATGTTGTGTAACAATATTCTTCATACTCTCGCTTCTCGAAGAACTGAGAGGTATTATATATAGTGATGTTTTGATAATCTGTGACAAAGTGAAAACTAAATATTAAATACCTTTATAGTGAATATTTTATCATAATACATAAAGTGGAAGTGTATGTACATTAATGAAAGTGAAATGTGACTTATTCATCAATTTTCCGGCAGTAAAAGTTATAGTGGTTTTTAAACTCTACGTATTATCAGCATTATAAATTTTTTTTCACTCGATTTTAATTCATTTCAAGGTAATAAGTATGCAGATTTGGCAATAAAATATAACTTTAAATTAATATAAAAATTTAAAAGTCTAATCATCTTTCTGAATTAAACATTTTTCTTTTCTAGGTGTGGAAATTGATATTTTTACTTTAAAGGTAATTGAATTAATAGTCAAACGTTGGATTGAAGATACTTTATTAAATCATAGTAAATTCCAAGTTGATAAAGGACAGCCATCGTCATGAATGTATCCTTTAATAATGCAAAAAAGAGTAAAAAAAATTCAAAATCGAAAAATGTCAAAACAATTTACTTTTCCAATTTTATGTTATCTTAAAAAGATAACTTTAAAAAATGTTTTCTATAGAATAAAATATTATATTTTTGAATTTTATTAAACCCGCGATGCTCGTAGAACTGATAGGTACGAAAATGATGTTTTAATAATCTGTTAGAAAAAATAGAATCTAATTATTAAAGACCTTTATTGAATGTGTTTCATAATATATTAAATAGAAGTATATTGTATATACATTAGTGAAAGTTCGATGCGATGCAACCGCTAGTTTTCCGGCAGTTATAGTCAAAGGTATTTGTGCCCTTTGAATGAATATCATTATCATTTTTGCTTCAGTAGATTTTAATTCATACCAAGGTATTAAATACGCAGATTCAGCAATTAAACAACTCTATACAATTTTACGTAATTAAAAGAATATGTAAAATATTCTCTTTTCTTTAAAATATCAATTTATTTTAATTTAATTTACCTTCAAATAAGAAGTCTCTTTAATTACCTTTGATCGAAGATATTCTCCCAAACCACAATAAATTCCAAGTTCAAAAATCAAAACCATTGACAGGAATGTATCTTTCAATAGACTACTGATACCATTATTATCAGATAATGTCTAAAAAAAAAATTTAATTTTTTTATTTAACGCACATAAAAATGAATATACAATAATTTTTAATTACCATCAAATAAATAAATCCTTGAAAACATAGTTGTAAAGTTGCTAATGCAAAATGCAAAAATAACTGTCCAGAATAGATTTTCTCAACCTTTTTCGAAAATTGTATTGTTTGACGATGCTTTTTGATTAAAATTTTAATAGTAAATTTTTTCTCTGATCTTAAGATATCATTATTTAAAAATCGATCCAATTCTAATCGTAATATTTCAGCTTTCGTTGAAGCATGTAGTACCTTAAAACATTGTAAATCGAAAAAAATTCTTAAAATTATTAATTAAATTATCTTTTTATGTATGTAAATAACTATTTAAAATTATTACCATAGAAACATAGGAAGAATCTGTTAAACAATACATATTACCATCCAAAAGAAGAAGAAAAGATTGAATGATGTATAAAATTTCATAAATTGGAGAATTTTTATTAGAAAAAGGAAATTTTGCTAATAATGGTAAAAGTCTATTTTCGACAGATTCGCTAAAATATGTTCGAAGAGCAGCAGCAAGAAACATCATAATTGTAAGATTATATGCAATTATTGTGTTTATAACAAATTTATGAGAAAATTGAGCATGTTTATTTAGAACAATTAATGCCTCAGGTGATTTCACTTCACACCAATCGTCCATCATTTCGTTTAAAACATCTTTCACGTACCTTGAAGTTTATTTTATTTTCTTCAAAAAATTACAATATATAATCTACGTATTTTTTTTTAATAATTGTAATTATAATATCTTCCGCTGTACAAAAGTTTCTATAAAATTCACATTTTTCTCGTCTACTCACCTTAAATTATGCAACCAGACATGCAAAGTTGTATTGTATATAGCATAAATGTAAATTAAAATGTTAAAATAATAATAAATCAGTTTAATCATATAAAATCAAATTTTTTATATACAACAAAATTACTAACTTACCTTAATTAATGGAAAATAATAATTATTTTAAAAATTACTTTACCTTCGTTGCCACCAGAAAATTGTCATTTTTATTAAAATGGCAAAAACCATGATAATATTACTTATATTGATTGTCAGTAATTCAAGATTGTGATAAATAATAATGATATTCCAAAATTGAAAAATAAGACTTAGTATACTCAAAAATACATAAATAAAATAAAATAAACTATTATTATAACTGGGCCAAAGTCCGAAAATTTGTAAAAAATGCTCCATTGGAAGAGGAATGATATGCATTTTTTTTTGTTATAAAAATTGTGAACGTAATTAGTTGAGACTTGAGAGAAAAATAAAAGTTTAAAAATTAGATTATCCCCGTATAAAAATTTAATAAAACTCCACGAGACAAAAAATCATAAAGTTAGAATCATCTTATAAAATTTTAATGAAGATATAAGAATTTTTTTTTTGTTCCTTCGAAATTATCTTACAGAATATAAAATTATAGGCTTTACATATATGTAGAGAAATTTTTTTCTTATCTCGCATGACTTTTTTTTTGCACTTTAAATATTGAAAGAAAAACTAACTTTTCTTTTCTAACCAAGGGGACACTAGCAAAAAATAGTGCATACTAAAATAGAGAAAAAATTATTCTCTTTTTTCTAAGAGAAAAGTTTTTTTAATAAAAACAATATATTGTTGGGAAAATTATAAAAAAAATTTAATATTGAATTCGATATTTTGAATTTAATAATTTGTCTTCGACTTCAAAATAAAACCCAAAAAAATTTTTTTGTATAGGCTTCTAGCAAATGTAGAAAAGAATTTATTCTGTACCAACTACATTCTTATAATTTCTTTAATATACAACTAATTAATTCAATTGACCACAAAATGAATTTTTTTTTGGGTAAAAAAGTAATCTATTTTCAAAGTTTCTTTTTCATCTTCAATTTAGACTCTCGCTGCTCGAAGTACTGATAGGTATGACACTCCAGTTTTAATCATCTGTCACAAAATAAAAAACAAATAGTACAAAGCGATCCTTGTGAATAATTTGATTTATATAGTATATAAAATAAAAAAAATATGTACTTTTAAAAAAGTGACATGCGACACACCAATAAATTTTCCTGCTGTAATAGTCGATGGTTTTTGAGCTCTTTGTATAAACATCAAGATAATTTTTGCATCATTGTATTTTAATTCATACCAAGGAATAAAATACGCTGATTCAGCAATCAAATAACACTAAAATAGGAAAAAAAATTAAAAAAAAAAAATTGTGAAACTAAAAAAAAATTTTGTACAATAATACAGATTTTTGTACCGATATTTTACCTACACTTGAAAAAAAGTCGTGCTAAAAAAACAACAGAGAAAACTCTTCTTTTGTTAAAAAATTGACAAATAATTGTTTTTAACGAAATAGGTGAATGTTTTTTTTTTATTTCGCAAAATTAGGACCACTTTTTTGCAAGCGTCGGTAAAATGTCGGTGCAGGAATCTGTATTTTTCGATATAAAAGAAATGTAAAAAAAAACCTTAGATTGAAGATATTCTCCCAAAGCGCAATAAATTCCAAGTTGAGTTAGTACAGACATTGACAAGAATGTATCTTTTAGTAGCATATTGAGATTATTTTCAGATAAATTCTAAAACATTTTTCGAAGTAAATAAAAATATTTTTTGTATAACATAAATATTAAAAAAAAAAAAAAAATTAAATAAAAATAAAAAATTTATGAAAAATAAAGAAAACAAAAAGTATACAAAAAACATTTAAAAAATTTTATACTATAAAAAATAAACAAATTATAACTAGATTACCATTAAGTACATAAACCCATTAAAACACAGTTGGAGTGTCGATAATGAGAAATTAAAAAATAACTGTAGAGAAAAAATTTCGTCAACTCTAATTGCAAATTGTGTTACTTCATGATGCTTTTGAAACAAAATATTTATAGTCGATTTTTTCTCTAATTTTAAGACATTATTTACAAAATTTTCCAATTCAAATCTTATAATTTCAAGTTTAGTCGCAGCATGCATTATCTGCACATTGATTTATTTCCAATTAAATTAAAATTAACATTTCATATAAAGTAAATATTTATTTATTAATTTATTATTTAAATAAATTATCACCATAGCTGCGTATGATGAGTCTAAGACAACATAGATATTACCAACCAAAATAAGAAGAATAGCCTGCGAGATATAAATAATTTCATAGAATGGTGATTTTTTTATAGGAAAAGGAAATTTTACCAATAATGGTAAACGTCTATTTTCCACATTAGACTCGGTAAAATATGTTTGTAGTGCAACAATTGGAAACATTAGTATTGTAAAATTATACATAACTAATGTACAAACAAAAAATTTATGAGAAAATTGCACATGATTTTTCATAACTAATAATTGTTCAGGTTTTTTTATTTGACACCAATCATCCATCATTTCGACTAAAACCTCCTTCATATATCTATAATTTTTTAAGTATAACATAAATTGATACTAAAATATCATGAAATATTAATTTATTATTTTTACCTTTGCTTCCTCCATGAAATTATTATTTTCACAAATAACGTCGTAACCATTATAATATTACTAATATTCGATGAAAATATTTCCAAATTATCATAAATAGTAGTGACATTCCAAATTTGTGAACCCACTGTTACAATATTTAATAATATAAAAAAAATGTAAAAAAGATTATTATTATGGCCTGACCAAAGTCCAAGAAATCTTAAAGAATATTCCATTGGTCGAGAAAACATTTCTTTTTATTTAGAAATCAGAATCCTTTTATAAAAGTTGAATAATATTATATGGGAGAAAATGTAAAGTTTAAAAGTTGGTATTGTAAAAAAAAAAAAAAAAAAAAAATTATTCAAGATAATTAGTTACCGTTCCTTATAAAAATTAAATGAAGACATGAATTTTTTTTTTTTCTTTAAATTTTTCTTATAGAATAACAAATTATAGGTTTTACAGATATACTATGTAAAGAATAAAGTTTCTTTTATAACTTTTGTATATATGACTTTTTTTTTGTAGAATTAAATATTATTGAAAGAGAGAAAAATTTTTATATTTCAATAAAAGAGAAATAAATATAAACTAATGTCAGATTTATCAGGGTGAACAGCAAATTTCAAATTATTTTCAAAATCAAATTTATTTTTTATACGACTATTTACATCAAATATATTTTTGAGTGTGGTTCCCCAATTCTTGCGAATACATAAAAATTTTAGAATTTCATATTATTGTGAAAACTGTTTTTATATTTCATTAAAAAAATTTTTTTTTTATCAGAAATGTTTTTCTTAAGACTTATCTTATGTGTTATATACTTATTGGTGAATAATTTATTTAATACATATATAATTTCTATTATTATGTGTAACAATTTTCTTCAATTTCTCGCTGCTCGTAGAACTGAGAGGTATGATAACGATGTTTTAAGAACCTGTCACAAAATAAAAAATAATATTGAAAAATTATTTAAAAAATAATTTTTAATTCAAAAATTAAATTATATTTTAATTAAACATATAATTACATTAACAAAAGTAAAATGTGAAACAGTAATAAATTTTCCGGCAGTAATAGTCAGTGGTTTTTGAGCTCTTTTAATAAACATCATGATAATTTTTGCGTCACTGCATTGTAGTTCATACCAAGGAATAAAATACGCACATTCAGCAATCAAAAAACACTAAAATAATAAAAAAAAAATATATAAATAACTACATAAAAGCAACATTAAAATTTTTTTTTAATTCGTCGAAAATACTTTTAATATTTTTTCTTTAATGATAAAAAATGGCAAACCTTAGATAGAAGATATTCCCCTAAAAGACAATAAATGCCAAGTTCAACAAGCGCAGACATTGATACAAATGTATCTTTTAATAGCATATTGATACTCTTATTATCAGACAGTGTCTGAAATATTTTTTTTAAAATTTGTGTAATAATGATATATTATTATGTAATGTAAAATGATAAATTGATATAATTACTGTTAAATAAATAAATCCATTAAAGCAGAATTGTAGAGTTAATAATATAAAATACAAAAATAATTGGCCAGAAAAAATATCGTCAACTCTCTTTGCAAATTGTATTGCTTTATAATGTTTTTCAATTAAAACTTTTATAGACAATTTTTTCTCTGACTTTAAGGCCTTATTGAAAAAATTATCCAATTCAAATCTTATAATTTCAAGTTTAGTCGCGGCATGTAACACCTAAATAAAAAATCATAAGTAAATATCTAAAATCTTAAAAAATTAATTTTTTTTTTATTTTTAATTTTGATTAAAAATTAAATAATTATTTAAAAATATCACCATAGCAGCATAAGATGAGTCTGAGATACTATAAATACTAGCAACTAGAAGGAGAAAAATTGCTTGAAGAAAATATATAATTTCATAAACTGGTGAAAATTTATAAGAAAAAGGAAATTTTGCCAATAATGGAAAAAATCGATTTTCGACACTTTTGCCAAAATAATATGTTTGAAGAGGTGTAAAAATAAACATTATAATTGTAAAATTATAAATAATAAATGCATTTATAGAAAATGTACGAGAAAATTTCACATGATTTTTCATAACTATTAATTCCTCATGTTTTTTTATTTGACACAAATCATCTATCATTTCGATTAAAACATCCTTCACATATCTGTACATACATATATATATATATATAATTTCGTAACATTTTATATATTTAAATATTATATAAAATACGTATTTAAAAATATTTTTTTTTTTTAAATAAAATAACTTTGATTTTATCATTTTTATTAATGATTTCCAGTTTGTGACAACAATTATGCAACCAGACATACATGGCTGTAATGTACATAACATATTTTAACGATAAAAATTAAATCAAAATTACTTGTAATTAAAAAAATAATGCCACTGAAAAAAAATTGATTTAAATAATCGGTTATTTATTAACATTTCTTTATATTACCTAAATAATTATTGAGAAAAATGCTTTTTTGAAATACAGAAATTATTAATTTTTTAACTCAAAAATTATTTAAGATATAAATATTTATTTTTTAACGATTATTTGCATCAAATAATTTTTTTTTCAATGTTGTAACAATACTTTTTACCTTCGTTTTTTCCATAGAATTGCAATTTTTAAAAATGAAGTTAAAATCATAACAATATTACTTATATTCATTGAAAGTAATTCTAAATTGTCGTAAACAATAGTGACATGCCAAAATTGAGAAGTGAGACTTATGATGCTCAATAATGTAAAAAAATAAAAAAGAAAATTATTATTATTGCCAGGCCAAAGAGCAAAAATTCCTAAAAAATACCGTATTGGAAGAGGAAACATATCAGAAATTATAAGTTTGTGAATAGAAAATAAAATATTACAATCCTCTTATAAAAATTAAATAACATTTGAGAGAAAATAAAGTTTCAAAGATTGACATCTTCATCGAAAAAAAATTATTAAAGTTACATATATATAAGAGAAAAATAATTATACAAAGCCACAATTTTGTTATAAAAATTAAATGAAGGCGTTTCATTTTTTTTGCTTCTAATTTATCTTATAGAATATCAAATTATACGTTTTCCACATAAACTATGTAAAGAACAAAGTTTTAAAGTTTTTTTTATCACTCTCGTCTGTATGACTTTTTTTTTGCAGAATTAAATATATCAAGAGAGAAAAGTTTTTATCTTTCTAAAGAAGAATTACTGATAGTTGTCATTTTAAATTCAGTTATAAATATAAATTATTTTTTTGCTGTTCTTTAAAGAAAAATATTTTTAAAAAATATATAAAATTATTTACATTAAAAGAAATAAAAATTTATCAAGGTAAAAATTATTGTATTAAAATTAATTTTTTTTTATTATGACTAAATTCATATTTTTATTTTCTATATAAAATGAAGCTTTTCTTTAGTCTTTTGTTTATTTGAAGATAATTTACCAATTGTTTTTACAATATCTTCATTTAAACTCTTGCTGCTCGTAGAACTGAGAGATACGATACTGAGGTTTTAATAATCTATCACAAAATAAAAAAAAGATATTAACATTCTTAAATATTTTAATTTATAAAAAAAAATTTTAGAATTGTATTTACATTCATAAAAGTGAAATGCGAAACAGTAAACATTTTTCCGGCAGTAATAGTAATTGGTTTTTGAGCTCTTTGTATAAACATCATAATAATTTTTGTTTCACTGTATTTTAATTCATACCAAGGAATAAAATATACAGATTCAGCAATCAGAAAACTCTAGAATAGAAAAATAAAATTTTTGTTTCTTTTTTTGCTAAAAAAAAAAAATGACTTTTACCACACCTTAGATTGAAGATATTCTCCCAAAACGCAATAAATGCAAAGTTCAGTTAGTACGCACATTGATATGAATGTACTTTTTAATATCGTATTAATATTATTTACAGAAAAGTTCTGAAACATTTTTTAAGATTTTGTCATTTTGCAAATTTAATATAATTAAAGATATAAAATATATATATATATTACCATCAAATTAATATATATATTAAAGCAAAGTTGTAGGCTCGCTAATATAAAATAGAAAAATAATTGTAGAGAAAAAATTTCGTCAATTCTATTCACAAATTTTGTCACTTCATGATATTTTTCGAATAAAACTTTTACAGTTGATTTTTTCTCTGATTTTAAGATATTATTTACAAAATTTTCCAATTCAAATCGTATAATTTCAAGTTTAGACACAGCATGTAATATCTATGGAAAAAAAGGAAAACAAAAATATATTTTGTTAATTTAAATAATAAAAAAAAAACTTCTTTCAATAATATAATACGATTACACAGAAAATTAAAAGGCATTAAAATAATAGCAGCTTATTTTAATGCCTTTTAATTTTCTGTGATAATAATTAAAAAACAAATTTTTAATTAATTAAATTAATTTTTCAAAAAACAGTAAATATAATTACCATTGCTGCGTAAGATGTGTCTAAGACAACAAAGGCATTACCAGCAAAAATGAGAAGAATAGCTTGTAAAATATATATTATTTCATAGATTGGAGAAGTTTTATTCGAAAATGGAAATTTTGCCAATAATGGTAGAAGTCTATTTTCAACAGACTCAGTAAAATATATACGTAGGGCAAAAATGGGAAATAAAAGAATTGTAAAATTATATGCAATAAATGCATTCACAAAAAATGTATGAGAAAATTTAACATGATTTTTCATAATTATTAATTGTTCAGGATTTTTTATTTGATACCAATCATCCATCATTTTGATTAAAACATTTTTCATATATCTGTACATACATATAGTTTCATAATACAATTTAAACATTATGTAAAATATATTTTATTTTTTATTATTCTTGAAATATTTTTATTTTATTTCAAAAATTTTTTTCCATTTTTCCAAATTGGATATTAATCACCTAAAATTATGCAACCAGCCATACATGACTGTAGTAGATAAAATAAATTTAACATAAAATAACGTAAGATAAAAGTAACAATTGATTTATTTAAAAAAAAATTTTAAATAATTAAAAAAATGTATTGAACTAAAACGTTTATTAAAATTATTATTAATTATTATTAATTATTAGGTATTAATTATTATAATTATTATTATTATTATAATTATTTTTATTAATTATAATATTATTATAAAACTTATTATATTATTTTTTTTACCTTCGCTTCCTCCATGAAATTGCGGTTTTTAAAAATATTGCCAAGATCATAATAATATTACTTATATTCATTGAAAGTAATTCTAAATTATCGAAAACATCAGAGACGTTATAAAATTGAAAAATAAGACTTGTGATGCTTAATAATGCATAAAAATGAAAAAAAAAGTTATTATTATGGCCAGGCCATAGCGCAAAAAATTGTAAAAAATATTTCATTGGAAGAGGAAACATAATTTTTAAAGAATTAAAAGTTTTTCGTGATCAATGTTATAAGTAGAAAAATAAAATATTAGAATCCTCTTATAAAAATTAAATCACACTATAAATGAGAGAAAATAAAGTTTAAAAGTTGATATATTTTGTGGTTTAAAAAAAAAAATTATTGAATAAAGGAAAAGATATAATTACAAAGTTACAATTCTCTTATAAAAATTAAATGAAGATATACGAGAGTCTTTTTATTCAATTTTTTTTTTAATTTATCGTATGGAATATTAAATCTATAGACTTTCCTTAGTATCGAACAAAGTTATGAAGTTTTTTTTTTTTTTTTGTTTGAATTCCTTTTTTTGCAAAATTAAATATTCTAAGAGAGAAAAATATTATTTTTCAATAAAAGAGATACTAAGTCTTTCAGTATAATTAATAATAATTTTAATTCATTGAATTTTGCACTATTTTATTTTTTTTAAATTATTGTAAATAAAACACAGAAAATTAAAAGGCATTAAAATAAGCTGCAACGCTTATTATTTTAATTCAATTTTGTTTATTTTAATACCAAAATGGATTAAAATAAGCAAAATTGGATTAAAATAATAGCAGCTTATTTTAATGCCTTTTAATTTTCTGTGAATGGAATTTACTGTTTCCTTTAAAAAATCACATTATAGAGTAAATTTTGATTTCTTTTTAATTTTTTTTTATGAAAAAATAAATAAAAGCAGAGAAAGAGCATAAAAATTAGAATTAAAATTTTAGAAAATAGATAATTTTAATTATTCTAATAATTAAAACCTCTTTAGCGGGAGGATAGTAAGATCAAAAATTGACCACTGATTATAATTTACTTTCATGGGCAAAAGAGATAAGGATGTTAGAGGGAGTAAATGTTGGCTGTTTAGTGTCAGTTGCTCTTATGCTACTGAACCAAGAACCATATCACTTTTGTTCACTGTTTAGCAAAACAGAGCCACGTGATTTTATTTCGAAATTTATTAAAAGATATCGAAAAGTGACCGGAAAATAGTTTTTTTTCTTTCAAATAATTTAATTGTAAAGTTTTATGTAGTTTTTTTTAAAAAAAAAGTGAACAATGAACTAGTTTTTGGAGGCAAAAAATTCGTGAAAACAATAGATATAGGATTTATATATTTTGGGGGATATATATTATGTTAAAACAAACATGTGTGATTTTGATAATATTGATATCAGTGGGAAGAATTTTTACAGTTCGATTAAAAGATTTAAATTTGCAAAATGGACAAAAAAATCTTCAGGAAGAATGTTCTTCGGAATTCAACATAAATCAGGTGTGGAATAACTTTTTTAAAAAAAAAAAAAAAAGATTCTTATTTGTTCTTTTATCCTTTTAATTGGAGATTGTATACGGCTAATCAAACTTGAATATATTAAATTGATGTATATCCTTGTGTAGGCGTGGATTGTAAATAAGTCTTCTCGATCTTATTCATAGTTTTTTTTTTTTTCAAAGATAATTAGAAAAAATATTTTTCATATTTTCTAATAATAATGATAGGAATTTTTAAGTAATAAAATTTAAATTTATTCTTTCAAAAGGAAGGATTTCAAATTGTATAAAAAAAATTTAGTTGGATTAATTTTATGGTGTTTCATATATAGGGAAATTGGAATTTTATGGTGAATTTTATAGTATTAAATAGAAATGAAAATTAGATTAAAATAGTTGAAATGAAAAGAGAGTGGAGGAAAAGTGGTTGAACGCAAAGGACATATCAATTGAAACCCACTCTTTATTCTGAGTGTACCATTAATTAATTAACATCTATGTCGGCGCATCGTTCATCTCGAAGGCGAAAAAGTGTTGCTTAATTTTTAACAAGAATGCATGCAAATTTATATAAACTCTCGCAGTTTCAATGTTGATAAAAAAAAAAATCAAGATTTTTTTTCAAAAATTAATTTAAAACAAAAAAAACAACTTTATTTCTCTTAGAGAATATTCAATCGGGAAATGAATTTCAAAAGAGAATTTAGGCTTGGCTAGTTTAAAGGTACACCTGTAATTACGATTTTACGTTCACAATGAATTTCCTGTTGTTACTTCCTTTAGACTCACATTGTTGATAATGTCACAATTTTTGTTTTATTTTGAATTTCGATATAGGGAATAAATAATAAATAAATATTAATTAATATATTAATAATAAAATTAAATTAATTATGAAAAATTCATGTCAGAAAAATAAAAAAGAAAAGAATTATAAAAAAAACTTGTTTTAACAAGTGTGATTAAAATTTTCCATAGATCAAAAAAAAACGGAAGTTAAAGAATATTTTCCCAGTGATGTATTTTTTGAAATGTATTAGACAATAGCGAATAAAGTACATAGTTGAATTTAGCACAAAGTTGTTACTGGTTATATAAAATTTAAAAAACGAATGAGATAAATATTTTTCTAATTCACAATATTAATAAATTATAAAACAAATGAATTTTATGTAAAAATTTCCAAAATTTGAATTTATTATTTAAATAAATTGAAGAGGTGGAAGAGAGAAAAGGATGGTGGGATGAGGAATGTGAGAGGAGTCGGCAAGATCTGAGGAAAAGTATAAGAGAATGGAGAATGAAGAGAATGAGGAAAGAGGAGTATAACAAGAAGCACAGAGTACACGGAAAGTTAGTAAGAAGGAAAAGGGAGGAGGGAAGGATTAAGTTTGTAGAAGAGGTGGAGAAAGCGATCAGCGAAGGGAAAGAATGGGAGGTAATAAACAGGGAAAGGAAAAGAAGAAAGGATATCAGTGAAGAGATAAGGATGGATGAATGGACGAATTACTTCAAAGGATTAAGTGGGGGTACGGGGAATAGGGTAAGAGGGGAGAGAAGAGTAAGGAGTGGGGGGATGGAATATGGAGAAGTTGCGAAGGAGGAGGTATTTGAGGCGATAGAGAGGTTGAGGAGAAACAAAGCGGCGGGGTGGGATGGGATGGAAGGGGAATGCTTAAAATACGGAGGAGAGATGATAAAGGAAGAGATGTGGAGAGTAGTAAATATGGTGTGGAAAGGGGAGGGTTATCCGGAGGAATGGAGGACGGGACTAATTGTTCCTATAGTGAAAAAAGGAGAGGGGAGAAAGGTGGAAGATCATAGGGGAGTGACGCTGATGCCGGTGGGGTACAAAGTGTACGCGGAGGTGATAAGGAGAAGGCTGGAGGAGAAGGTGGAAGAGCTAAAGTGTATTCCGGATAACCAAACGGGTTTCAGGAAAGGGATGGGCACGCTGGACAATATTTATGTGCTAAATTATTTAGTGAATAGGAATTTGGGAAGAGAAAAAGGAAAATTGGTTACGGTGTTCGTTGATTTTAAGGCGGCTTTTCCTTCAGTGAACAGGGGAGTGTTATGGAGGGTGATGAGGGAAAGAGGAATCAACCAAGAATTAATAGAAAGGGTAAAGGAATTGTACGAGGACACGAGGGAGAGAGTAAGGATAGGGGAAGAATTAGGTGAGGTATTCTGGTTGGGAAGAGGGTTAAGACAAGGTTGCCCTTTGAGTCCTATCTTATTTAATTTGTTGATGGCTGATTTAGAAGAGAGAATGGCAAAAAGAGGAAAGGGTGGTGTGATTCTGGGTAAGGGAAGAATTTATACGTTAGCGTATGCGGATGATGTAGTGCTCTTGGCTGATAATGAAAGTGGTATGAAATTGTTATTGAAAGAGTTTGAAAGGTATGTGAGAGAGATAGACTTGAATGTGAATAAAGAGAAAACGAAGGTGATGATTTTTAGGAAGAGAAAAGGAAAGGATGAGGAAGAGTGGATGATGAATGGGAAGAGAGTGGAAGAGGTGGATGAGTTCTGCTATTTAGGGTATTGGTTTCAGAAAAATGGGGGGCATGAACTGAATGTAAGGAGAAGAATGGAAAGGGCAGGAAGAGTGATTGGACAGGTGTGGGGAATTGGTGAAAGAAGATTTAAGGATGACTGGAAAAGAAGAGTGTGGCTGTTTGATGTGTTGGTGTGGTCGGTAATGAGTTATGGTGTGGAAATATGGGGATGGAAGGAGAGAGGAAAGCTTGAGAGTATGCATGAGAGGTATTTAAGATGGACCATGGGGGTAGATTGGAATTGTCCGGGTTATATGTTAAGGGAGGAATTGGGTAGGGATAAGTTAAGTACTAGGCAGAGGATGAGGGCGATGGGAATAGAAGAGAAATTTAAACAAGGGAGGGGAAGCGCGATCGCAAGGGAATGTTGGAAGAAAATTAAAGCGGGGGAAGGAAGAGGGGTTAAAAAGATGTCAAGATGGGAAAGGGATAGAGAAGAAGCATTGGAGGAGGGAAGAGAGTGGGGTGGAAGAAAGAAAGAGGAGGTAAAGGGGTGGATAAGAAAAGACAGAGAGGAGAGGTGGGAGAGGATATTAGGATCGAAGTATAATAGATGGTATAAGATGGTAAGGGGGGATGGGAGACCAAAATATTTAGAGAAGGTGAGAAAATGTGGAAAGTGGAATAGAGTATGCAGATTTAGAATGGGTGAAGGAATGAGGGAATGTAAATATTGGATGGATGAAGAGAGAAAGGAGTGTAGAGTGTGTGGCTATGAGCGGGAAGAATGGGGTCATGTGTTGGATGGTTGTGTGGGACGGAAGGATGAGGGAAAGGGAGTGGATGAAAGGGTGAGGTGGATATTGGATGAGAATGGGCAAGGGGAAAGGTGGATGAGTGAGTTGGAAAGGATAAGGAAGGACAAAAGGGAGGGGTTAGCGTGAATCATAGTGTGAATGGAAGAAAACAATACGGAAAAGAATGAAAGTGAATATTGTAAGGGGTGGGCGCTAATGGGGACGAAGCCAATATGGGCGAAAGGAACGGGAAACGGAAGCCCTGGCACTGGCGGATAGTTGGATTAAGTTAATTTTAAGAGTTGCGTATAGGTTAAGTTATTAGGTTAAGGATTTGTTTGTATTAGGTTAAGTTATGATGTATTTTTGGAGTCTCGAACCCTACTGTATGTAGGGAGAGTAATAAACATATATATTTAAATAAATTTAAAATTAATTTAATTTCATAAATAATAATTTTGAGGGAAAAAATAAATTTTTATTAGTAATATAAATATTGTAAATATTAAATTATAATTAATAAATTTTAAATGAGAGAAATTTTTCTTTTAATTTTTAAAATTAAGAAAAATTGCAATAGATTTGATTTTTTTAATTTTTTATTTCATTGACCCTATTTCCGAATTATCTCAATGGATACAATAAAAAAAAAAAAAAAAAAAAAAAAATCAAACCATATATCTCATGTACATAAGTTCCTGTTGGAGAGGAAGAAAAAGTTACGGATCTACCTCGTGTATGAGATGGCTTATATAAAATACTTAATTGAATCGCTTGGTGACTTTAAAACACCATAAATTGTTTCGTCCGGTTCAATTGAAACCCTAAACATTGTATAAAAGTATCCCGACATAAAAAAAAAATCACAAAATTGTAAGAAAAATTTATTTACTTTTTTTTTTAAATAAAATTGATTTTTGTTTTTTTTTTCAGAATCGAACAGATGACAATTCTGAAATGGACTGTGATACACAATGCACGATCAATCAGGTATTAATCAGAGATTTTTTTTTTGCTGTCCCACCGCTGTCATCTTTTAAAATTAAAAAAAATTAATTTTTTTTGATCGGATTTTCGGACCCTTTTTGCACTTCCGGTCTGCTCGGGCCCCTTTTATATACATAACGTAAATGTTATACAGAGACAAGAGACGATAAAGAAAAAAAAAAAATTTGTGTTTCATGGACACAATGAATGAATAAAAGAATGAACAGTGTATGACGCACGTTTTAAATTGAATTGCGTACAAGTGTCGCCAAATTGTCGTGTGACTCCCTGATATACTGGAAAAAAAAAGAAAAAAAAACTGAAGAGAAAGTAATGAAGCATAAAAATTCATAAAGAAATATATTTATAAATTTTGATTATAATACATAATTTTCTTTTCTACCTTGAGAGCGCATTAAAAAAAATTGTGTGTATAAAATTACAAAATATAAAAAAATTTCCACAACTTCCTGTTTTCAATCCTCGCAACTTTAATTTAATGAGGTTTTGCAAAAACCTATAGAGGAGCAAAAGTGGCAGGATGAAATTCTACAATCTACACGGGGAGTCGAGAGAGAAACATTAAATGTTGAGGATTTAATGAGGAAGAGAGAAATTAGCTGATGCCTCCGCTTTTAGTAGTATATAGTAGTCTTTACCATCGTCAGACGGCTCTGACAACTTTTAATAAATTTCTACACTGTCCAAACAAATTAGAAGCTTGATTTTGATCCTCTTAAAAAGTTCTCTCATATAATGAAGTAGTAGATTTCAATTTATTTTCAATCTTCACGGATTGCCACTTTTTATGTTTAACATTTTCAATTTTAAAAAAAATTGCCATTTCTCATTTAAACAATTTACGATTAAAAATAACAAAATATAATATTTAATAAATTAATTTCCCAATAAATTTGGAAATAAAAATAGTATTTTAAAGAAATATTTATGTTTCACTTAATCAGATATAAGAAAGTAAAAAAAAAATTAATCTTTAAACGATATTTTAGAAAAAAAATTGAAAAATCTATCAATGAATCCATTATGCGTATATAATGTTTACTTAATTTTATTGATCGGATTTGCTTATTATTTTAGTCTAATTTGTCTAAATGAAACGCCTCGAGTAGCATCGTCACTACACGTGCCAAGTCTCTTTCGAATCAAGTGATTGATTGAAATTGAGTGGTGAATTATTCCACTATATTTAATCATTCCGCAAGTCACAAATTTATCAAAACTTAATAACACAAAGATAAGATATATATAATGAGGCATTTTTATATAAAAAATAAAGTGTGATTAGAAATTTTAGAAAAAATTTTTGTATACGTTTTGTAATTTTATTAATATTTTTAATTTTTCGAAATTAAAAAACAGTCAAAAATTTTTTTTATTAAAAAAATTTTAGCACCTTTTTAAATTCAATGTTTGTTCAAGACACTCGCAAATCTATGCAACAATCGTGATAATACTGTCAACGTGGGTGTTGTAATTGTTAGAAGCACATGGCAAAGTGATGACACGTATCATGAAAAATTATGATTTTATTTAATAAATTACTAACTCAATTGCAAGCAGAGAAATAGTTTTCTATTATTTTTTTTATAAAAAAAATTTTCATTTTCAGTGGACAAAAGGTTGTACTACCTGGCATCAAGCCCTTAACATAGATTGTAAATCTGTTTGTGTAAGTTTTTTTTTTTTTTTACTTTTATTAAAATTTTATTTACATTAAATATCTTGAAAATTCAAAAATAGTTTTTTAAAATAATATTTATATACATTTTTATTTTTTAAGAAGAACGGAACTCAAGAATTACTATCACCTAAAGAACTTTTTTGCATTGCGGGTTGTCATCAAGCCCTAAATAAATATTATCATCAATTGAAAGGTAAATTCGTAAATAAATCTCTTTCTTCTTTAATATTAATTAATTAATTTTTTTAACGAATTATTAAATTTTTCATTAAAAATCAGCAAATTCTTCAGGATAATGATCAAAACTCTCAATTTTAAATGATTCTTCTTTATAGTGATCAAAATTACTTGAATCTCCCAAATGTTTAAATTTTGGCTTATAAGGTGCTTCAATATCTTGATTATAAATTTGTATCCAATCAATTGTTTTAAACCATGAATGTCGTTTAATATCCATTGAACCATTCTTTAAATTTCCATAACGTCTTGTTAAATCAATTTGAAGAATATTTTTCAAAAGATCCTTTAAATCATTACCAAAAATAATGGGAAATTTATATTTTCCAGCGACAATTTTCTCATAAATTTTCATTGGTCTTGATGAATAAAATGGTGAATAGCCAATATTCATTTCATATAATAAAACACCAAAACTCCACCAATCAACTGATTTTCCATATCCTTTTGATAAAATAATTTCCGGTGCTAAATATTCAGGTGTACCACATAATGTCCATGTTCTTCCTTCAATAACTTTAGAAAAACCAAAATCTGTCAATTTTAAATATCCATTTCTTTCAATAAGAATATTTTCTGGTTTTAAATCACGATAAACAACATTGCAATAGTGTAAATATTCTAAAGCCAATGTTACTTGAGCTGCATAAAATTTTGCTGTTATTTCATCAAATTTTCCCATTTGTTTTAAATAGGAAAACATTTCACCGCCACTTATAAATGGAAGAATTAAATAAATATAAGAATTGTCTTTAAAAAAATATTCCATATAAATGACAAAGGGAAATTTGAGACATTGTAAAATTTTTTTTTCATTATAGGTGTGACTCACCTGATTTAATTCAATAATTTTGGCTTTTGTCAAAATTTTCATCGCATAATATCTTGATGATTGTTTATGTTTAATTAACATTACTCGTCCAAATGCACCAGTACCAAGTGTTCGAATTCTTTCGAAATCGTCCAATGATGATTCATTTTTATTATTATTATTAGAGGAAAAACTTTTTATTTTCCATTTATTTTGAAAAGAATGTTTTAAATCTTCTAAAATTGATTTATATTCTTTGAAACCATTTTCCCTGTTTTCATCAATCATTATTTTTTTTGATTTATCTTTTTTATTTTGAAAATACTTCAGAGCGATTGGTTAATATTTTTTTTATGTCTTCTATTGTTTTTATTTACTTTATTTAAAAAAATCGAATTTTTTGAATAAAAAATTGGAAAACAAATTTTTTTTACTTTTTGGATAATATTCACTTAAATTTTCAGCTAGAATTGGAGTACCATTGGCACCAACTCTAGTTGTTGATTCATTAACTGCCACATCACTCAGACTTGAATGGAATGGAATCGACATCAAGAGAATTGGAAATGGTATTTCTTATTTTGTTCAATTGCGGCACGAGGATTTGTCAGAAACTTGGCAATTTTGTAGAAATCAATCCTGGAGAGAAGATGATCAAATTCTTGTTTATAATTTACAATCGTACACAAAATATAGAGTAGGTTAATTATTTATCTAATTTTTTTGTAAATTAATTTTTAATGTAATTTTTAATGTAATTTTCAATTTAATTTTTATAATTTATTTAATTTTTTAAATAGTTTTTTTTTTTAATTTCAGTTTCGAATTGCTCTGCTGTTGAGATCAATTCAAGATAATGCTGAAATTATTGTCTCAACTCCAAGCATTGTAATATTAACGAAACCTGCTGGAGTTCCAATTTCAGCTCCTAAAATAATAAGAACAAATGCCATTGACAGTCAACGGATATCTATTTCCTGGGAAGCTGGTCCATTTTCCAATGGACCACTTTTATCATACATTTTAAAACTTCATGAAGGTTCACAATTATTGCAATCGAAGGTTCTCCAGTAACTAATATCCTTTTCTTTCCACTTTTTCTCTATTTTTTTAAAAAAAATGTATTTTATTGAAAAAAATTTTTTTTCAGAATCTTCCAGCTACAGAAATTGTGAATCATCACATGTTTCGAAATCTGAAATCCAATAGAAATTATTCAGTGAGTGTTTCAATGAGAAATGCCGAAGGAGATGGACCACCTGCAATTATTTACGTTTCCACATCATCAGAATCAATTGGTAAAAAAAAATTTCAAGTTCTAAAAACAAAAACAAGAGAATTTTTTTTTTTTATTTTTTTTTTTATTTTTAGTTAAAAATACCGAACAATCTCTACTTATTCTTGGAAGTGAGCATTCAATAATGAAACAAGGATCTGATATTTTTGATGAACCAAGTATTGTTTATGAAACTCAATTAAATATTCAAGGAATTGCAATTCACGTTGTTTCGGCACAAATTTTCATATCCGATTCAATGGGTTATGTGTATCGAAAATCAATATCTGAAAATTCTGAATCAATAATTGTATTAAATCCAAATAATATAAATTTTCAACCATTGAGTTTGTCAGTTGATTGGTTAAATTTATATCTCTATATTGTGGGACAATTAAAAAATATGACAAATTGGCAAATTTTAAGATGTGATTTAGATGGAAAAAATTTAATTGTTGTTATGCCTAATTTTTTGACAATGCCTTCTCACGTAGAAGTTGATCCCTATAATGGATATTTATTCTGGATCACTAGCCAAGGTCTTTATAGACTCGATTTAGCCGAAATTGATAATCGTGAGGTAATTAGAAATTTTTTTTTTAAATAAATGTAAGAAATTAATTAATTAAAATTAATTAAAAAAAATTTAATAAATTGATTCATAAATCAGGTTCAACCAATTTTGATTTTGGAACATTCAAATTTGGGTGCCTTCATAGTTGATCATATAAATTACCGTCTACTTGTTTCTTATCACTCGGAAAATACAGTGAAATCTGTCTCATTCGATGGAAAAGAAGTAATTGATTTTAGAGCCAATACTCAACAACCTAAATTTAAAAATGTCTCATCATTGACTATGATTAATAATCTATTTTACTGGACTAATGGATATGAAGTTTTAACTGAAGGCTATCATTCTGGACAGGATAAATATTTTCACAATGTTTTTCCCAGGTAAAATTAAACAATTATTTTTTTTAAATCAAAATTTTATCTAATTAATAATTGTAATTAATCATAAATCTTACTTTCAGATATGTAGATTCTTCGGAAATGTACATAAGTGTTAATGCATTAATGAGTACAAGTCAACCGATTCCAATTCCGGTAAATCCACCTACAAATGTTCAAGCAATTTTAGGATCCGAAAGAGCAAAAATATCTTGGCATGCTCCTTATTTACTTGACGAACAAGGACAAGGTGCTTGGCAAAATTGGTTTTACGAATTGGAAATTAAAAATAATTATTCGGGTGAAACTATTCATCAAATAGGAATTTCTGATTTGAATCAATCTATTTTTAATTTAAAAGAGAAATCCAATTATTCGATAAAAGCTGCTGCCTACACTAGTGCTGGAAAAAGTCCCTGGTCCAGAGAATTTAAAGGACAAACTTTAAGGTTGTGAAAAAAATTTTAAAACAATTTATTTAAAGAAAAATTTGTTTTAAATTCAATTAAATGTTTTCTTATTTCAGAAATGAAATTCAAGCGTCAATTTTGTGGTCCACACAAGAAGGATTTTTAATAAGCGATGTGACTGGAGAAAATTTAGATATTTTGATTCACAATACAAATTTAAAAGAAGATGGAATTGAATATTTTATTCGAGATGTGAGTTGGTACAAAGATTTATTGTATATTGTGGGAAATAATTCTGTTCTTTATCAATATAATATGACGAGTCATCAGAAATCATCATTAAATATTAATTCCGTAAGCAGCATTGCAGTTGATTGGATATCAAAAAAACTCTATTGGGCGAATCAAAAACAACAAATTGTAAGATATTTTTTATTTTATTTCAGAGAAAACAAAGAATTTTTTTAATAAATAAACTTCTTTTAGATAATAAGATCAAATATGAATGGATCTAATCAACAACTCTTACCTATTATATCCAATGTTAAAGAATTAATAATTGATTCTTTAGAGGCTTATTTATATTGGACAACTGGCTATACTATCGAAGTCACTAGATTGAATGGTCAAGAAAGAAGATATTACCATTCAGATGAAATATTCAGTGACAAACAAGTCATAGGCTTGACCTTAGACTTGGAAAATCGATTTCTCTATTGGATTATCAGAAACTATGAGAGTGTATCAATTTTATATCGAGCTCCTACTTCGGAAAAATTGCCTTGGAATCGAAAAATAATACCAGAAAAAGTATTAAAATAATTTATTACATTAATAAAAAAAAATAATTATTAAATAATTAAATATCGATTATTTTTTTTAGATATCGATGATGGAATCTAAAACTATTCAAGGTCCTTTATGCTATTTTTCTCAACATTTATTATGGCTACAAGATAATAGAAATGCAATAATTGGTGATATGATTGGACAAAACACAGCAATAATTAATGGAATAAAATTATCTCGCCTTCATATGACATCGATTTTAAATCCATTTCTTCATCAATTACCAAAGTCTTTTAATTCTTTTGAAAATATCAATGTTTTACCAAATGCTGTCAATATTCAAAGTATAAGAATCGAAGGCAATTGGACAAATTTCAACATAACTTGGGATGCTGTTAATAATACAAATTATGGAATTGTCAATTATGAAGTGAAATTTATCGATATCAATAAAAATTTAATTGAAAAATTAACAACTGAAACTTCCATCGTTTACAATAATAGTTTACAAACAATTCAACCATACAGTTTGATTGATGTCAAAATAAAAGCATTCACTTATTGGGATAGTGCTCATTATAGTAGAAAAATTTTGAGATCACCTCAAAGTATTCCAAGTCAGCCTCGTAATCCAAGAGCTTTTGTGGAATTTCAAAATTATCCATTAGCCAATATGACAAAATTTGATTTTGTCTTAAGGTAAATTAAAATGTCATTAAATCTTTTTTTTTTTTTGTTAATTAATTTCAAATAAAAATATTTATTTTTCAGATGGGATTTGCCTCAATCATCAAATGGAATTATTTTAGGATTCGTTCTCAAGTATTGGTATACAATAGATAAAAGTGATTTTATCATTTCCGATTCAATCAATATTTCATCATCAAAACTTGAATTTACGTTATCTCATGTTTTACCAAAAACAATATATCATTTTCAAGTGCAAGCCTATACTGAAATTGGCGTTGGACCTTATACAAATGAACTCAGTATATCGACAAAAAATGAAATTTTTTTACCACAATTATTAATTGTAACTACAAATATGCTGAAAATTTTTGATCTTGATCGGCAAATTAATCAAATAATTAATTCACAATCTATTCGAGAATTAATATATTTAGCCGCTGATGAAAAAATATTTTCTATAAACGAAATGCAAGAATTAGTAACATTGAATATAAATGATGAAAATGTGAATAAAATTCTATCTCTAAATAATTCGGCTAATAGTATTTGTGTCGATTGGATTTCAAGAAATTTATTTTGGTCCGAAACGAGTTATAAAAAATCTAATGGCAGTTACATAATGAAATTACAATTATCAACTTGGCACTCGGGAAAATTGAAATATAAAAAAATTATTTTACGAAACAATCGAATTGTAAATTTGGATATTTCGCCCTCAAAAGGGTAAATATTTTTTTTTAAATTTCCTTTTTTTTAATATCAAATATAAATTTTAATATTTCATTTCAGAAAATTATTTTGGATGGAATTGAACAGTAAACAAGATCGTGGAGTAATAATGTACTCGGATTTATCTGGTGAGAATGTAAAACCATTTTTCAATCAAATGAAAGACTGCTCTTGTCCTTTTATGCCAGTAATTCGACCTGTTTTTACAATTGACAATACAAATCCTCATAATCCAACAATTTATTGGATATCATTGGAGGGACATCTTCACGAATCAGATATTGACGGATGTTTTTGTAATTTAATCATCGTTAGTGAAGAACTACTCTCTCCAAGTTCTCTAACTGTTGATAAAAAAAATATTTACTGGTCAAATACAAAAACAGAAAAATTATATCTCGTAAATAAAATACATCCCAACAAAGAGGGAATAAAAAAATATCATTCGGCAAATGTGAATAAAATTAAAGCTTTTGGAAAATCATTACAACCTTATCCTGATAGTGAATGTTTCACATTTTCACAATCGGATTATAATATTCAAGAAATTTCTAAAACAAAAAACAGTATCAAAATCAAAATGCCACAGCCAATTTTTCATGAAATTTGTGACAATTATAATTTACCATCCACATTGTATACAATTTATTATTCCGAATGTTTAGAAGAAAATAAATGCTCTGAGGAAATAAAATTACAAACATACGATGCAGAAATGGAAATTGAAAAATTAAAATCATTTACAAAATATCGATTTAGATTAGGATTGAGCAATTATTACAATAGTAATGAAAATTTTAGTTCTGAAATTATTTTACAAACAGAAGTTGGAATTCCATCAAGACCACGAAATGTCACTGTTAAATCTTTAACACCGACAACAGCGGCAGTTTATTGGTTGCCATCAGAAATATTAAATGCCAATTATATTAATTATAAAACATATTGGACACCAAATACAATTAATGGAAGAGTAAAAAAAACATCTGGCATTATTGAAGAATCAGGACAATTAGAAGATGGAAGACATTTTGCTATTTTACATCATATGCTTCCTAATCAAGAATATAAAATTTTTGTTCGCGCCTATCCTCCAAATTTCATTGACAATCATAATGAAAGTAATGAACAATATCTCAAAATGTATCCTGAGCCAAATAATTTAACTGTTGAATATTTTACAACAGCTTTGACTATATTTTGGTCACCCGATATTAATTTGACTGTTGATTATTCTCTTGAATTTACATCATTGACTCTTAATAAATGGCAAATTGTTAATATTTCAAAAATAATTAATAATACCGCAGAATTTCATATTATAAACTTGGAACCAAAAACTTCGTATAAATTTCGTTTAATGATCAAATATCCTGATAGTAAAGAACAATTTATTTGGCCAAATGATAATCGATTTATTTTTGAAACACTTGGTAAGAAAAAAATTCTGTTTAAATCAGATTCTGTAAGATTGAATATTTTTTAATTTTAGATGATGTACCAAGTGCACCGGGAAAACCAACAATAGGATCAATTTTAATTATGAGTGCCTCTGTTGTCATTAGCGTCATGTTATTTAGTTTTTGTTACTTAATTTGTGGTAAGTTTTATTTAATTTTTTTGATTTGTCAAAAACTTATATATTTTGAATTTAATAGGAAGTTATAGACAGCGTAAAGAAGATAAAAAAGCAATTCTATCACCGAGAATATCCATCATTGAATTGCCTACATTGAGAGAAATTCCTCGGGGAAATTTTGTTCAAACCAATGCCTTGTATTGTCCATTAACATTGCAATGTGATAACGATGATATGATGTTACCTAAAATAAAAAGAGATCAAATAATATTAAACAGATTTTTGGGTAGTGGTGCTTTCGGAGAGGTTTGTTATTTTTATATAAAAAAAAAAAAAAATAAAATTTTATCAATTGTTTTAAATTAATTAATTTCCAAAGGTATTTGAAGGAACTGCGAAAGATCTTAATGGACCAGGATATACGCCAGTTGCAATAAAAACTTTAAGAAAGGGAGCATCCGCACAAGAAAAAAATGAATTCATTAAAGAAGCAAGACTAATGAGTCATTTTCGACATAAACATGTTCTTTTGCTATTGGGTGTTTGTTTAGAAACTGATTCACCTTTATTAGTTTTAGAATTAATGACAGGTGGTGATTTATTAAGTTATTTAAGATCTCATCGATCTATTCAACCTTCGGATCCCAATGCACTCACTCTTCAAGATTTACTATCAATATGTGAAGATGTTGCGAGAGGATGTCGCTATCTTGAGGAACTTCATTTTGTCCATCGTGATCTTGCTTGTAGAAATTGTTTGGTATCATCTAATGATCGTCAACATCGAGTCGTAAAAATTGGTGATTTTGGACTTGCTCGTGATATTTATAAAAATGATTATTATCGCAAGGTTATTAATTCTATTATTTTTTGAAATTTAATGTTTAAAAATCATTTTTAAAAAATCATTTCAAAAAATTATTTTTAAAAAATCATTTTTATTATAGGAAGGAGAAGGATTATTACCAGTTCGTTGGATGGCTCCAGAATCATTAGTAGATGGAGTATTTACATCTCAGAGTGATGTTTGGGCATTTGGTGTTCTAATTTGGGAGATAACATCATTAGGACAACAACCATATCCGGCAAGAACGAATCAAGAAGTTCTTCATTACGTAAGAACTGGCGGTAGGTTACCAAAACCTTATAATTGTCCTAAAACTTTGCATCATTTGATGCTGAGATGCTGGAGTTCTATTGAAAGGAGACCAAGTTTCAAATCATGTCTAGAAGAAATTGTCACCTTGAGAAATACCATCGAAGATTCATGTTTGGTTCAAGTATTTTCGAGTCGTTACTTATCACAAATAGGTAAGTCTTTCATTCCTAAAAAAAAAACAATTTTTAAACGTTTAATTTAATATTTAATTTTCAGGATGTTCGGGAAAATCGACTAACTCAGAAGAAAGGCGACAGGAAAGTACAATTTCAACATTATTAGCTCCTAAGTATTTAGAATTATTATCGAGTCCAGATGAGTGGTCCATCTCTTCTAAAAATCCCATATCTGCCTACGAAGTGCCAAGATCTACATTAGTAGATAAAAATGCAAATTTCCAATTTTCTGAAAATTCAAAACATGAAAATTCAAACGATGAAGAAACATCAAATTTAGAGAGTCAAATTGTAGATAAACAAATTCTAAATAAAATCCTACAGAGAAAAAATCAACAAAGAAGACTCTCTGTAACTAGTTTAAATATTCCGGAAAAAAAGAGAATTTCCATTGTCAATTGTCGAAAAAAATGTCGATCCCTTGATAATCGACAATTGAGAAACAATATAAATTGTAAAGACACGAGATTTTCCAAATATTTAAAAAATCCACGAAAAGTGATAAAAATGAGCTCAACTGACAATTTGAATTTAAAGGAAAATATCAATAATTCTAAAGAATCAAATACAAATTTAGATATAAGACCAAGTTCTTCATTAATTAATTCTGAAACTTCCACAAAAATTAGTCAATACAATCTAGACAATAGTGAAATAAATAAAAGATTTTCAAATTTATTAAAAATTCAAAAAACAAATTCCAGCTTACAAAAAGCGAAAATTCCACTAGTGATAAATAATGCATTGTTAAATTTACTGCAACAAACACCTGAAATTGAAGATAATGAAAGAATTATTACTTATACAATTATAAATACTGATGCACTTAGAGTAAATGGATCTTAAAGAAAAGAAAATTGAAAGAGACTTCAATGTTCACTATTTAGACTGATACTTTGAATTAAAAATTAGGGAAATTTGACTAAAGATAATTATAAGAAAATTTTTTTGACTAGTGAACATTATAAAATATATTTTAATTTAATTGATAATAATTTATTATTAAAATATAATATAAAAATAATTTTTAATGCGTAAAGCAATTGCAAAAGTGCCACAATTGACATCATTAATGAGACAAATCTTAAACTCATTAATGTTAGTGAATATATTATGCCAAATGATATTTTTATACAATCTATTATATTAAATTATTATAAATAACTCATATACAGTAGTAGTTGATAATTAATTTTTTTTAAAGATTTGTTAAGTTTTTTGTGCTTTTATATTCTGAGGAATAAATGATTCTAATGTATGTATCTTAAATAGAAAGTTTTCTATTTTAATTATTTATAAAGAAAGAGTGCCTTCAATTCTATTTATAAGTTATTTAAAATTAAAATACTTTCTCATGTGATGAGAATGTAAAAATTTAAAATTATTAAGCAGGTTAAGAAAACTTGCAGAATGGACTAGAAATATAATTTTTATTAAACGAAAGTTATATATAACATACTTCACTCAAAAATACGTATAATTTTTTTTTTTTTCTTGGAAAGACAATCGAAGTTTAAAACTCTATTTAAATTATATTTCAATTGAGAAAATAATTTACAAGTATCATTAATAATTAGGGAATGAAAGATCAGATTATTTTTCTTTTATATATTTGAGGATTTTATGTAGCAATTTTTTTGACAAAATTCACAGCAGTAATTCTAAAGTTATATGGCCCTGTATATTGTTTATATGTATAAATTTATGTAATTGCGCTCCACTATTTTTTTAATTACTTTGTATACGTTTGTAAACATGAAAAATGAAAATTAATGTTAACAATGTTTTTTTTTTTATATAACGATTGTAAATAAATTTGTCATCATTTTGAGAAATTTTATATACATTGCATTTATTATTTACAAATACTCATCAAATTGAGTAATCATACATTGATTATTATTAATTAATTACAATTGTAATTATAATTTAATCAAACTCACCTGTCTTCAAATTTTTGATTTTTTTTTTTAAATGTAATTATCTCAATTTTTCGAAGTCATTGTAAATACCAAAATAAGCAAATCGAAGATACGAATCTCGTAATATTCGAAAATTAAATGTGAGTTTAATTACAATCGTTTCCTAAAATTAATTTAAACGTTAATTAGGTATTGAACTACAATTATTTATTGAATTTGAATTATATTTCGGAATTTCAGAATAAGAAGTAATAATTTTTAAATATTGATTTAAATCTAATATCACCAATTAACGTAGATAAAAGAAGAATTATCGAAATTCTTTTTCTAAATGTGTTAGTAAATACCACTAAAAAAAAAAAAAATTGTAGCATACCTAAATTGCAATTCTATTTTATCGTGTCTAAAACTTCCATCTTGTTTTCATTGATAGTTAGTGATTTTAATTTACTGTTCCAAACGCAAGGTATGTAGATTGAAAAATATCTGTAACAAAAAACGGTTATTTTGAATTTAATTACAGTAAATGAAATTAAAAGATTTTTTTTTGAAACTGAATTAATTACCTATTTTGAACTACTGGGAACATCGTCATCTTGATCTTCGTCCTTACTTTTCTCATGAAGCAAAACATATTCTCGTGTACTAAATCCAAATTTAATAACATCTCGTTCAAGTAATTCGTGATACCTTCTTCCTTCTAATTTGACATCATTGACAAATGTTCCATTCGCTGATTCTAAATCAATTAAATAGGGTCGTACACGTCGACCTTGTGAACCATCCTCTCTTGAATATGGAACTAAACGATATTGCAATGCCGCATGTTGTTTTGAACATGAAGGATGATCTAAAGGAATATCAGCAATTTTTCGATCTCTACCCATTAAAAATGCCGATTGACGATGAATATAAAGTGTAGGCAATGATTTTTCTCCTTTAAATTGATACAATCTCCATCTTCTTTTTGGTTTCATTGCATCATCGGGTTCAGCATATTTTATAACAACTCCATTAACTGTATTTGTATCTTCAGTTAATTTACCTGATAATCCAAAATTTGGTTTTTCTTTCTCTTGTGGTTTTGGTTTCTCTTCATTTTTTATATTCGCTTTTCCCCATTGTGGCGATGCTTCTTTTTTAATTCTTTCTCTTTCAAAACTACTTTTACTATCACGTTTATTATTTTTAAAATCACGTTGCCTATCATCTTTAGATCTTTTTGATGGACCTTCATCGTCCATATGTCGTGGATGATCATTTCTCCTTGGTGGTGGAGTTTCTAATCTTCGTTTTCTTTCTTGTCGGCTATTATTTTTGTGAAATTTATTTCGTCTATCATTTCTGTCAGCATCATATCTACCACGATTACTTTCTCGATGATGATCACTGCTATTAGTTTTTTGATAACCTCGTCGTTTTCTTCGTGATTTATTTCTACTTTCATCGTCACTGCTATTACTGCTGTCAGATGACATTTTTACTTGTGATTATGAATTATAATTGCTAAAATGAAAATGTTTTTTTCAATTAAATTTTGATAGAAAGACGCAAACAGAAGTATACATTTTTTAGGTTATGTTATGTTTCAGAAATATGTGTTTTACTGTACATACCTAGTGTCGGTGTTGTAATTTTCTTCTTAAAAAAAATATGTTTATTTACTTTTTAATGTTTATTTACAAAAAAATTTGTTAAATTCTCACTTAATATATTATATTTTATTGCTTTTTTTATTATTGGGTCTCAACTCACAATCCATTGATATTTTTGTTTGTTGACATTTCGAGAGTTTCGAGAATTCTGGTATCGAATGATAGGTGGTGCGATATATCGAAAGTGAAATTTGAATTCAAAAAACAGGTTTTCTTATTCTTATTTTAATTTATTGAAAAATATAATTTACAGGTCATTTTGTGGTTTATAATTTTATATTGTAACATTTATAACAAATAATGCATTATACATACTCTTAGAAATAATAAATTTAAAATCATATATACGTATTATTAAAATTAAAAAATATTTTATATTTATCGTCTATATTCAGTTCTTTGTTGTTAACTTAAAAATAAAAGCAAAACAACAAATATAATAAATAATCCGATTTCCAGTGTGACTGCACATATTTTGTGGAAGTCGTTTTATAACAATGAATTCGTTATTAATTATTAATTATTAATTATTAAATTTACTATAACAAAATATTACTATAATATAGTTATTATCGAAGGAACTTTACAAAATCTTTGGAATAAGTGTATAATTTTTTTTTTTTTTAATTATAAACAGTTTTTGATTCTTGTAATAAATTATAGAAGATGATGATATAGTCTTCTTTTTCTCTTTGTTTTTAAATTTATACAATGATTGTAAAAAATAGTAAAAATCACACACACACATTTTATATAAAATTTTAAAAAATTTACATTTCCGTTAATGTTTTTTACACGCGCATTTTAACAATTTTTATTTAAATATTTAAAAAATGTTTTTAAAAAAATTTTTCAAAATATATATTTCTTCAAAAAAAAAGAATTTAAAAAGTATTTTGAAGAAAAATATTCTGTTTTTTTTGTAATTTTTTCTTTAAAAAAAATCACACACACACACATCTTATATAAAATTTTAAAAAATTTACATTTTCGTTAATATTTTTTACACGCGCATTTTAACAATTTTTATTTAAATATTTAAAAAATGTTTTAAAAAAATTTTTTCAAACTATATATTTCTTCAAAAAAAAAAAGAATCTAAAAAGTATTTTGAAGAAAAATGTTCTGTTTCTTTTTTGTAATTTTTTCTTTAAAAAAATCTTTTCGCTTGAATTGTTAAACAATTGTCGGTGATTGTAAAACAACTGGCGCACGTCTTACTTTGAGTGCTTCTGGACTCATCTGTTTATTTATTTGATCATAATTGTACATGACTGAAAGTCCATTGTCGGTGGTCGGCTTTCTTGTGAAGTTATTATTTTTATTTTGCATTGAATCGTGATGGATTTTATTTTCTCGTTCTATTGATGTTGTTGTATTATAAAATGCATCAGCGGCAATGCTACCCACTACTTCTTCCTCTTCTTCTTCTTCTTGTCGATAGCGTCTATGTTTTACACGGCACCAACAATAAATTCCAATGCATATCAGCAAAAAAATAAAAAGTAAACCTACCGCAGCAGCTGCTGCCAATACTCGCATTTCCGTTGGGTCACGGACAAGTAATTTTAAATTCGTTGAATCTCTTCCTTTTTCACTTTCAACTAAAAGTGTATAAGTTCTTGCATCTTCTTTTTGTATATTTTTAATAATAAGTATCGCCCAATAACAATTTGATGTTGATTTACTATCGGCAATTGGCTCCAATGGCAATGCCTCATATTTTGGATGAATTGTTTCACCTGTTAAAAAAAGAAATTTTAATTAAAAATTCTTTTTTTTCTTTTTTAATATCCCTATTGTATTACGTAATATGGGCAAATGATAGAGCCATTAAAATCCAATTTGGTTTCATACTAAACGAAATTACGAAAGAATTGAATTAGTCAGAGGGCAATTAGATTTTTTTGAAAAAAAAAAAAGACATACCTGCTCTAAGTTGTAAACTCCCCCATTGCCAAGCGACTAATCGGGGCGGTGGCCTTGAGCAAAAGCTTGACTTTAATTGATGTACCGGTTCTCCGGACCATCCTATTGACTCATAAACTCCATTATCTCCCAAAGATGAACGTATGGTTTGTATTTCTGGCGGTCCCATGACATTAAGTACAAAACGTTCTTCGCTTCGAATTTCCCTTCGAACGCCGTTGATGAAATTGTATGCGAAACATCTGTACTCACCCTCATCTGACCACATGACATTTTCTAGTCTCAATTTTTTTCCTCCCTGTTTTTCTTGTTTTGGATTTTCAATTATTTCAGGAAATCCACCACGCACATGTTCCCATCTGTATTGTGCCGGTGGATTTGCATCATATTCGGCACACTCAAAAGGATCTATCGTTGCTCCTAAAGATGTTATTTCCTCTACATCTGGAATTGTTCCATTGAATGTTTTTTTGCTCACTTTCAATTTTGGCGCATCTGTAATTTGAAAAAATTTTTCTTAAAAATAGTTCTTTTACTAAATTTCTTTTTTTTTTGGGAAAATTGAAAATTATTATTTTTTTTTTTTTTACTAACATTGAACGTCCATTCTGTAACTCGCTGGAGCACTTTCGCCAATAATATTTGTAGCTTTGCAGGAATAGAGTCCAGCATCACCTCTCATCACAGGTTCAAATCTCACTTCGGAGGCTATTAAAGTATTTTGATAAGTTCTGTTAGCTGAAACAGTCATTGTTGCACTGTTTGTTGTACTTATTGGAGTAGAGTCTTTGAACCATTTAATTGCACCAATTGGATTGGAATCGGCGATGCATTTCAAACTTATAAAACTTGCTGAATCTTCCAAAGATGTTGTCAACATTCGTGGACTAGTTTCTATTCGCGTTTCAGGTGTATCTAAACAAATTTTCATTTTTTATTTTAATAAATAATTTTAAAAATATTAAATATTAAATATTAAATAATAATAATAATAATAATAAATAATAAATTTAATATTAAATATTAATATTAAATAATTTTTAAAAATATTTAAAAATAATTTATTAAAATAATTTATTTTCTTTCTAATTCTTCTTTCTTTGTAAGCCCGTTTACATGTAAATAAATAAATAAATAAATTATAATAATTTATTAAAATAATTTATTAAATTATTTTAATTATTTTAATAAATTATTTTAATTTCTAGTAAAATTATTTTGATTCCTAGTAAAATTATTTTAATAATTATTTCAAATACACTACTCAGAAAAAAATTCGTTTGAAGCAACCAAAAATTTTGGTTAAATCAACAAAATAAATGCATTGATATACAGTTAACCAATCATTTGGTTGCATAAATCAAACGTTTATTTAGCTCAATTTTTTTCTTTGTTCAAAAAATTTATTAAAATAAACCAAACAGTTATTTAGATCAAATTTATTTGAATTAAACAAATTTTGGTTTGAACTAAACAAAAAAATTGGGTAAATATAAAAAAAATGATACATTTGGTTCAAACATATCTTTTTTCTGAGTGTAAAATTAATTATTTTAATAATTTATTTAATAGTGATAAAAATGTTGAATTGAAAAAAAAATTTTGCTTTTAAAATTATTAGAGTAATTAAAAAATGATTTTTTTCAAAATAAAATTTTTTTTTTTTTAATTAAAATAATTGAAATTGAAATATTTACATTGAACGTCCAATCGCGATTCTGTATAAGCGGGAGATGTGTTTGAAGGATGTAAAGTGAGACATCTTATAGGAAGACCGTGATTTTCACGTTGTCCTCGAACTTTTAATAGACTATACGCGACCCATGTTTTTGGACTGTCAACTTCCGTTGCATTTGTTTGTTCCCTTAAAGCTTCAACTTCATCTCCGCCAATAAACCTGAAAATAGAATTATTTTTCTAAAATTAATTTTATTATTTTTAATTTCTGAAGATTTTGTTTATTTCTTTTCTTTAAGGAAATTAATTCTTTTTACAAATTTTAATATAATTATAATTTAATTATAATTATAAGTATAATTTAATTTTAATTATAATTATAATTTAATTATAATTATAACTATTTTTATAAAACAGTTTTTCTAATAGAAGAAATTATCGAAAAACAAAAATAGAACGCAGAAAGTAGATAAAAATAATTCTCCCCACAACTCAATTTTCGCTTGGGAGAAATTAAATTTTCGACACATTCTTAAAAAAAAAATATATATATTCTGAGAAAAAAGACTTTCAGAGTAATTTTTTTTTTTATTACTAAAATGGAATGATTAACTATAAAGGAATGCAACGAAAGCAAAACTCGTAAAACAAAAAAATGCAATCTGTTAATCTGACTTCAGAACCCCACTGAGGCAATATTAGAGTGAAGGATCGGGAGAATGTGAGTAAAATAAAAAAAAAAAAAAGAAACTCGAGAGGGTACGCACCCACTATTAGAGAAGTTTAGATAAGGCGCGGCTTAAATCACTAGACCGTGAAGTTAAAAAGACATGGACAACCCTTTCCTGTATAAAGACGACGTTCCGGAACTTGCTCTTCTTCTTCTATATATATATATAGTATACATATGGTTATACGGGAAATGAAACAGTCCTCATCGCAATTGTAAGAAAATTATAAAGATTCTTCACAAGAAATGAAAAGTTAAAAAATAATATATAAGTCATATATGTTGATTGTAATATACAATGTGGGGGGGGGGGGGAAATTGTAATAAATGTAGGTAATAATAATAAATTTGCAGTTTTACAAATTATATACAGGACCCTAAAAACGAAATATAACTTAACGATTTTTTTACATAGAAGAAAAGTTTTTTTATTTATCTAATTATTCTAATTCGTTAATTTCTATCAAACTGTTTTTTTTTCAACATAAAATTTCTATAATTTGAATAATTTATTCGTGAAAATAAGTAATATAATTTTTTTTTTTTTTTTTATTTAGAAATGAAATTCAAACGTCATGGACGTCTAATTAAATCGAGCATGATATTTAAATTGTGGTGGTTAAACAGGAAAGGAATTTCGATCACTTCCGCGTCACGTTATATTTTAATATAAAGCGGGACTTTCTCGATATATAAATGTTTCTGTTTTTTTTTTTGTAATCCATATGGGAAGTAAAAAAATTTTTTTTTTAAACAATAAAATAATTTTTTTAGTTTAAGAAAAAGAATTATAAAAAATTGAAATTCATTTTGAACGAATTTTACTGTTATCTATACATATAATCGGATTAGGTTCTCCAAGGGGGAGCTAAAAGATCACTGATTAAAAATTGAAAAAAATTTTAAATTAAAATTAACTATATCTATATATGTATATTAAAGCGCAACAGGTAATATAGGGAAAAAAATTACAGTACACTTACCACTTGATGAGAGCTGGTGGATTTCCATATCTGGAAACGCAGGAAATCGTTGCTTCCTGGCCTTCCCTCAAAGTTAGGGCTGTACTCAAAATTGACCCACCATACTCCAAACGTGGTTTCCGGGGACTGACTGTATACAAAAATCACGCAATTTAAAAAAAAAATCGCATAATTTACAAATTAGTTTATTACTCTAAATTCCCTATTTTTTTTAATAAAAATTAATAAGAATAAAAAATACATAGTTTTTTATTTTCATTATTATATTAATCATTTTTATATTAAAAAATATAAATTTTTGAATTAAATTTTCATGTTTATATTAATATATGAGATATGTTCTTTTATATTTGAATTACATGGAAGTTGCGCAAAATGATTTTACATCATATATATAGATAGTGACTCGATGATTTTGAATTTGTACTTCTTCAACAGAGATCATGTTGTAATTTTCCGAAAGTGGAACGGAACATTTTCGCTCTTCCATTCAATGAATTGAAAATGAGTTTACGAAAGTTAAGTTGTTACCTATGTTGTTATTTTTTTTTGTAAAGTGCAGTTTAATGTAAAAGTGATTATATCGTAACAGAGTGACTCGTTAATGGGATGACGAATTTTTATTTTTTTTTTTTTACATATCCTGATGATTACACACCTCTTATGAATCACAAATAATTCAAGTTTTTTTTAAAATACCTTTTTTTAATGTATATTAAATTATTTTGAATCATATTACTAATTATTAAATAATCATATAATTTAATTTCTAAAAAAAAGCATTTAATTTCTTTTTCACCTTTTGTAATTACTATAAAGTTTTTTTTTATATTTAATATTTTTAGTATAATATTTAAAATTATTTTATTTTTTATTATACTTTTTTTATAAATATTTGTATTACTTTTATGAATTCAAAATTTGTATAACAAAGAGTCTCTTCAATTATTCAATCTTATAGTAACAATCTATACAATTCAAGATCTTCTAGCTTCTTTGAATCTCATTTACCTACTTATTTAATTTTGTGTGGATTCAACGCAAGAACCATAATCTATCAACTTCAGATTTTAGATCAGATTTACATACTGCAACTTAGTTTACTTTCAAAAATTATAATTTATACATATTTATAAATTATTATATATTTATAAATAAAAATTATAATTTATAAATTATTTTTTATTTATTTATTTATTTTTAAATTCGATAATTTTCTTTTCTAGTAAAATAAAAAGACTCAAACCCCTTTTTTTCATTTTATTTTACTAAATTGAAAATTTCAGCGGAAAAAGTGTGAAACAACAAAGAGAACTTAATTTGAAATTTAAGACTATGATAACTTTTGAAAAAAATAACATTATAACAGCTGGTTCTCACGATGTCTGTTGCTGCCAATTCAAGTGGAAGCAGAACAGCTGTACTTCAAAAGTCAAAAAAAAAAAAAACATGATCTCCGCGATCACTTACGATTTGAAAAATAGACCCTTTCATATATATTGAAATAAAAATATTATCTATACACTTAAAAATAAACCATTCTCTAAATTTGAATCAGTAAAAAAAATTCAACTAAATGAGTGACTGTTTTTTACTTAATTAAAAACTATAATTAATTAATTTACTAATTAAAAATAAAAAATAAATATATAAAAAAAAATAAAAATAAAAAATAAATAAAAATAGAAAATAAATATATAAAATAATAAATAAAAATAAAAAATATTAATAATAAACAATAATAATATTAAAAAATAATAATAAAATAAAGAGGAATATTTTTTATATACCTCTAACAAGAAGTCGAGAGGGAAGAGATGTGAGTGCATCCTGACTAGTAAAATCACCAGGAGTGACCTGACATTCCCAGAATCCATCATCAAAATCCAAAGACGCTCTTCTTATCAACAAACTGCAATCACTGTCTCTACCTCCAACCCATTCGTATTTACCAGGATGCATTCCAACTGGTTTACGGTCTTTTTGCCAAATACATTGACCCCTTTTGTCCTGTATTTTACACTTAAGTTGTATATCATCGCCAGTTGAAACCTCCTGATATAATGCTGGTGTTTCAACAAATCTTTGCTCTCCATTTATGTAAATTATATTTACAATAATAATTGCCACAATAATCCAATTATTCTTCAAACTTAACATTTCGTCAAAAAAAATTTTTTTATTTTTCTCGAATATAAATTCCACTAAATTAAACAAAATTTCATTTTTCTTTTTTAAAAGAAAAAAAAACACTTCTTAAATAATTTTTTTTTTCACAAAATCATTTTTTTTTCACGCACTTTTTAAATTAATCCAACACAATACACGTTCACATGGGATCATATTTTTTTGGAAAATGAACACTTTTTTCAAAAAAAAAAAGTCATAATTTAATCACAGAGTTCCTGTTATTCGATTCTCACTCGAATAAGGACGTTCAACAACTGGCCCTCAATGAAATTCGAAGGGCAATAATTTGAAAAAGTGGCGCCATCGTGAGCGGCAAATTGAACGCGCGGCAACGCTTTCTAAATTTTGACGGCGCGCAACAAATTTCGATGTGTTTATAAATTTTTTTTTTTTTTTTTTTTTTTTTGGAGGTTTGAAAATAAACGCGAAGAGATTGCCGCGCGAGAGTGTCAGAACAACAATGCAACACTGGTGTGGCGCACGCTATGGAACGACCCTCGATAAAATACTGAAGCAACAGAGTAAAACGTGTGCACCACTATGTTGGTCGGACCCCAAACTCGGACCCATGCGAGCGTAGCCAACCCTGTCTCCTCTTATTATTCGAGCGTGTTATCATTATGTTATAGAGCAACAGCAATGTGTGCGTTTCACGTGCCCGCGATATTATAAAGGCCTCTACGATTTTGACTTCATGATGAAAAAGAAGAAGAAGAAGAAAGAAGAAAGAAGAAGAAAAAGAAGAAGGTGTATAGGTATATAGCCAATGATGCGAGGAGCCCTTCCCTCAAGAGCGCAACAAACTTGTGCATATATTATATAAATATATACCAGAGAGACGTCTTGTAATACATATAAAGATGAGACAGCGGGCAAAAAGAAGAAGAAGAACTGAAACACAAATGAGAAAATACATCGAATCATTCCTCTTGTTACGCTGAAGCTGTATACGTTTATTATACGCGGAAGAAATTTTTAGCATATATTCTAAAACAGGAATATTTTATTGAAAGCGAATGAATTGCAGATTTTAGTAAAAAGTGTGCTTTTTTTCCCGATTTGCATTGTATATACAAGAAAATATGTATATAAATGAGAAATATTATTTTAAGCGAGAAAAGGAGTATTATTTTAAGTGGCAGTAATTTTTTAAGACGATGAATTTAAAACGAGATTTAAAAATACTTTTTTAAAATTAAAACTAAAAAGAACTCAATTAAAATACAATTTCGAACAAGAAAATTTTATTTTAAGATTAGAAATGAGTCTTATTTTAAGCTACGGCGTAAAATCAAAGAAAATTCATTTAAAATTCGCAGTCTAAATTGAGTTGAAACACAAGAAAAAGAAAGTTTTATTTTAAGGCCGAAAAGAGGTCTTATTTTAAGAGGCAACATCACAGTAAAAAAGAAAGTCTTATTTTAAGACAGAAAAAGAAAGTTTTATTTTAAGACCGAAAAGAGGTCTTACTTTAAGAGGCAATATCACAGTAAAAAGAAAGTCTTACTTTAAGACACAAAAGGTGTCTTTTTTTAAGAGGCAACATTTTTAAGACAGCACTTGCTGAATCTAAGCAATAAATTTACATGCAATTTTGAATTTAAATACGTCATGACTAGTACTGCTGAATTTAAGACTCATCTTAAAATAAGATTTACTTTCTACAGTGATTTATAAGACACCTTTGCTGAATTGCAATGCAATTTCCATTATCACAGTAAAAAGAAAGTCTTACTTTAAGACAGAAAAGGTGTCTTCTTTTAAGAGGCAATATTTTTAAGACAGCACTTGCTGAATCTAAGCAATGAATTTACATGCAATTTGAATTTAAATACGTTATGACCTGAATTTAAGACTCATCTTAAAATAAGATTTACTTTTTACAGTGATTTTTAAGACACCTTTGCTGAATTGCAATGCAATTTCCATTACACAGTAAAAAAGAAAGTCTTACTTTAAGACAGAAAAGGTGTCTTATTTTAAGACGCAACATTTTTAAGACATTTTTACTGTGTATAACTACCGATTCTGATTTTAAGACTCATCTTAAAATATAAGATTTTCTTTTTACTGCGAATCAAGATATATTTTTGAAGTTTGTAAAGAGCAACTCTTATTTTAAGGGAAGTATTAAATATTACATGAATCTTTAAAGTAAGACGGATTTTACTTGAAAACTGGTTTTCACAGTAGAAAGTAAATCTTGTTTTAACACAGAAAATTATTAAAATAAGCTGCAACGCTTATTATTTTAATCCAATTTTGCTTATTTTAATACCAAAATGGATTAAAATAAGCAAAATTGGATTAAAGTAATAAGCGTTGCAGCTTATTTTAATGCCTTTTAATTTTCTGTGAAGATGGGTCTTAAATTCAGCAGTACTAGCCATAATGTATTTAAATTCAAATTGCATGTAAATCCATTGCTTAGATTCAGCATGGACTGTCTTAAAAATGTTACTTTTTAAAATAAGAAACCTTTTTCACCAGTAAAAAGAAAATCTTATTTTTAAGATGATGAGTCTTAAAATCAGCGCTAGTAGTTATAATGGAAATTGCATTGCGTAAATTCAGCAAAGGTACCTTAAAAATTTTCCCTCTTAAAATAATAAGACCTCTTTTCGGCCTTAAAATAAGACATTCTTTTACAGTGTCTGTCTTAAAATAAGACTTTCTTTTTATTGTGTTAATTGAAACTAAAATTCATGCAAAAGTAAAATAAAATGTAAAAATAAAATATACAGTAGATCTGAATTTACTAAAAGTGTAAAATTAAGATTCACTTTAGTCTTAATTTAAGAAACACTGTTTTAAATTCAACAAATGTTTATTCTGCTATTGACCTTTAATTACTTTAAATTTAGTATACCATAAAAGCGCTGATAAATTATCTTTAAAAATCAAGAAAGAATCTGTCTTAAAAAAGTTGCAACTGAAAATGATATTTTTAAGACAGCCTTTGCGGATTTTCTTAGCTTTCTCTAATTATTGCCAACTCTTTAAATGTATAATAATAATAATACTTATTATTATTATTATTATTATTATTATTATTATTATTATTATTATTATTATTATTATTTTTATTATTATAATTATAATAATAAATTTATATTGATATTAATATTTATATATTTGTATTTATAAATTATTTTCAAACAAGTGTAAAATTAATACAATATTAAACGACAAATAAAATTTCAAAATAGACATAATTGATAATATCAGTTTAAAATATCTATAAACGGTAAATTATGTGGAAAAATCATAAAAAAATAAAATGAATGGTATATATAATATATATATTACAAAAATATTTGAATTAATAAATTTTGGAGTGTGTCACTTTCTTGGAGGTCGAGGAGTCTCATAGCACACCCACAGAGAGGCCATCTGAATCTAATGTAAAGGCATTCTCTACGTATAATACCTTTAGAATATCACGCCCTCTTCCAAACCCATTCAACTCAATAAGTTTCCGGTTCTTCTATTAAATGCAAATGCTCGCAGACCCTCCCTGCTTTTTCTTTTGGGGTCCGCTGGTATAATACCTATCAAAACAGATTTTTTTTATTTTTTTTATTTTCAATTTGGGAACTGATTTCACAACGATGAATTATGTTGAATAAATCAAATTAATAGACTACATATATATATATATATATGTAAAGAAAAAACTCGTTTTAGAAGTGTTGGGAGAAAAAAAAATAAATTAAATCAATGCCACATCAACAATGGAATGTATGTAAATATGTATTAGAATATGTAAATTCTGCTTTACTGAGCGTCATAAAACATATTTTTTATAAAAAGAAAGTTTATTAGAATAAACATAAATATACTAAATTTGTAAGAAATAAGTAGTCAATAATATATTTAATTATGAGAAAACGATATTCTAAATTTAAGAATATATAATTTTTGCTCCTGTGAATATTTATTTATTTAATAATAAATATTATTATTAATAATAAATATTAATATTAATAAATAATTATTAATTAATTTATTAAAATAATAATAATTTTCTCTTACAGTTAGAATATAACTAATATTCTTAAAATAAGAATATTTCTTAATTTGAGAATTTTTTTTTTTTTATTTCCATCAGAATTTAATAAAAATAAATTTTTATTTAAAAATTCAAATAATACATTCCTTCGTGTGAATTTTATGTCATATTAAATGACAGCGGATATAATATTTTCGTATTATAAAATTGTGAATTTTATTGCTTTTTGAAAAGGAAGAAATAATTTTTAAAAGATCAATAAGAGAGATAAAATATATTATATATAGTTATTTGATATGGCTATGGACGCTATGAAACTTGAGAAATACATAATCAGAAAATATATATGTAAGAATGAATGTTTAGTATGACAATAAAATGTTAAGCTTGCACTTTTAACATCTGCCATATATGACATCTCATTGTGAATATATATATATATATGCGAAGTTTTATAACAAAAAAAAATATGCGTACATGTGATCACGTGAACTATTTCATATTACAAAAAGAAATGGAACACCAACGGGTTCTCGAGTTCAGACGCGTTCTCCATGGCAGATTTTTTTTTTTTTTTCTTTTTTTTTCCTCGTTATAATATAGTAGAATCAGGAAAAGGTCGAGTGATTTAACGGAAGGAGAAAACTAACGGAGCTTTTGCTCATTTTCGAAGATCATTTGGTTTAAGATCACTCACTCTGAGTCTTATTTGCTTATTTGCTAGAGCTCATTTCCACTATTTTTTTTTTTTAACTTCCTCGTAAAACTTAACAATCTGGAAACAGAATTGCCCTAAGTCGATTATATCGCTTTTAAAAGTTGTATTTCAGATAAATATTTTTTTTTCAAAAATAATGCAATAATATGTATATATATTGTTTCAAGTTATAAGAAACTTATTTTATTTTAATTTTTTTACGGAAAAAAAATCTGAATTGAAAAAAATAAAATAACTCATTTTTTTTTAAATCGGAAACAAAAATAAAGGACATATCAAAAGATAATATATTCTCTGTTCTGTAATCTTAGAAGCATTGAAATAAAATACAATCAATTTTTTTACTTTATGCAAATTGCGAGTTTGATAAATTTTCCTGTAAATCTTCAGGAATTATTAATTTTTTGAAAGGGACATAAAAAGTATTCTTTGAAAGTAATCAAAATGTAGTTTTGCATATATTGTTTTCCATTGAAAATACTATTATAAGAAATTTGTATCAATCCGATTTCTAGACGCGTTTATCTTCTATAAGAAGTAAAATAAAATTATGCATATACTGCTTGCGAGTAATAATTTAGTATTAGTCTGCAAAAAGGGTTGATGTATATAATACAAGCCATATATGATCAGTTTAACACTGACTGCGAAGATGGACACTTCATACTATAAAATCAATAAATATTTGTATTGTACTATTGGCCAGTGGCCTACTCAAACGATATTAAAAAAAATATTTTTTACATTCACTATTGCACTTAATCTTTTATCTCTATTACTTGGAGTGGTACATATATGTAACATTTTTTTTACTCCACTTTTTTTTAATTAATATTTTTAAAATACAATCAGAAAAAAATTCGTTTGAAGCAACCAAATTTTGGTTAAATCAACAAAATAAATGCATTGATATACAGTTAACCAAACATTCGGTTGCATAAACCAAACGTTTATTTAGCTCAATTTTTTTCTTTGTTCAAAAAATTTATTAAAATAAACCAAACAGTTATTTAGATCAAATAAATATTTATTTGAATTAAACAAATTTTGTTTGAACTAACCAAAAAATTGGGTAAATATATAAAAAATTTTTACATTTAGTTCAAACATATCTTTTTTCTGAGTGTAGAGAATTTGAAAATTTTTTCTATAATATTAATTGTTTATTAAAAAATATTAACAGTATTAATAATTATTAATAAAATAATTTAATTGGTTAATTCAGGTGTTAGGACTAGTCAAAGTTTGGGGTAACATCGACGATATAATTAAAGGTTTACCTTCATTTTTGGTTATTGTCGCGAGTATTATATACTTAATTGCTTCTTGCTTTAATAAAAAAAAAGTAAGTTATTATTTGACATTATACAGAATGATTTTTATGTTCTGGAACAGCTAAAAAAAAAATTTAATACCACTTTTTTGTGTTTAAAAACCGAAATAAGATTTTAAAAAAATTCAGGGGGTCCGGAACATTAAAATCCCCCTGTATTTATCATAAGCAAATTAAAATAATGCCTGAATATAAAAAATAAATTTATCATAATAATTGTAAATTAATAATTAAATTAAAAATATATTTAATAAAAAATATTTAAATATATAAATAGTTATTAATAGATGGGGAATAGGGAGCGTAAAAACCTTAAAATGGTGTACGCAGAAAATCTAAATGAAAAAAAATTATTATTAATAATATTAAAAAAAAATACTATAATTTTTTAAAATTGAATGATTTTTCTTCTTTTCTTTTCAGATGTCGTTAATTCTATTAAAAATAAAAGAAGATTGGTCCACATGGACTAAAGGTACAGAATTGAAAATATTACAAGAATATGCAAATCAAGGAAGAAAATATGTTCATGTGTATTCAAGTACAGTAATTGTTATGTTTATAATAAATAATAATAATAATTCTCATATCAAATATAAGTACTAAATTTTGTAAAAAAAAATTATTTTTTTTTTTCTTTGGAAACATCATCAGTTTTAATGATATTGAACACAATTGATTTTCTTGCCGTTCCTCTTATTCAACCATTTATGGATTTTATTTTACCATTAAATGAATCACGACCAAGAAGACTTATAATTGCAACAGATTATTTAATAATCGATCAAGACAATAATTATTTTTGGATTTCATTACATACTTGTGTCTCAACAATTGCTGTATCAATTGTTCTTGTTGGCATTGATTCAATGTTTATTGCTGTTATTTATCATGCATGTGGTGAACTTGCAATTTTAAGGTGAAAATAAATTTTGTGAAAATATTTCAAAAAAATTTTATATTTAATTTTATTTATTTATTCCAGAAATGGGATTTTAATTAGAGGTTCGATTTTCTTTTTTTTTACTTAATATTTTTTTTAAATCAAGAATTGTAATTTTTTTCTTTCTTAATATTTCACACTGAAAAAAGGGTTTTGGTATGGACAACCAAACGTTTGGTTATGGTATTTAAGTAACGAAAATTTTTTTGTTGAATCAACAAAATTTTAATTGTTTCAATCAAAATTTGTTTAACACAACCAAAATTAGAAAAAAAGGATTTTTTGTTAAAATTTGATTGGGACAACTAAAATTTTGTTGATTCAACAAAAAAAATTTGGTTGTTTAAATACCAACCAAACGTTTGGTTGTCAATACCAAACCCTTTTTTTTATGATACTATAAAAAGTATTAAATTTCAGATTTAAATTAAAAAGTCTCACAAAATTGGATCAGAATTTGACAAAAAAAAAAAAAATTTATGATGAAATAAAATTCTGTGCTAGAAAACACAATTCAGTCATAATGTTTGTAGACAATTTTTAAAAAAGAATTCACATAATAAACATTCTTATTGGCACATAGTTAAATTAGTATATTATAACAAATTATTACTTATAATAAATTTTAAAAAAATATTTATCTTAATTAAATAAATTTTTTTCAAAGCTTTGTTAAGGACATCACTGACTACTTTTCGATTCCGTCTTTTATAGTTTTGGGAATTAATATATTAATGATAAGTGTAACAGGAGTACAGGTATAAAAAAAAAATTTCAATATTCATTAAACTGAAATTTTTTTTCAAAGTACAAATTGTTTAATTGAACAGACAGTGGTGAATCTAAACAATCCGAAAGAGGCGTACACGAGTGCATTTTTTACATTAGGACAAATATTTCATCTTTTTTATCTTACTGTCCCTTGTCAATATTTAACAGATCACAGTATAAAATTATCCGAAAGCATGTAATGCGTTTTCATACATATATATAATTCTATTATATTTTTCTTACGTCTTTTATTGATTACATTTTTTACTTTGTAATTTACAACATTAATTTTAATTATATATATATATTTTTTTAGATACAATGGATGTTGGTATGAAATGCCAATTGGATCACAAAAATTATTGTTAATGATAATGCTAAGAAGTACAAGACCATGTTCTTTTATTGCTGGCAATTTATATACATTTTCGATGGAGAATTTTTCCTCGGTAAGTAAAAGAAAATCGAAAAAATATGTAATTTTTTTTTTAAATATCTAATAATTGAATTATATTTCATATATTAATAAATGTTTATTTAAATTTTTTTTGTTAAAGGTTGTTCAAACATCGATGTCTTATTTTACTGTATTATTGTCGGCACGAAAATAGAAAAAAGTATAATACTCTTGAATTTGTATATTTTATGAAAATTTTCATCTTTCGCCGGAACTTTTATTGTGCTTAATTTTATTAGTACGAAATAGATTTGAAAAATTCAGCTAAATACAAGTTAAATAAAAATTTTAATAACAAAAAAAAAAAATTCGGAGAATGAAAATTTTGTAATAAAACAAAAAAAATTGTATAAAAAATTAGTTAAGATATCCGACATATAAAAATTTGATACATTATATTTGTTGCTTTACTGACCTCTAAAATTTGGAATACTGACAAAATTAAACAAAAATATATGTAGGTATAACAAAATTGTAATTTAAAAATCAAAAATTAATCTGTTATTTTCTCTCCTTAGTCACATCGTTTCCTCTCATTATGAGAAGCTATATTTTTTTTCTAATTATTTGCAAAACAAATTTTATAATTTTTATATTTAAACAAGTTTTTTTTTTTTACTTGGAAGAAAATTTGAATATTATGATTGATAATTTCTGTTACGTTACATCGTCTATGAATGTTAAAGAAAAAATACGATAAGAAGGACATATATTATATCTTTCCCTAAAGTTGGAATAAAGTTGAAATTTTATGCGGAAAGTGTAAGGAACATTGTAAATGTTTGACATTGTATTTCCTGTAAATCTTCAGAAATTATTAATTTTTTTTTTTTGAAAGGAAGTAGAAAGATTTCTTTGAAAGTATAATAGGAAAAGTGTAGTATTGCATATTTTATTGTTTTCCATTGAAAATGATATTGTGTCAAAGAAATTTATCATCGCTTACTTTCTGGGAAATGTAATAGCTACTAAATAATTTAACATAATATTTCTGTGCAGAAGGGTTTGATTTATAATACGAACAAATGGATCAGTCGAACATTGACTACGAAGATGGACAGGTCTTACTATAAAATCAATAAATATTTATATTGTTCAATTGGCCAATGGCCAACACAGACGATATTAAAAAAAATATTAATTACATTCACTATAGCATTTAATCTTTTATCTCTACTATTTGGAGTGGTACATAGAGAAACAAATTTTTTTTCTTTTTTTTTGCTAAATTAACAAAATAAAAAATTAATAAATAAAATAACAAATATTAATAATAAATATAAAAAAAAATTGTTTAAAATACGCACAATTTGAAAAATATTCACATTTTTTTAATTAACATTTTTAAAATAGAGAATTTGAAATTTTTTTCTATAAAGTCAATGGGTTAATTAAAAATATTAATAACAATATTTATAATTATTAATAAATTTATTCAATTGGTTAATTAAGCTTTTTGGACTAGTCAAAGCTTGGGGTAATATCGATGATATAGTTAAAAGTATACCTTCATTTTTGGTTATTATCGCAAGTATTACATACTTAATTGCTTCTTGTTTAAATAAAAAAAAAGTAAGTTATTATTTGACATTATACAGGGTGATTTTTATGTTCTGGACCCGCTAAAAAAATTTTTTATACCCCTTTTTTTGTTTAAAAACCGAAATGAGATTACAAAAAAATTTTCAGGGGATCCGGAACATTAAAACCACTCTGTATTTATCATAATCAAATTAAAATAATGCCTGAATATAAAAAATAAATCCTACATTTATCATAATTATAATAAATTAATAATTAAATTCTCAATGTACTTATTAAAAATTTTTTAAATATATTAATAATAATAAATAAATACTAATTAGAATTTTTTATAATTGTATGATTTTTCTTCTTTTGTTTTCAGATGTCGTTAATTCTATTAAAAATAAAAAATGATTGGTCCACATGGACGACAGGTACAGAATTAAAAATATTAAAAGAATATGCAAATCAAGGAAGAAAATATGTTCATGTGTATTCAAGTACAGTAATTGTTATGCGTTTATAATAAATAATAATAATTCTCATATCCAAATATAAATACTAATTTTGTAAAAAATTATTTTTTTTTTCTTTGGAAACTTCATCAGTTTTAATGTTATTGAACATGATTGATTTTCTTGGCTCTCCTCTTATTCAACCATTCATGGATTTTATTTTACCATTAAATGAATCACGACCAAGAAGACTTATAATTGAAACAGATTATTTAATAATTGATCAAGATGCAAATTATTATTGGATTGCACTCCATACTTGTCTCTCAACAACTGCTGTAACAATTGTTGTTGTTGGCATTGATTCAATGTTTATTGCTGTTATTTATCATGCATGTGGTGAACTTGCAATTTTAAGGTGAAAATAAATTTTTGTGAAAATATTTCAAAAAAATTTTATATTTAATTTTATTTATTTATTCCAGAAACGGGGTTTTAATTAGAGGTTTAATTTTTTTTATTTGTTTCTTTTTCAATCAAGAATTACAATTCTTTCTTAATATTTCAAGTATTAAATTTCAGATTTAAATTGAAAAATCTCACAAACATGGAGAAGAATTTGCCTAAAAGAAATATTTATGAAGAAATAAAATTTTGTGCTAGAAAACACAATTCAGTCATAATGTTTGTATTCAATTTTTAAAAAAGGATTCATATAATAAACATTCTTATTGGCACATAGTTAAATAATTATTTTAACAAATTATTACTTATAATAAATTTAAAAAAAATATTTATCTGAATTAATTTAATTTTTTTAAAGATTTGTTAAGGACATCACTGACTACTTTTCGATTCCGTCTTTCATAGTTTTGGGAATTAATATATTAATGATTAGTGTAACAGGAGTACAGGTATAAAAAAAAATTTCAATATTTTTTGGGAATTAAATTTTTGTTCATATTTAAATTTTTTTTCAAAATACATATTGTTTAATTGAACAGACAGTGGTGAATTTAAATAATCCAAAAGATGCCCTTACGAGTGCAATGTTTACTTTAGGACAAATATTTCATCTTTTTTATCTTACTGTGCCTTGTCAATATTTAACTGATCACAGTATAAAATTATCCGAAAGCATGTAATGCATTTTCATACATAATTCTATTCTATTCTATTCTGTTCTAATTTTTCTTACATTACACTCAGAAAAAAATTCGTTTGAAGCAACCAAATTTTGGTTAAATCAACAAAATAAATGCATTGATATACAGTTAACCAAATATTTGATTGCATAAACCAAACGTTTATTTAGCTCAATTTTTTTCTGTGGTCAAAAAATTTATTAAAATAAACCAAATAAATAAATAAATAAATAAATATTTATTTGAATTAAACAAATTTTGTTTGAACTAACCAAAAAATTGGGTAAATATAAAAAAATTGGTTCAATTTCAATTGGTTTCCAAATACATTTGGTTCAAACATATCTTTTTTCTGAGTGTATATTGACATGTATTGATTATATTTTTTACTGTATAAATTACATCATTAATTTTTATTATATATTTTTTTTTTAGATACGATGGATATTGGTATGAAATGCCAATTGGATCGCAAAAATTATTATTAATGATAATGCTAAGAAGCACAAAACCTTGTTCATTTATTGCTGGCAGTTTATATACATTTTCGATGGAGAATTTTTCCTCGGTATGTAAAAAGAAATCAAAAAAAATATGTTAATATTTAAAAAAAAAAATATGATTTTTTTTTATAAATATCTAATAATTTATTTATTTTTTACATAATAATATATATTTATTTCAAATTTTTTTTTTAAAGGTGGTTCAAAAATCGATGTCATACTTTACTGTATTGTTGTCGGCACGAAAATAGAAAAACAAACTACAGTGTAATAAGGAGCAATTTTTTGACTACATTTTCAATTTTTTAAATTTATATAATAAGATGAAATTTTTCTATTTAGCAATGTTTCATAAATAATTTTTATTACACCAAATTTGTGTATTCCGGAAATTGTATTTAATGAAAATTTTCATCTTCGACTGAACTTTAAATAAATTTAATTTTGTACCAAATATCATTGAAAAATTCAGCTAACTGCAAATTTGGTTAAATGTTAAATTTATTATAATTAAAGATATAAATTGAATAAAAAAAAAAAAAGAAAAAAAGTAATGAAGATTTCCGAGATATAAAAATTTTATACATTATATTTATTATAATACTGACCTCTAAAAATTGCAAGACTGACAAATAAAAAAAAAATGTATATGTAGGTATCAAAATTTTAATTAAAAAATCAAAAATTAATCTGTTGTTTTCTCTCTGTAATCCTCTTTTTCTCTCATATTTTGAGAAACTATATTTTTTTCTAACTATTTGCAAAAAGTAATTTAAAAATTTTTATATTTATACAATTTATGTTTTTACTTAAACTTGAAAGCACAGATAATTAAAAGGCATTAAAATAAGCTGCAACGCTTATTATTTTAATCCAATTTTGCTTATTTGAATACCAAAATGGATTAAAATAAGCAAAATTGGATTAAAATAATACACAGAAAACTAAAAGGTATTAAAATAAGCTGCAACGCTTCTTATTTTAATCAAATTTTTCTTATTTTAATCCATTTTGGTATTAAAATAAGTAAAAATGGATTAAAATAAGAAGCGTTGCAGCTTATTTTAATATCTTTTAATTTTCTGTGTAAGCGTTGCAACTTATTTTAATGCCTTTTAATTTTCTGTGAGTAAATTCGAATTTTATGATTGATAATTTCTGTTTCGTTACATCGTCTATGAATGTTAGAGAAAAAATACGATAAGAAAGACATATTATATCATTCCCTAAAGTTAGAATAAAGTTGTAATTTTATGCGAAAAGTGTAAGGAACATCGTAAATGTTTGACATTGTATTTCCTGTGAATCTTCAGGAATTATTAATTTTTTTAAAAGGAAGTAAAATGATTTCTTTGAAAGTATAATAGGAGAAATGTAGTTTTGCATATGTTATTGTTTTTCATTGAAAATGATATTAATACACTGTGTCAAAGCAATTTATCATCGCTTACTTTCTGGGAAATGTAAAAGCTATACTAAATAATTTAACATATTCCTGTGCAGAAGGGTTTGATTTATAATACGAACAAATGGATCAGTCGAACAGTGTTTGCGAAGATGGACAGGTCTTACTATAAAATCAATAAATATTTGTATTGTTCTATTGGTCAGTGGCCATATCAAACAAAATTTAAACAAATATTAATTACATTGACTATCGCACTTAATCTTTTATCTCATCTATTTGGAGTGGTAAAATAGAGAAACATTATTTTTTTCTAAATTTACACAATAAAACAATAATAAATAAAATAATATTAATAATAGTGATAAATATAAAAAATTTGTTTATAAAATACAATTTGAAAAATATTTTTTTATGAACACTTTCAAAATTTTGAATTTGTAATTTTTTTTCTTAAAAATCAATAATTTATTTAAAAATATTAATAACAATTTAATAATTGTTAATAAAATAATTCAATTTGTTAATAAAGGTTTGTGGACTAGTCAAAGCTTGGGGTAATATCGATGATATAGTTAAAAGTTTACCTTCATTATTGATTATTATCGCAAGTATTACATACTTAATTGCTTCTTGTTTAAATAAAAAAAAAGTAAGTTATTATTTGACATTATTATGTATTTATCATAATTAAATTAAAATAATAATAGAATAATATAAAAAATAAATCCAATATTTATCACAATAATAAAAAATTAATACTTAAATTAATTATGCACTGTTAAAAATCAGGCTTCAACTTTACACTAAAAAGATTGAAATTATATATTTTCAATCTCGACAAGTGCGAATGTTTTTATTTCATTGGCTTAAAATTTTTTGTCCAACCAATGACATGCAAACATTTACACTTTTCGGATTGAAAATATATTATTTCAATCTTTTTAGTGTAAAGTTGAAGCCCGATTTTTAACAGTGTGTATTTTATAAAGAATATTTAAATATATTATTATTTATTAATAATAATACATAAATATTAACATTGAAATTTTTTTCAAAAATGATTTTTCTTCTTTTGTTTTCAGATGTCGTTAATTCTATTAAAAATAAAAAAAGATTGGTCCACATGGACAACAGGTACAGAATTAAAAATATTAAAAGAATATGCAAATCAAGGAAGGAAATATGTTTATGTGTATTCAAGTACAGTAATTGTTATGTTTTTGTAAATAATAATAATTCTCATATTAAATATAAATACTAATTTTGTAAAAAATTATTATTTTTCTTTCGAATCATTATCAGTTTTAATGTTATTGAACATGATTGATTTTCTTGGCTCTCCTCTTATTCAACCATTCATGGATTTGATTTTACCATTAAATGAATCACGACCAAGAAGACTTATAATTGAAACAGATTTTTTAATAATTGATCAAGATGCTAATTATTATTGGATTGCTCTTCATACTTGTCTCTCAACAACTACTATAACAATTATTATTGTTAGCATTGATTCAATGTTTATTGCTGTTATTTATCATGCATGTGGTGAACTTGCAATTTTAAGGTGAAAATAAATTTTTGTGAAAATATTTCAAAAAAATGTTATATTTAATTTTATTTATTTATTCCAAAAACGGTGTTTTAATTATATGTTCAATTTTTTGTTCTAATTAATTGTTTTTTTCCAAATCAAGAATTATAGTTTTCTTTCTTAATATTTCAAGTACTTAATTTTAGATTTAAATTGAAAAATCTCACAAACATGGATAAGAATTTGCCTAAAAGAAATATTTATGATGAAATAAAATTCTGTGCTAGAAAACACAATTCAGTCGTAATGTTTGTAGACAATTTTTAAAAAAGAATTCACATAATAAACATTCTTATTGGCACATAGTTAAATTAGTATATTATAACAAATTATTACTTATAATAAATTTACAAAAAAATATTTATCTGAATTAATTAAATTTTTTTCAAAGCTTTGTTAAGGACATCACTGACTACTTTTCGATTCCGTCTTTTATAGTTTTGGGAATTAATATATTGATGATTAGTGTGACAGGAGTACAGGTATAAAAAAAAAAATTTGAATATTTTTTGGGAATTAAATTTTTGTTCATATTGAAATTTTTTTTCTTCAAAATACATATTATATTGTTTAATTGAACAGACAGTGGTGAATTTAAACAATCCAAATGATGCCCTTACGAGTGCAATGTTTACTTTAGGACAAATATTTCATCTTTTTTATCTTACTGTGCCTTGTCAATATTTAACTGATAACAGTATAAAATTATCCGAAAGCATGTAATGCATTTTCATACATAAGTCTATTCTATTCTATTCTATTCTATTCTATTCTATTCTATTCTATTCTATTCTATTCTATTCTATTCTATTCTAATGTTTTTTACATTATATTGACTTGTATTGATTATATTTTTTACTATGTAAATTACATAATTAATTTTTATTATATTTTTTTAGATACGATGGATATTGGTATGAAATGCCAATCGGATCACAAAAATTATTGTTAATGATAATGCTAAGAAGTACAAGACCATGTTCATTTATTGCTGGCAATTTATATACATTTTCGATGGAGAATTTTTCCTCGGTAAGTAAAAGGAAATCGAAAAAATATGTAATTTTTTTTTTAAATATCTAATAATTGAATTATATTTTTTAAATATCAATAAATATTTATTTCAAATTTTTTTGTTAAAGGTTGTTCAAAAATCGATGACTTACTTTACTGTATTATTGTCGGCACGAAAATAAAAAAAAAAAGAACTACAGACTAATAAGGAGTAATTTTTAGACTGCATTTTTAATAATTTAAATTATATATAATAAGATGAAATTTTGTCTATTTAGCAATGTTTCATAAATAATTTTTATTACACCGAATTTGCCTACTCCGGAATTTGTATTTAATGAAAATTTTCATCTTTCGACTGAACTTTAATTGAATTTAATTTTGTACCAAATATCATTGAAAAATTCAGTTAACTGCAAATTTGGTTAAATGTTAATTTTATTAATTAAATATACAAATTGAATATTAAAAAAAAAAAGAAAAAAAAAACTAAAGAAGATTTCCGAGATATAAAAATTTTATACATTATATTTATTATAATACTGACCTCTGAAAAATTGGAAGACTGACAAATTAAAAAAAAAAAGTATATGTAGGTATCAAAATTTTAATTAAAAAATCAAAAATTAATCTGTTGTTTTCTCTTTCTAATCCTCTTTTTCTTTCAATTTGAGAAACTATATTTTTTTCTAACTACTTGCAAAACAAATTTTATAATTTTTATATTTAAACATTTTTTTTTGTACTTGGTAGAAAATTTTAATATTATGATTGATAATTTCTGTTTCGTGACATCGTCTATGAATGTTAGAGAAAAAATAAGAAAGACATATTCATTCCCCAAAGTTAGAATAAAGTTGTAATTTTATGCGGAAAGTGTATAAGGAACATCGTAAATGTTTAAGATTCTATTTCCTATAAATCTTCAGGAATTATTAATTTTTTTTTGAAAGGAAATAGAATGATTTCTTTGAAAGTATAATAGGAAAAAATGTAGTTTTGCATATATTATTATTTTTCATTGAAAATGATATTAATACACTCTGTCATTACAATTTCTCGACGGCTTATCTTCTGGGAAATATAAATAGGCTATTACATAATTTAACATTTTACTCTGCATAAGGGTTTGATTTTATAATACAAGCAATCGGATCAGTCGAACATTGACTACGAAGATGGACAGGTCTTACTACAAAATCAATAAATATTTGTATTGTACTATTGGCCAGTGGCCCACTCAAACGAAATTTAAAAGAATATTAATTACATTCACTATTGCACTTATTCTTTTATCTGCAATACTTGTAGTGGTACATAGGGAAATATTTTTTTTTCTATATTAATAAAATAAAATAGTTATAAATGATATATTATAAATAATAAATAAATAAATAATATTAAATTTTAATTAATAAAATTATCTAATAAATAGTAACACAGAAAATTAAAAGGCATTAATAATTGTCCTCTATTAATTCTCTACTAGATCTTTATTACGAGGTTTTTTAGGGACCTAATAGAGTATTAAAATTTCGACTCGGGAAGCGTTGCAGCTTATTTTAATACCTTCTAATTTTCTGTAAAATTACAATAAGGAAGTTCGTAATTTTTTTTAATAAAATTAATTGCTCATTAAAAAATATAAATAACAATATATTAATAAAATAATTCAATTTTTTTTTATTTAGGTTTTCGGACTGGTCAAAGCTTGGGGTAATATTGATGATATAGTTAAAGGTATACCTTCACTTTTGGTTATAATCGCGAGTATTACATACTTAATTGCTTCTTGTTTTAATAAAAAAAAAGTAAGTTATTATTGGACATTATACAGGATGATTTTTATGTTCCGGAACAGTTAAAAAAAATTTTTAATACCACTTTTTTGTGTTTAAAAACCGAAATGAGATTACAAAAAAATTTTCAAGGGGTCCGGAACATTAAAACCACCCTGTATTTATCATAATCAAATTAAAATAATGCCTGAATATAAAATATAAATCGTAGATTTATCATATAATAATCCCAGGTGAAAAAATTAACGTTACTAACGTTAGTACCTATAAAAAAATTAAGAATTTCTAAAATCTATTTTCACAGAAACTTTGCCACTACTTTCCCATTACCACTTTCACTTTCACTTAAACTTTTTATAATTTTCATTCCCATTTCTACTTCTACTTTTTCTAATTCTCATTCGCACTTCCATTCTCACTTCTACTCTTTCTAATTCTCATTCCTATTTCACTTCCACTTTTTCTAATTTTCATTCCCATTTCCATTTCCACTTTTTTATATTCATTGTCACTTTCACTTTTTCTAAAGAAGTGGGAATGAAAATTAGAAAAAGGGAAGTAAAAATAAAAATTAGAAAAAGTGGAAGTGGTAATGAAAATAAAAAAGTGAAAATGGGAATGAAAATTAGAAAAAGTGGAATTGGAAGTGGTAATGTAAATAAAAAAGTGGAAATGAAAACGAGCATGAAAATTATAAAAACTGGAAGTGAAAATGGGAATAAGAATTAGAAAAAGTGAAAGTGGAAACGGTAATGAAAATAAAAAAGTGGAAGTGATAATAGGAATGAAAATTATAAAAAGTGCGGGTAAGAACATTAAATACTTCCTGGTGGTCGATTTTCGCCAAGTTTCTGCAAAAATACAATTTAGAAACACTTTATTAATTTTTTTATAGGTACTAACGTTAGTAACATTAGTAACTTTAGTAATATTAGTAACGTTAGTAATGTTAATTTTTCTACCTGGGATTGTAAATTAATAATTAAATTAACAATGTACTTAATAAAAAATATTTAAATATATTATTTATTATTAATAATAATAAATAAACATTAAAATAGGAATTTTTTTTAAAATAAATATAATTTTTCTTTTCAGATGTCGTTAATTTTATTAAAAATAAAAAAAGATTGGTCCACATGGACTAAAGGTACTGAATTGAAAATATTACAAGAATATGCAAATCGAGGAAAAATATATGTTTATGTGTATTCAAGTACAGTAATTCCTAATGTTTAGTAAATAATAATTCTCCTTTTTAATATAAGTACTAATTATTCTTTTTTTTTTGTTGTTGAAATTTTTATCAGTTTTAATGTTATTGAATACAATTGATTTTTGTGGCGTTCCTCTAATTCAACCTCTCATGGATTTTATTAAACCATTAAATGAATCACGACCAAGAAGACCAATAGCGCCAACAGATTATTTAATAATTGATTCAGATGATAATTATTATTGGATTGCGCTACATGCATGTGTCTCAACAGTTGTTTTAACAATTGTTGTTGTTAGCATTGATTCAATGTTTATTGCTGTTATGTATCATGCATGTGGTGAACTTGCAATTTTAAGGTGAAAATAAAATTTTGGAAAATATATTTTAGAAAATTTTTATTTTTAGTTTTATTTCGAGGGGGAATTTATTAGTTAAAAACGTGTACACTTGACTAACGGTATTACATCTTATATTACCCTTATTACTAAGTATTACACGTTATTACAGAGTATTACACATTATTACAGAGATATTACAGAGTTTTTTTGCGTTATTACAGCACTGTAATAGCGCATTATTTGAGCACTGTAATGACGCATTATTACACGGTATTACACGTTATTACAGAGTATTACAGAGTATTACACATTATTACAGAAATATTACACATTATTACAGAAATATTACAGAGTTTTTTGCGTTATTACAGCACTGTAATAACGCAGTATTACAGCACTGTAATAGCGCATTATTACAGCACTGTAATAACGCATTATTACACAGTATTACACGTTATTACACAATTATTACAGGAAGAGTGTACACTTAACTACCTGAGTAAATTCCCCTTCGTTTTATTTATTTATTTCACTAACGGATTTTAATTAGAGGTTCAATTTTTTTTTTTTTTAATATAATTGTTTTTTTTTCTAATCAAGAATTATTTCTTAATATTTCAAGCACTACAAGAAATATTAAATTTCAGATTTAAATTGAAAAATCTTACAAACATGGATGAGAATTTGCATAAAAAAAATATTTGTAAAGAAATAAAATTTTGTGCTAGAAAACACAATTCAGTTATAATGTTTGTAGACAATTTTTAAAAAATTATTTAAATAGGCATTATTTTTATATATACTTTTATTATTACTATAAATTATTATTATTATTATTGGTATACTATATATATAAAAAATTATTATCTGAATAAAATTTTTTTTTAAGACTTGTTAAGGACATCACTGACTACTTTTCGGTTCCGTCTTTTATAGTTTTGGGAATTAATATATTAATGATAAGTGTTACAGGAGTGCAGGTATAAAAAAAATTTCAATATATTTTTTTGGAATTAAATTTTTGTTCATATTGAAATTTTTTTTTGCAAAATACATATTGTTTAATGTAACAGACAGTGGTGAATTTGAATAATCCGAAAGATGCCTTTACGAGTGCAGTATTTACTTTAGGACAAATATTTCATATTTTTTATATTACTGTACCTTGTCAACATTTAACAGATCACAGCATAAAATTATCCGAAAGCATGTAATTCATTTTCATATACATAATACTATTATATATTTTTTTTTACTTAATATTGTCTTGTCTTATATTTCTTATTTTCTAAATTACATCATTAATTTTGTTTTGTTTTTTTTTTTAGATACGATGGATTTTGGTATGAAATGCCAGTAGGATCTCGAAAATTATTGTTAATGATAATGCTAAGAAGTACAAGACCATGTTCATTTATTGCTGGCAATTTATATACATTTTCGATGGAGAATTTTTCCTCGGTAAGTAAAAGAAAATCGAAAAAATATGTAATTTTTTTTAAGTATTGAATTATTTTTTTGAATATTAATAAATATGTATTTAAAATTTTTTTTAAAGGTTGTTCAAACATCGATGTCTTACTTTACTGTATTATTGTCAGCACGAAAATAAAAAAAAAGTACTCAAGTGTTTTATTGCACCTTTAAATCTTGGAAAACTGAGAAAGTTGAAAAAAATAAATGTTTCAAAACTGTAAATTTAAACATAAAAATTAAACTGTTTTTTTCTCTCTGTACTTATATCCTCTCTTTCTCTAATTGAGAAGATTTTTTTTTATAATTATTAGCAATACAAATTTATAGTTACTTTTTTTCTTAAACTACGACGATAATTCTAATTTTATAATTTATTTCTGTTTCGTAACATCGTCTATGAATGATAGAGAAAAAATACGATAAGAAAGACATATTCATTCCCCAAAGTTCGAATAAAGTTGTAATTTTATGCGGAAAGTGTATAAGGAACATCGTAAATGTTTGAAATTCCATTTCCTATAAATCTTCAGGAATTATTAATTTTTTTTTGAAAGGAAATAGAATGATTTCTTTGAAAGTATATAATAGGAAAAAATGTAGTTTTGCATATATTATTATTTTTCATTGAAAATGATATTAATACACTCTGTCATTACAATTTCTCGACGGCTTATCTTCTGGGAAATATAAATAGGCTATTACATAATTTAACATTTTACTCTGCAGAAGGGTTTGATTTTATATAATACAAGCAATCGGATCAGTCGAACATTGACTATACGAAGATGGACAGGTCTTACTATAAAATCAATAAATATTTATTTTGTTCTATTGGTCAGTGGCCATATCAAACAAAATTTAAACAAATATTAATAACATTAACTGTTTCTTTTTATGTTATAACTCTACTAATAGGAGAGGTACATTTAAAAAATTCACATATATCTTTGTAATTAAAAATTAAAGAATCTTAAATATTTTTTCCAAAAATAAAAAATTTCACTATATATAATATTAAAAATAATTTCAGATTTTAGGACTATTGAAAGCTTGGGGTAATTTAGATGACGTAATTAATTGTATGCCACCAATTTTTTTTATTATCGGTAGCATTATATATTTCATCACTTCTTGTTTTAATAAAAAGAAAGTATGCAATTAAATTACTAAATTAATAAAATAGTTAATTTAGAAAAAAGAATTAGTAATTAATTAAAAAATTATATAATTAATTATTATAATTATTAATATATTTATAATAATATAATATTATATATATAATATAATTAATATAATTAATATATTATTACTATAATTATTATTATTAATTATTATAATTATATAAATATAAAAATACTTCCTCTACGGAGAAAGAATTTAAAATTTTACAAAACTAGTTATAAAATTTTCAGTTGGCATTAATACTTTCCACAATAAATAACGATTGGTCCATTTGGACAACAGGTACTGAACTAAAAATATTACGGCAATATGCAAATCAAGGGAGAAAATATGTTTATGTTTACTCATGTAATGTAATTTTTATCTTATTTAATTAACAAATAGTAATAATAATTTGTAAAAATTATTTTACTAATTTTTTGTAAAAAAATTTTTTTTATTGAAATCTTCATCAGTTCTGATGTTATTGAATATGATTGATTTTCTTGGCCATCCTCTTATTCCACCATTAATGGATTTAATTTTACCATTAAATGAATCACGAATTAAAAGACTTATTATTGAAACTGATTATTTAATAATTGATCAAAATGATAATTATTATTGGATTTCATTACATACAAGTGTTTCAGTAACTTTATTACTACTTGTTGTACTCAGCATGGATTCAATGTTTATTGTTGTTTTTTATCATGCTTGTGGAGAACTTGCAATTTTAGGGTGAAGAAAATAATTAATAATTATTAATAAAAAAATTTTTCTAATTTTGTAAAAATAATTTTATTGAAACTAAAAAAAATTAATTTTATCACTAATATTAATTTTTAGATTTAAATTGAAAAATCTTACAAAATTAGATGTGAATATGTCTAAAATAAATATTTATCAAGAAATTAAATTTTGTGCTAAAAAACACAAATCAGTCATAAAGTATGTAATGAGTAATTAATTAAATATTTATATAAATTATTTTATATATAATTTAATTTATTTTTATATTTATTTACTTAAATTGTGAAGATTTAAATACTATTTTTTTTTAAGATTTATCAATGATATCACTGGTTACTTTTCGATTTCGACTTTTATAATTTTGGGCATCAACATGATTATGATAAGTGTAACAGGAGTACAGGTATTAAATGTGGTTGATAATTTTTTTTTTTAATATTTGAATTAAAAAATTTATTGTTTAGGAAATATTAAATTTAGTTTTATAACTAATTAGAGTATATCATTTTTCAGTAAGTTGATGGGAAACTTTGTTTGAAAAATAATATGCTATTTTATTTAGAATTGTATGTTAATTTTTTAATGTAATAATTATTTAAATTCTTTTTTAATTGTACAGACAGTGGTGAATTTAAACAAATTGAACGATGCTTATACATATGCGTTCTTTACTATGGGACAAATAATTCATATTTTTTGTCTCACTCTCCCTTGTCAGTATTTAATAGATCACAGCGTAAAATTATCCGATAGCATGTAATGCCTATAATTTATTTTCATTCATAAAATTATTAAATTTTTATTATTTTTTTATTTTATTATTTAAAAAAAATTTTTTTTTATTTATTTTTATTTAATTATGTAATTAGATTTTTATTATATTTTTATTTATTATGTAATTAGATTTTTATTATATTTTTATATTTTGAAATTTTTAATTACATAACTAATTTTTAAAATATTTTTTTTTAGATACGATGGATACTGGTATGAAATGCCATTAGGATCACAAAAATTATTATTAATGATAATGATGAGGAGTACAAAACCATGTTCATTTATTGCTGGAAGAGTATATAAATTTTCGATGGAGAATTTTACAGCGGTAAATAAAAAATTTGTGATTGTAATTTGTTTATCCATTTTTTTTTGTTTTAATAATAAATTCAATTTTTTTAAGGTGGTTAAAACTTCGATGTCTTATTTTACTGTATTTTTATCAGCAAGAAAGTAAATTACACATCAATAAAAAAACTTTTCTCGCCGTTGGCTAAATTATATTTATTCAAATTTTCAATAAGTTTTTTTTTACTTATTTCAATTACAATTTTATACTGCCTCTATAGAACCGAATTTCCATTTAATAAAACTCGTAAATAATAATTAAAAAAATATATCTAAAATGGAAATTCGTGTAAAATATTTTTTTTTTTGAAAATTTGATTGAATATAAATTGAGTTCAATGAAAATTATTAAAAATCAATGAGGAAAATCTGAAATGGAAATCTAAGATGAAAACTAAAGGATTTTACGATATGAAAAATAGGATAACTTAAGGATATAATTCAAGACTCTTCGTGAAAAATAAATACAAAAAAATTGTTTATACTATAAGTTTTTTTACATTTATACTTTTAATGTTTGTAGAATTTTTGAATAATAAAAATTTTTCATAGAAATGCTTCTAATAATTTTTACAAAAAAAAAAAAAAAAAAAAAATTGTATAAGTAATATAATCGGCGTATATTTATCAAAATTAATAATTTCTGAAATATCTTTAAAACTCAAGACGATCCTCATTCTTTGAAAGTCAAATACAAACTATAATGTCTCTTATGGACAAATATTGATTTTTTTCCTCAAAGTGATAATAATGGGGTTTTATTAAATCGAATGTTTTTAAATAATTTATAATCATTTAATATGTTCTGTGAAATTGAAGAAAACTTTTTGATTTGAGAAACATTATCTTAAAGTAAAGTATAGATTAAATGCTAATTAATATTAGAATAGGAATATTCAGTTTCTTCGTATTGGAAACAATTATTTTAAATTTTACGAATGTACTGTATAATTATCACTGTGTAGAGAATATGGAAAAAACAAAAAGGGGTGAGTATCATTTCACCATTGAACATGGAAGCATATAATTCTCATATGAAGATCAATAAATATTTCTTATGTGCCACTGGGCTATGGCCTTATCAATCGAAAGTTACACAAAAATTAATTTCTTTCTTCATTTGGCTTAGTCTCATAAGTTTTCTGATACCACAAGTAAAATAATAATAATAATTTTCGCTAATTAATTTTTTTTTTATTTATTTTTCTTTTTGTTTTTTCAAACAAATTTTGTTCGTGAAAAAAAATATATTTATATCTTGTAGATACTAGCTTTAATAAACAATTGGGGTAATACCGACATTGTAATTCAATGGCTTCCACCCTGCTTTGTCAATCTTCTCAGTATAAGTTGTTACGTGCCTGCTTCTATAAACAGAAATAAAGTAAAAAATTTTGTATTGAATTTTTTTTTGGAAAATATTTTAATTTTCTTCCCTTCCTTTCTTTTTTTTTAGATAAAATTAATTTTATCAAAAATGAAGGAAGATTGGCAATTATGTGAATCAAATTCAGAATTTCAAATTCTCAATAGTAATGGAATTTTGTCAAAAAATGTAAACAATGCAATATATGGTAAATAATTGCCAAATAATAATTTTAATTATATTTCAAAAAAATAAATAAAAAAATTTTTTTGTTTCAGTTTTCTTTTACATAGCAATGCTGGAATTTCTTACAGTACCACTTATTCCCAGTTTTTTGGATAAAATAAAACCATTAAATGAATCCCGTCCAAGAAGATTAATTATGGTTACTGATTATTTAGTGGATTCAAATAATTATTATGCAGCAATAGCCGCACATCATTGGCACGTTTCTATTATAACAATTACACTTATTTTAACTGTTGATGGAATATTTAGAGCTTTCATCTATCACGCTTGTGGTCAAATGGAAATATTAGGGTACAGATTTTGTTTCTATTTTTTTTTTATATATAATTAAATAATAATAATAAATATTTCAATAATATTGAATTTATCACTTGGTGAGTGTATATTAAAGTTATTAAAATTTATCAATCTTCCAAGTAAATTGTAATATTTGAAAAAAGGAAAATAAAAAATAAAAAACGATCCCTTTTCGTAACGTATCGACAGCTCAGCTGTCCTCATCAGAAACTAAAAAAATTGTTTTTTTTTATTAAAATAACAATAATTTACAATTACTATAGTTAATTAATTTTAAAATTTTGAATATTACCGAAAAAAAGTCAGTGAACACTGAACAGAAGTCACAGACTTTTTTTTCGGTAATATTCAAAATTTTTAAATTAAATTACTATAGTAATTGTAAATTATTGTTATTTTAATATTTTTTTAATAAAAAAAAACAATTTTTTTAGTTTCTGATGAGGACAGCTGTGCTAAGAAAAGGGATCGTTTTTTAATTTTTATTTTCCTTTTTGCAAATATTACAATTTACTTGGAAGATTGATAAATTTTATAACAACTTTAAAATAATAAATATTGTTATTATTATTATTACAATTATAAAAATAATTAATTAATTTGGCTCTGATTTACAGATTCAAGATGAAGAACATTGTAAAAATAGATTACAACATGGATATTTCTGATGAAAGAAATGTACAAAGAGAAATTAAATTCTGTATTCAGAAGCATAAATCAGTTGTAATGTAAATTAAAGTAAATTTTTAATTACATTATTAGAAAATTTAATTTAAATAATGTACTGGCTATAATGTATAATTTTTTTTTTTGCAAGGTTTGTGAATCAGATAAATGATTGTTTTTCTACCTCATACTTCATGGGATTAGGATTTAATATGATAATGATAAGCTTCACTGGCGTTCAGGTAATGAAAAATTAATTTCGTCCGTCTGTCCGTCCGTCAGTCGTACACTCGTAGGGTTGCCATGGTAACAGTTACCATAGAAACCGTTACCATGACAAACGTTACCATAGCAATCGTTGTCATAAAAACCGTTACCGTAGCAACCGTTACAAAAGAAAAATGAATTATTAATAATTGATTAATAATTTAATTATTTTTTAATTATTTATTTTATAAAATTTTTTTTTAATTATTTTTTTTATAAAATTTTTTTTTAATTATTTTTTTTATTTTTTTATTTTTTTAATTATTTTTTTTTTATCTTTTCTTTTTTTTATTCTTTTTTTAAAAATTATTATATTCACAAATAATCTTTAGTTAATCATGAAATTGGATGATCCAAGTGAAACTTTTGCAATTTTGTCATATACTATGAGTCAAATTCTTCGTCTATTTAGTTTAACATTACCATGTCAACGTTTGATAGATCAGAGTACTTTACTTTCACTAAATATGTAAGTAAAAAAAAAAAAATTTTTAATATTTTGACATAAAATGTCAGTTTTATATTGAATTTTTTAATTGTTAATTTTAATTTAGAATATTAAATATAATTTATAAATAATAATTTTGAAATTTCAGCTATAATAGCTATTGGTATAATTTATCTTTAGAATCGAAAAATTTATTGAAAATAATAATGTTGAGATGTATGAAACCGTGCACTTTTACTGCAGGAAAATTATACACTTTTTCCATGAGTAATTTCGGTGTGGTTAGTATATTAATTTTTTTAAATTTTTTTCTGACAGATTTTGATTGTCATTTAATTTCTTTTGTTTTTTTTTCTATTTTTCAGGTTGTAAAAACATCCATTTCATATTTTACAGTTTTATTGTCTCTACGTAATTAAAATATTTTAAAAGACTTTTTTTTCCATTATGCAAATACGAATTTTTTATACAATTATAAATTTTATCTATTATTTTGAGCTAAGACTTTTAATTATTGAAATTATGGAAATTATATTTATATAGTTGTCATTAGAAATATGTGTTATAGAAAGATATAAATAAGTAAAGAAAATAAATTGTTTAGAATTATTTTTTATTATAATTTTATAATTTTTATTATTTTTATTTAATTTGAGAAATAAAATATAATAAATTTCATACGTCTGAAATTTCTTCATTATTCTTATATAGCGATCCTCATCCTTCAAAGGTTGATTTTAGACTGTAAATGTTTCTTATAGAAAAAAATTGATTTCTCAAAGGTGTATATGAGAATTTATTTTTCCAATATTTCTCAGTACTTTCAATGCAATTGAAGAGAATTTCTGTTTTTTTTTGTAGTTGGAAATATTATCATAAAGAAAATGATAGATGATATTAATCAATATCAGGAAATTTTATAATTTCTTGGTATTATTTGAATGCAGTAAATTTTACACTGAAGATAATTATCTTACAGATATGTGTACTATAATTTTTATTATATGATATATACATAGTGAATGAAAAGTCTTAAAGGGTTGAGTGTCATTTCCACAGGAGACATTGAAATGGAAGCATACAATTCTCATATGAAAATCAATAAATATTTTTTATGTGCCACGGGACTATGGCCATATCAATCGAAAAGAACAAGAAAAATAATTTCTCTTTTTATTTGGTTTATACATATAAGTTTTTTAATACCACAAGTAAATTTTTTTAATTATTAAAAATTGGTTTCTAATAAATTTAATATTACAATAAATTTTTTTATAAAAATTTTTTTTTTTTTTTAATTTAATTTGTTTTAAAAGTTAAAATTTAAAATCTCTTAGTTACTGGCTTTAAGAAATAATTGGGGAAATACGGATATTTTATTTGAATGGCTCCCACCATGTTTTGTGAATGCTGTTAGTTTAAGTTGTTTCACAGCTGCTTCAGTTCATAGAAATAAAGTTTGTATATAAATTTTTTTTTTTATTAATCAATTTTTGGTTCTTTTTTTTTGTCTCCATAATTTTAATTTCTTTTAGATAGAATTAATTTTATCGAAAATAAAAGAGGATTGGTTGTTCTGTGAATCGGATGAAGAATTTGAAATTTTGCATGAAAATGGAATTTTAGCACGAAATTTGAACAATGCAAGACTTGGTAAATAATAATAAATTTTTTAAAAAAAAAAAGTGTTACAAAAATTAAGATTTAAATTTAATTATGTATTTTAGTTTTCTTTTATATGGCAATGCTACAATTTCTTACCGTACCTCTAATTCCAAGTTTTTTGGATGCAATAAAACCGTTAAATGAATCTCGGATAAGAAAACTTATTTTCCCTACAGATTATTTAGTTGATTCAAATAACAATAATTATTATACGATAATAGCGATACATCATTGGCATGTTGCTGTTATATTGATTACAATTATTTTAACTGTCGATAGAGTCTTTATTTTTTTTATCTACCACGCTTGTGGACAATTCGAAATTTTAGGGTATGAAGAAAAAAATTTTTTTTTTCTTTTTATACATGCATTTATTATTATACATAATATAAAATAAATAATAAATTTGCCTCTTTTTTTTTGCAGATTAAAAATGAAGAACCTCGTAAATATAGATTACAACATTGCTTCTTATAATGAAAGAAATGTACAAAAAAGAATTAAATTCTGCATTGAGAGGCACAAATCAGTTCTAGTGTTTGTATTTTATATTAAGAATATTAAAATAAATTTTAATTACATAAATTATAAAAAAATGGTTTGAAATTTTTTTTTAGGTTTGTCAATCATATTAGTGATTGCTTTTCAGCGACATATTTTTTGGGTTTGGGATTCAATATGTTAGCGATGAGTTTCACAGGAGTTCAGGTAATATTTTTTTATAATCATAGAGAGAATTCGAAAATATTAATTATATAATAATAAAATGCTTGGTCTGTCTTTCTGTCCTAACTTGAAGTTGGCCTTTTCTGATTTCACGTGTTTTTTTGAATAGTAATCTTGTGTCAAATTTTGACAATTCTTTTTCTCATTTTTGCCAAAGTTGTATAATTGTGTTTCCAAATTTCGGAATAAGTTTCTTTAAAATTCCAAATTTGAAAATTCAATTCACAAAGCTGAAGTACACAACGTTTACCAACGAAATTTTTTTTTAAAGTTGTATATTGATTCAAAAATTGTATACAAATACAAAAAATTTATGATGAGAAAAAAGATGTGCCAGGAAATTTCGTACAAGCTAGTAATTTGAAAAAAATTTATTTTTAAAAATTAATTTTTAAGGTACAAGGGGCCAACGAATACCTATTAAATATTAATTACAAAAACACAGGCCTCGAATCAACTTAAAGACACAAAAAGTCGTTTTAGTCGATTTATATTCCAAAAAAAAGTGGATTTGTTTTTTATTTTAACAAAAATATTTTACAGATTTTTAAATAAAAAAATTTTTTTTTAATAATAATCCTTTTCAAAGGGTTAAAGTTGAAATTTTTAGAAATAATTAAATTTCAAAAGATATTGTTAATTTTCAAACAAATCATTAAATTTTACAGAACTAAAAATAATTTATCAAACAATTTTTGGGAAAATATTTTTTAAATTTAATTGAATTTTCAAAGATTTAAAATTGAGATTTTAGAAATTGATTGAAACTTTAAGTGTTTTGTAATTAATTTTAGATAATTTCACTAAAAATTTATTATAAAATGCGGACAAAATACAATAATTTAAAAATCATTTTTAATTGAAAAATCGTTTCAGATAGTTGAATTTTCAAAGAATATTATTAAAATAGTTAAAAATTAATTGAATTTCCTTAGAGTTATAATTGAAATTATTAAATTTCAAAAAAAAAAATTTTCGATGGAAAATTTTAGAAATAATTAAATTTTAGATGCTTTTAAGTTCAAATTATTGAAAATTCAATTAATTTTGAATTCAAATATTTGAGAATAATGAAATTTAATTTTGATTTAAAATTTGGAAAATAATTGAATTTCAGTTCATTTTGAATTGAAAATTTTGGGAAATAATTGAATTTTACTTGAAATTTTAGATAATAATTTAATTTAACTTCATTTTTGATTAAAAATTTGGATAATTAATTTTGAATAGAAATTTTAGAAAATAATTGAATTTTATTTCATTTTAAATTGAAAACTTGGTAAATAATAAAATTTTAAATTGAAAATTTTGGATAATTATTGAATTTTTAATTGATTTTGAATTAAAATTTCGGGTAATAATGTTTATTTTGAATTTAAATTTTTAAAAAATAATTCAATTTTATTGTGATATTTTTTTTTAAATTATAAACAATTGTTAAATTTCAAAAAAAAATTTTAATTGAAAAATAATTTTGATATAATTGAATTTGTGATGTATTTCATTAAAATTATTAAAAATAATTAATTTAGTGAAGAATCATTTTAGTTCAAAATTTGTTAAATAATTGAATTGATAGAAGATCTAAAGATCTACATTTTATACTAAAAAATGTATTTTATTTACATTTTTTTCAAATTTAAAAAAATGTCCCATTTTATTAAAATAAGTCGATAAAAGTCGTATTTTTGAAAAAAAGTCGGAAAAAGTCGTATAATCCGAGGCCTGTAAACATATAATTTTCATTATTATCATTTAATATGTAATAATATTCTAATAAATTAAATTATTATTAATAATATTAATCTTTAATTTCTTTATAACAAATAATTAAATATTCAATTTGGCGCGCGTTTAATTTTGCTAGTTTGTATTAATTAATATTAATTCTACAGTTGGTGATGAATTTGGATAATATTCGAGAAGCTTTAGCAATTGGTTCATTTACTTTGGGTCAAGTACTTCGTCTATTTACTTTAACAATACCAAGTCAACGTTTAATCGATCAAAGTTCTCTATTGTCACAAAATATGTAAGTAAAAAAATATTTGCAATTAAAAAATTTCAACAATCCTTTTTTCTCATATTCAAAAATATTTAATAACCTATTAATTTAATAATTTATTTTGCAAAATGGAATCATTAGAAAAATAATTTTGAAATTACAGATATAGCAGCTGCTGGTATAATTTATCACCAGAGTCAAAAAAATTGTTGAAAATAATAATGATGAGATGCATAAATCCCTGCACATTTACAGTGGGAAAATTATACACTTTTTCGATGAGAAGTTTTGGTATTGTTAGTATTATTTTTTTTTTTAATTGTTATCGTAATTTTAATTTAAGATAAAAGATTAAAATTAATTAATTTTTTTAATTTTCAATTATTTAATTTCATTGTGTTTTGTTTTTCAGGTGGTAAAAACATCTATTTCATATTTTACAGTTTTGTTATCAATGCGCAAATAAGGCGAGAGGAATTTTTTGTTTTTTTTTAATTTTGCGCTTGATGAAATTCAAAAACTTTTTAACATTTAACAAATTTTTCATAAAATATTGCAAATAAGTGTATATTTGTATAAGAAATTTTTATACAATTCTTGTTCTTTACAATAAGAAAAAGAAAATTCTAATAAGAATTTAAGACTGACTATAATTTTGTAAACGTGATTAAATTGATTCAGATTAAAGTACTACTACTATAATTAAAAAATTTTAATTTTAACAATGTTACAAATTTTTTTTAGTTTTTTTTTCATATTAGTTGCTCCTAGTTATTAATTTTTTTAAACTACGATTCAATAAACAACGATTCCTCCAAAGTTTATGATGTCACAAATTAATCAATCTGCGAAAATTATTAATTCTTGGATAATTAGAATAAAATTAATTAATAATTCAATAAATTTCAAATTTCCTTACTTTTTATGGAATTTTTTATAATAAATTTTATAGAATCATTCTGGTACTAAATTTTATATTTTACTTTTTTAACTATATTTGTTTATCGATTCAAGACGATTATCATCCATCAAAGGTTGAATTGAAACTGCCAATGTTTCTTATAGGAAAAAAAAAAATTGATTTTACCTTCAAAGAAATTATTATTTAAAGGCCTTTAATAATTTCTATTTTATTTAATAAGTTCAATGAAAATGAAAATAACTTTTGTGTTAAGAAACAAGAAAATGTTGTTTTCTCTTAAATTATAATCAATATTAGATTATAGAAACATTGAAAATTTCTTCGTATTATTGAAAGCCAGTCAATTTTACACTGAAAATAATTATCTTACGGATGTGTACTATAATTTTTATTGTATGCGGTATATAGAGAGAGAATGGAAAATCTAAAAGGGTTGAGTTTCATTTCTACAGGAGACATCGAAATGGAAACATACAATTCTTATATGAAAATCAATAAATATTTTTTATGTGCCACTGGACTATGGCCTTCTCAATCAAAATTTACTCAAAAATTAATTTCTTTTTTCATTTGGCTTAGTCTTATAAGTTTTCTCATACCTCAAGTAAATATTATAAAATTTGTTTTGGGAAATTTTTTTCTAAAACATTCAATTATATTTTATTTTACAAATTTTAAAAATAAATATTTTTCAATAAAAAAAAATATTATTTATTAGTTGGTGGCATTAATACATAATTGGGGTAATATGGATATTTTAATTCAATGGCTTCCACCTTGCTTTATAAATGTTGTTAGCATAAGTTGTTTCACAGCTGCTTCGATCAACAGAAATAAAGTAAAGAATATTTATTTAATTCTTATGTAATTACACAATTTTTTTTTTAATTCCTTTCCAAATTTTACGTTTCTGTTTATTAATTTATTTTTTGTAAAATTTCACTGAATTTTTAATTTATTATTTTTTTGTTTCAATTTTACATCACGTAAACACAGAAAATTAAAAGGCATTAAAATAAGCGTTGCAGCTTATTTTAATGCCTTTTAATTTTTAATTTCCAAAATGGATTAAAATAAGCAAAATTGGATTAAAATAATAAGCGTTGCAACTTATTTTAATGCCTTTTAATTTTCTGTGAAATAATTTCTTTTAGATAAAATTAATTTTATCGAAAATGAAGGATGATTGGCGATTTTGTAAATCAGATTCAGAATTTGAAATTTTACAGGAAAATGGAGTTCTAGCAAGAAATCTAAACAATTCAAGACTTGGTAAATAATAGCATAATAATTATTATTATTATTAACTATTAATAATAATAATTTTCAAATTTATAAAAAAAAATTTATTTACTGTTTAGGGATAAATTTCTTTTAATTATTATTGTTTATAACTTTTTGTTTTTGTTTTTGTTTTTTTTTTAAATAAGAATTAATTAAAATAAAATTTATTTCAGTTTTCTTTTATTTAGTCCTAGTGGAATTTCTTACTGTGCCACTTATTCCCAGTTTTTTGGATGCAATAAAACCATTAAATGAATCCCGTCCAAGAAGAATGATTATGGTTACAGATTATTTTGTGAATCCAAATAATTATTATGGAGTAATAGCCGCACACCATTGGCACGTATCTATTGTAACAATTTCACTTATTTTAACTGTTGATGGAATTTTTACATTTTTCATCTACCACGCTTGTGGACAATTTGAAATTTTAGGGTAAATAATTTTTTCTCTTTTTTTGGTATACAAAATAATAATTCCTTTTTTTTTTATTTAATAAATTTCGTTTCTCGTTTTTTCAGATTTAAGATAAGAAATCTTGTAAAAATAGATTACAGTGTAACTATTTTAAATGAAAGAAATGTTAAAAAAGAAATTAAATTCTTTATTGAGAAGCACAAATCGGTTCTGATGTTTGTATTTATTTAATTAAAGTAAATTTTAATTATAAAATAATAATAAAAAATTTTAATTTTTTTAAGGTTTGTGAATCATATTAGTGATTGCTTTTCGATGTCATACTTTTTGGGATTGGGATTAAATGTTATAATGATAAGCTTTACAGGAGTTCAGGTATTTTTTTATTTTTTTTTTATTTTTTATTTTTTTATTTTATTAATTATACTTAAGAGAGTAAGAGAGAAAATTATAGAATATATTAAAAAAATCTGCAGTTGGTAATGAATTTGGATGATCTAAGTGAAACTTTTATAATGGCTTCTTATACCATGGGTCAAGTTCTTCGTTTATTTACTTTAACAATACCAAGTCAACGTTTAATCGATCAAAGTTCTCTACTTTCACAAAATATGTTAATATGTTAATTAATATGTTTATTACAAAAAAAAATTTATAATTCAATTTTAAATAATTTTGAAATTTCAGATATCATTGCTATTGGTATAATTTATCTCCAGAGTCGAAAAATTTATTGAAAATAATAATGATGAAATGCATAAAACCCTGTTCTTTTACAGTGGGAAAATTGTACACTTTTTCAATGAGTAATTTCGGTGTGGTTAGTATCATTTTTTTTTAAATATTGTATAATATTTATTTAATTATACTGTATTTATTTTTAAGGTTGTAAAAACATCCATTTCATATTTTACACTTTTACTATCGTTTCGTGAGTAAAAGACAATTTTTTTCTACATTGTACTCTACAAAAAAAAAAGACTGACTAAATAAAAAATTAAATTCAAAACAAATATTTGTAATTAAAAATGTATGAACTAAGTTTAATATTTAATGTAAAATTTTTTCAAGTTTTAATAAAAAAAAAAAAATATAATTGAAAATATTATTTTTATTTCTTAAAAATAGATCCTTACTTTCCAATGGTTGAAATCAAAGTGACATCCTCTGCTTTATGTTTCTTATGAAAATTATTGATTTTCTATTCCCTACAAAGAGACAAACGTTTCTGAATAGCAATTTGCATTAATTAACTTTCACTATGCATTGAATCGAAACAAGGTGATAATTAAAACTTATTATCTTAAAACTCTGTTGAGGTAAAATGTTTTTTTAAAAATATGAGACTTTTGTTTTTGAAATATTTAATCAAGATGAAAAAGGAAGTGGAAATAATTATCTTACAATGATTATTATTGAAATAATTTCTAAGTGGTAAAAACTTTAATCCTTTTTTAGCAAGCAAGATGGAAACATATAAGTCTTGTTTGAATATTAATAAATATTTGCTATCTTCAATTGGCTTATGGCCAGAACAAACGAAAATAGGAAATTTTATGAAAAATTTAATTTGGATTAGTCTTTTTAGTTTTTTTTCTGCACAGGTATTTTTTTTGAAAAAATTCAATGTCTAAAATCAATTCTTTTCAAATAATAATATGTGAAAAAATTTATAAATACATTAAATAATAATAATTTTCAAATAATTAATAATAAAAAATAAAATAAATATAATAAATAATAATTATAAAATAATTATAATAATTATAATAAAATTTGAATATATAAGAAAACTAAATGTCATTATATCAAGTAGGAATATTTTAATTGTGAGAAAAAAATTTTTTGTACTACTTATGAGCCATTGTGGAAAGCTCAATAAAAAACATACCATTGGGCACAATTAATATTTGAAAAGTAAATTTTTTTTTTATTATTCTTTTTTATTTCCGGAATACCGGAAATTTTCAAATTCGACTAATGGCTCATAGATTGTGCATTCACTTTCTAAAATAAAATTCTAAATTTCGAAATGCCATGAAGGTGATAAAAAAAAATTTTAATCATAATAAATAAATAGAACTGATATAAAAAAAAAAAAACGCCAGGTTGCAGCTTTGGTAAAATATAGACGTGATATGGACATGATTATTCAAACATTACCACCCCTTTTTGCCAATTCAATCAGCATTGCTTGTTTCGGGGCATTTGCTATTAATCAGGACGTGGTAAGTTTAAAAAAAAAATTAAAAAAATAAAAAAATTAAATAGAATTTTTTTTTCTGTCAAATAATAGATTGCACTACTTTTATCGAAAATGGAAAAACATTGGATTCGTTGGACAGAAAATTCTGAAGAAATTGAAATGATTCGCAAAAATGCTACAATTGGAAAAAAATTAATAGTTATTTTTATAGGTATAATTATAATTGATTTATTTGAATTAATGCCAAATTAAATTAGATAAAAAAAAGAATTATAATTAAAAATTTTTTCCAAAAAAAAAAAACTTATTTTTTGCTAATATTTTTTTTTTCAGTTGTTGCCTATGGAGTTTCGTTTGAATATATTTTTATGCCACTTGTTCCTGTATTTTTAGATATTATCAAACCATTAAATGAATCTCGACCAAAGAGATTAATGATTGTTGCATATTATTATGTGAATTCAAATGATTATTATTTTTGGATATCTCTACACGCTACCTATTCATGCGTTGCATTTGTCACTGTTCTTTTGAGTATTTATGGAATGTTCATTGCTTTTATTTATCATGCTTGTGGACAACTTGCAATTTTAGGGTATTGAATATAAATTTTTATTTATATAAAAAATAAAATTTTAATTTTTAATTAAATTGAGAATTTTAATTTTTAATTAAATTGAGAATTTTAATTTTGAAATTTTAATGCTTTCAATATTTTTAATTAATTATAATAATTTTATATATATGTTGTAGATTCAAATTGAAAACCCTTGTACAAATGAATCATGATCCATTGAATGATGATGAAGAAATACTACAGGAAATTAAATTTTGCGTCAAATTACACAAATCAATTATAATGTATGAAAAAAAAATGTATCTAATAACATATTTTTTCATTAATACAATTTGATGGTTAATTATTTAATTTAATTAAATAATTTTTATTTAAATTATTATTTAAATTAAATAATTCTTATTTAAATTAATTAATTATTATTTAAATTAATTAAATAGGTAATTGTTATTTAATTTAATTAAATAATTATTGATGATTATTGATTAATTGTTGTTTTATTTATGAAAAAAAGATTTATGAATGATGTTAAAAAATGTTTTTCAACTCCCTATTTTTTTGCAATGGGTTTAAATATGTTAATGATGAGTTTTACAATGATACAGGTGATAAAAAATTAATTATTTATTAAATATTTATTAAAATTAAATATTTATATTTTTTTATATGAATTTTTTCCTCTTAAACAATTAGTGCATTTGTTTTATACTTAGATGATTATTAATATCCATGATCCAAGAGAAGTTATTGCTTGTCTTTTTTATACTTTTGGACAAATGTTTATGCTTTTATGTCTAACGCTTCCTTGTCAGCGTTTAATTGATCTCAGCCTTCAAATACCCATTGATATGTAAATTATCTTCAACTACTTTTACGATTTTCAATTTTTTTTTTTTTTTTTTTTTTTTATTACAAACAAAAATTAAATTATTTTTGTCTATTTTTTACTTGAAAAGTGACTTTTAATTGTTATATAATTATTTTTTTTAGACACAATGGATTTTGGTACAAAACGTCATTAAGATCACAAAAAATGTTACTCATAATAATTATGCGAACCTCAAATCCATTGACATTTACTGCTGGCAAATTGTATACTTTTTCGATGGAAAATTATGGCGCTGTTGGTAAAATTTTAATTTAATCAAAAATATGATTTACTTTTTTTTATTTTGTGTTTTTTTTTTGTTTGTTTAAGGTTGTTAAAACATCTTTTTCTTATTTAACTGTATTGACGTCTGTTCGAGAATAATTTCAATTTTAGTAAAATATTGTTATCGAAGTGAAGAATGTAAATTAAATTTTTAGTATAAAAATTTATTACACTTTGTTCTCATATATTTCTTCTGGTAAGAAGTTTCTTCGAATGTTTTTTTTATTTAAAATAATATTTTATTAATTATTAATTATTTTTGTTAATTAATTTCCAGATGCTGTAGAAGTAACAAAAATAATTTTTTTATAGTTACATTTATTGCAAATAAATATTTTTTTTTATTTTTTAACTAAATAAATAATAAATATTTTTAACTAAAAATTTTAACTCACTTTGTTGATAGTTTAAAAACTGTTTATTAGCTATCTTTGTTACTGATAAAAATTTAGAAAATATATTTACTATTGTTTTAATCCATTTAATTTTAAACGTTCTTTACTGTCAAACGATTGAAATCAAACTGACATCCTCTGCTTTATGTTTCTTATGAAAAATATTGATTTTCTTTTCTAAAGTGACACCCTCAGTAATTTGCATTAATTAACTTTCTTGCATTGAATCGAAACAAGGTGATAATTAAAAGCTTATTATCTTAAAACAACGTTAAAGGAATATATTCTGAAAAAAAAAAAATAAGGGAAACTCTTGTTCATCTTTTTAAATATTCAAACAAGACTTAAAAGGAACTAAATTTTCTGTTATTGTCCTATAGCCTAGTTATAGTATTTTATAAAAAGGTTTTTTATTCATTTCTTACATATATAACACAATGGAAACATATAAATCTTATTTGATAGTGAATAAATATTTTCTATGCGCTATCGGAGCTTGGCCAAAACAGAAAAAAATAAAAAAATGGGCAATTTCTATTTTTGTTTGGATCAATCTTTTGAGTTTTCTTGCTGCACAGGTAGAGAATTTTTTTTTCGCAATGATTCTTTATTGAAAAATTATAATAAATAATTAATTAACAAAAAAAAAAAAAACTAAAAATAAATAAGTAAATTAGTAATTTATAAAAATAAATTAAAGAAAAGTATAAATATTAAATTAAAAATTAAATTAAAAATTAAATTAAAAATTAAATTAAAAATTAAATTAAAAATTAAATTAAAAAATAAAATTAAAAATTAAATTAAAAATTAAATTAAAAATTAAATTAAAAATAAAAATTAGTTAATTAAATTATAATTGAAAATTTGTTTTGATATCGACTAGATTACAGCTTTAGTAAAATTTGGACACGATTTTGATATAATTATAGCTACACTACCACCCTTTTTTTCCAATTCAATTAGTATTGCTTGCCTTGTGGCAATTTCTATCAACAGTGACAAGGTATCTTTATGAAAGAAAAACAATTTTTTTTAATGCATATTACAAAATATCAACACCAATTTTTATAAATGCGTCAGATGAGAATAATTTTATCAAAAATGGAAAAACAATGGATTTATTGGGCAACGAAACCAAATGAAATTGAACTTGTTCGTGAAAACGCTGACTTGGGCAGAAAATTGAGTATTAGATTTATAGGTATATATGAAAAATTATTGCACAAAAAAAATAACTATTTTTTTATTTAATATTCTAATTTGATAATTTTTTTTTCAAATTTTTTTTTTAAAATTATTTATTATTTGAATTTTTTTTTTTAGTTGTAGTTTATGTTATTATGATTGAATATCTTTCGGTGCCAATTATTCCTATAGTATTGGATGTTTTTAAGCCATTAAATCAAACTCGATCAAGGAGACTGATTTTTGTAGCAGATTATTGTGTAAATACAGACGATTATTATTTTTGGATATTATTACACGCTATTATTGGATGCGTTACACGTGTAACTGTTTTTTTGAGTATTGATTGTATTTTCATTGTTTTCATATATCATGCCTGTGGACAGCTTGCAATTTTAGGGTGACAATTAATTTTCAAATTTTCAATTTAATTTTTCAAATTTTTAATTTATTTTCAATTTATTTATTTATATTTATATAATTAGAATAAATTTATTTTTATATTGTAGATTCAGATTAAAAAATCTTGTGTCAATTGATTATGATCAATCAACAAATGATGAGGATGTAATGAAGAGAATTAAATTTTGTATTAAATTACACAAATCAATTATAATGTTAGTATTAGATTATTATTATTATTATTATTATTATTAATTTTAAATTTTTTTCAAAATTGATGATTTAATTGTGACTTTTTTTTGAAGATTTGTGAATGATATTAAAGAATGCTTTTCAACTCCATATTTTTTTGCAGTTGGATTGAATATGTTAATGATGAGTTTTACAATGATACAGGTAATAAGATAATATTTTTAAATTGATAATTTTACAAAAAAAAATTCAAATTTTATATAATGAAAAGAAAATATTAATTAAAAGTAAAATTCATTTCAAAAAATCAATCATTTGGCAATTTATTAAATTAATTTTTATTTATAATAAAATAATTGTATCAAATAATATTATATTTGCATCAAAGGTTGATTCAAAGGAATTAGGTTCGAATAGAGTTTATTTGATTCAAGAAATTTTTTTTTAGTTTATTTTATAATAGTGACTCTAAATAAAAAACTAAATTAAATTATTTGAATTATTAAATTTAATTATTTAAATTATAAAATTTAATTATTTAAATTATTAAATTTAATTATTTAAATTATAAAATTTAATTATTTAAATTATTAAATTTAATTGTTTTCTATGATTTTTTTTTACTATTATCTGATTAATTTTCGAAATTATATAATTTTTTTTCAGATGATCATAAATATTCACAGTCCAAAAGATGTTTTTGCTTTTCTTTGTTATGCTTTTGGACAAATGTTTATGCTTTTATGTCTAACGCTTCCATGTCAGCGTTTAATTGATCTTAGCCAACAAATACCAACTAATATGTAAATTTTTCAAAATTTTTTTATGATTTTTAATTAGAAAACATTTTTAAATCAAAAAATAATTTCTTTTCCCATTTTAATATAAAAAAAAAGAAGTAAATATTTTCATCAAAATCATGAAAAAAAAAAATCAATTTTTTCTTTTAGACACAATGGATTTTGGTACAAAATGTCTATAAAATCACAGAAAATGTTGCTAATAATAATAAGACGATCGGCAAATCCCTGTACATTTACGGCTGGAAAATTGTATACATTTTCAATTGAAAATTTCGGTGCTGTAAGTATATACCTATGTTTAAATTAATTAAATTATATTTATAAAATTATAAAACAAATTTTATTTAAAAAATTTCTTTTTCAATATTTAATTTAATTTTTTCTTAAATTAATTTCTTAAATTAATTAAATTATATATTTAATATAAAATTATAAAACAAATTTTATTTAAAAAATTTTTTTTTTTTCAATATTTAATTTAATTTTTTTCTTATTTAAGGTTGTTAAAGCATCATTTTCTTATTTAACTGTTTTATCATCGGTTAGAGAATAAATTTGTTCAGTTTTTGAAACATGAATTAATTTTTTGGTATTATGAAATTTTGCGCCCTTTTTTTAATGGTATGTTTAAATTTTTTTCTAATTTCTCATTGTTTTTGTTTTTTATTTTTATTATGTTATTCATTTTTTTATCTTATATTCACGAAAAAAATGTTCGCCTAAAACAACGATAACTTTCACTGGAACAGCGATATGTTTCACTAAAACAGAGAAACTTTTTGCTATTCTAGAGAAAACATATCGCTGTTCTAGATAAAAATTTTTTTTTCCGTGTTCTAATTTAATTTTAAATAATTATATAATTTCACATTTATTTATATGATATATTAATCACTTATATTTTTTTTTAGAACCAAAACTCCATAAATCAACAAATTTTAAATGTAAAAAACTTTTTAAGGGCTACATAATTTTTTTTTAACATTTACAAATATTTTTCTGTATTTAAAAAAGTATTTGAAAAAAATACCAAATAGACCCGGCTGATTGACTTTTTTTTTTTGTTAAAAAGGTTTTATATTTTACAAAAAAAAAAACTTTCCAAAATCATAAATGCCAATATATATATATATAGTAAACTTGAAGAAGTTCTCTTCAATTAGCTTGTTGCATAATAAAATATTTATTAGATATCATTGTTAATGATAGAAATTTTATAAAAGTGAAAATAATACAAGAATTTGTTTTTTTTTTATTGTGTTCACCATTTAATTTTAAAACGATCCTTACTGTCAAACGATTGGAATTAAACTGACATTCTCTGCTTTATGTTTCTTATGAAAATTATTGATTTTCTTCCCTAAAGAGACTCCCTCAGTAATTTGCATTAATTAACTTTCTCGCATTAAATCGAAACAAAGTGATAATTAAAAGCGCTTATTATCTTAAAACAACGTTAAAGGAATATATTCACAAAAATAAGGGTAATTTTGTTTCGCATCTTTTTAAATATTTAATAAATTTTCTGCGTAAAGTATAATTATTATTATATACCCTTTGTTATAGAATGTATTTCAAAAAAAAGGTGAGTCTCATTCTTTTTCTGAATAACAAGATGGAAACATATAAATCTTATTTAAGGGTGAATAAATATTTTCTATGTGCCATTGGAGCTTGGCCAAAGCAGAGAAAAATTAAAAAATGGTCAATTTCTACTTTAGTTTGGATTAGTCTTTTGAGTTTTCTTACCGCCGAGGTTGTATTTATAAAAGTGTTTTTAATAAATAATAATAATAATTTTTACTTTTATCATTAAAAAAAAAAAAAAAAAAATGATATTAGTTTACAGCTTTGGTGAGATTTGGAGATAATTTTGATATGATTATTCAAACACTTCCGCCTCTTTTATCCAACGTAATAAGTATTGCTTGCCTTCTGGCAATTACTGTCAATAATGACAAGGTATATAATAAAAAAAATTTTTAAAAAGATTTTTTTGATACAAAATTGACAATTTTTTCTTTTTTTTTAAAAAAAATACCAGATAGGATTAATTTTATCAAAAATGGAAAAACATTGGGTTTATTGGGCATCGAAACCAATGGAAATTGAATTTATTCGCGAAAATGCTGAGAGGGGAAGAAAATTATGTATTAAATTTATAGGTATTATTGTAGTGAAAAAATCAGTTATTAATTTTTTTAAGATTTTTATTTTATTTATTTTTATTTTTTTATTTATTTATTTTCTTTTTTTATTTATTTTTTTTAAATTTAATTTATTTTTATTTTTTTATTTATTTTCTTTTTTTATTTTTTTTTTTTATTTTGTACATTTTTTTTTGGAATAAATTTGTTTGGAATTTTTTCAGTTATGGTTTTTCTAGTTATGATTGAATATCTTTCGGTGCCACTTGTTCCTATACTTTTGGATATTTTTAAACCATTAAATGAATCTCGACCAAAGAGACTAATGATTAATACTGATTATTGTGTGAATACGGATGATTATTATTTTTGGATATCATTGCACGCTGTTATTGGATGCGTTACACTTGTCACTGTTTTTTTGAGTGTTGATTGTATTTTCATTGTTTTCATATATCACGCTTGTGGTCAACTTGCAATTTTAGGGTAACAATATTGTTTCTCAATTTTTTTTCTCAAAATTTTTCATTTCTTTTCAAACTTTTAATTTATTTAGTCTAAAAAAAAATTATTTGATTCAAATAAATGGTTATTTGACTATTAAAATAAATATTAACTAAGTAAATGAATATTTATAACGAAATAATTTTTATTTGTGGTCAAATAATTTTTTTTTTTGAAATACAGAAATTATTGGTTCAAGTTAATACTTATTTTATAATAAGTAAACGATTATTTGAAACCAAATAATTTTTTTCCAGTGCATTATTAATTTAATAATTAATTAATTAAATATTTATTTGTTTATTTTAAATATTTATTTGTTTATTTTAAATATTGTACATATTTAATTAAGAAATTTAAAATTTCTATTTTAGATTCAGATTAAAAAATCTTGTGTCAATTGATTATGATCAATCAACTGATGATGAAGAAGTAATGAATAGAATTAAATTTTGTATCAAATTACACAAATCAATTATAATGTTGGTATCAGATTATTATTATTATTATTATTATTATTATTAATATGATTATATAATTAATTTTCTCAATTTAATTATTACTTCTTTTAAAGATTTGTGAATGATATTAAAGAATGCTTTTCAACTACTTATTTTTTTGCAGTGGGGTTAAACATGTTAATGATGACTTTTACAATGATTCAGGTGAGAAAAAATTAATAAAATTATGAATTTTTTAATTTTATAATTATTAATAATAGTAAATTTTTTTTTTTTAGTAAAAATCTAAATTAATTTTATTATTATACAAATTAATTTTGAAACTATTAATTTTTATTAATTTCCAAATATAGATGCTTATAAATATTCATGATCCACGAGAAGTTCTTGCATGCCTTTGTTATAGTATGGGACAAATGTTTATGCTTTTATTTCTAACGCTTCCGTGTCAGCGATTAATTGATCTCAGCCATCAAATACCTTTTAATATGTAAATTTTTAAAATTTTTTACAAATAATTTTTATTTTTTTAGGGTCATTCCATTATATTTCACCTAAAGTCGTTGCGGCCTAATTTTTAAAAAACTTGGTACTTTCAGAAATGATTCTTTATAATATTTAGGAAACGAAATAAAAAGAATTAAGTTTAAATTTTTATTATTTATCTCAAAATATGTATTTAAAGTGGACAAGGTGCGGAAAAATGTCACCTTTTTAGCATTTAGAAACTTTTTTTAAAAACATAGAAAAATTGTTAAAAGTGTAAAAAAAATTATTTTTTCTTGTTTAGAATCGATTAATTATCTATTTTTTAATGATTAAAGTAGTAAATAAATTAAAATAATATATAAAATAAGTTTTCAAAGTTGGTCTGTCAAATAACCTAATTTTGGGATTTTTATTAATTAATTATTAAAAAGTGGAATTATTAAATAAAATAAAAACTCACTGAATGTAAAGTATTTGCGGTGAACTATCAAATTTTCTTAGCACTTTTTACTTTTTTCATTTATAAATGTAAAAAATCTTGAGTCGAAAATTGGCACTTTGTTGATTTTTCCGATTTTTAATCGCTTGTAACTCTTTTGGTGCAAAATAAAAACTTTTGAAACCTGGCGGAATATTTAAGTTATATCTAAATAAAAACTCACTGTAATTTTCGTGATGGATTTTGATCGAGATTAGAAGAAAATTTAATTCCAAAATTGTACGTATATTTCCAGGTTAATGTATGTAATTTTTCGTCTTTGAAGTAGTGGCCCAACTTCAAGTTTAAAAAAATTACATACATTAACCTGGAAATATACGTACAATTTTGGAATTAAATTTTCTCCTTATCTCGATCAAAATCCATCACAAAAATTTAAGTGAGTTTTTATTTAGATTTAACTTAAATATTCCACAAGGTTTCAAAAGTTTTTATTTTGCACCAAAAGAGTTACAAGCGATTAAAAATCGGAAAAGTCAACAAAGTGCAAATTTTCGACTCAAGATTTTTTACATTTATAAATTTAAAAAGTACAAAGTGCTAAGAAAATTTGAAAGTTCACCACAAATACTTTACATTCGGTAAGTTTTTATTTTATTTAATAACTCCAATTTTTGGTAATTAATTAATTAAAATCCCAAAATTAGGTTATTTGACAGACCAACTTTGAAAACTTATTTTATATATTATTTTAATTTATTTACTACTTTAATCATTAAAAAATATATAATTAATCGATTCTAAACAAGAAAAAATAATTTTTTTTACACTTTTAACAATTTTTCTACGTTTTTAAAAAAAGTTTCTAAATGCTAAAAAGGTGACATTTTTCCGCACCTTGTCCACTTTAAATACATATTTTGAGATAAATAATAAAAATTTTAAATTAATTCTTTTTATTTCGTTTCCTAAATATCATAAAAAATCATTTCTGAAAGTATCAACTTCTTTAAAAATTAGGCCGCAACGACTTTAGGTGAAATATAATGGAATGACCCTTTATTTATATTTTTATTTATTTAATAAACATATTTTATTATAATTATTATAATATATTATAATAATATATTAATATAATAATATATTAATTATATTATTATTATTATTATTATTTTATAATATATTAATATATTATAATAAATATTATTATAATTATTATATTTTATTATAATATATTTTTTATTTATTTATTTTTTTTTTTTTAAAAAGTAAATAAAATATTATTTGTCAATAATATTTAAAGGATAAATATTTTTTTCTCTAATTCTTTTGAATAGATACGATGGATTTTGGTATAAAACATCACCAAAATCACAAAAATTGTTGTTGATAATAATAATGAGATGCGCAAATCCTTTGACATTTACTGCTGGAAAATTGTACACATTTTCTATACAAAATTTTGGTGCTGTTAGTAAATATTTTAATTAGAAAAATAAAAAAAATTCATTTTCTACATTTTATAATTATAAATAAATTATCTATATATATTTTTTTAAAGGTTGTTAAAGCATCTTTTTCTTATTTAACTGTGTTATCATCAGTTCGAGAATAAATATTTCAAGTTTTCTGTCAATACAAATAATATTGTAAAAGAGAAATATATGAATTTTTGGGGGTTTTTTTTTTTTTTTTTTTGCTATTTTTTCTGGTAAGTGTTCGTTTCCGTAATATAAATTTCTATTTATTTTTATAACATTGATTATTTATATATTAATTTTTTTAAACTATTTTCAGGTGCCGTAAATGCAGTTTTTCAATAGATAAAAAAAATTATTTTTTTTTTTTATATAGAAGAGAGATCTGCCCAATTTATATAAATAAAAAAAAAAAAATTGTAATTGTAGATCGTAGTATAAAATATTATATATGTAGTATAAAATTGCGCCAAAGTTTTCTTCACTTACTTTGTTGATAGTTAAAATGTTTATTAGATATATTTGTTATTAAATTTTTTTTATAAAAACCTAGAATTATTATTATTATAAATAATATAATAATTATTTATTTGCGTTTGTGGAAAAATTTTTTTTTTTTTTTTGACCATTTATCATTCAAGACGATCCTTACTATTTGACAATTGAAAGAAGACTGACATTGAACTAACAATATATTCTATTGAAAAATATTGATTTTCTTCCTCTAAAGAGACTCCCTCAGCAATTTGCATTAATTAATTTTCTCCCATTCGAAACAAAGCGACAATTAAGGCTTATTATCTTAAAACATTGTTAAGGAAATATATTCTCAAAAAAAAATAAGGGAAACATCGTTTTAAATAATTTAATAAATTTTCTGCGTAAAGTAATTATTATTATATACCCTTTGTTATACGAATGTATTTCAAAAAGATGGGTTTTTATTTCTTTTCTGAATAACACAATGGAAACATATAATTCTTATTTGATAGTGAATAAATATTTTTTATGCGCTATCGGAGCTTGGCCAAAACAATCGAGAATAAAAAAAATATTAATTTCTATTTTAGTTTGGATCAGTCTGTTGAGTTTTCTTGTCGCGCAGGTTGGTTTTTTTTTTTTTTTATTCAATAGAAATAAATAATAAATTTAAAAAAACTTGAAACTAAATGGTAAATTAAAAAAAAGTTAATAAATAAATTATCAAAAAAATAAAATTAGATTACAGCATTAGTAAGATTTGGTGATAAATTTGATATGATTATTCAGACACTACCGCCTTTTTTTGTAAATCTTGTTAGTATTGTTTGCCTCATAGCATCTACTGTTAACAAAGAGAAGGTAATTTTCTTTTTATCTAACAGTAATTAAAACATTTAAAAAAGAAATTAAAAAAAAATTATCAATACTAATTTTTAAAAAAGATTGCATTACTTTTATCAAAAATAGAAAAACAATGGATGGATTGGTCGTCATCGAAATCTATTGAAATTGAATTTATTCGTGATAATGCTGATTTGGGAAGAAAATTAAGTATTATGTTTATAGGTAAATTTTTCAATTTTTTTTTTGTAAATAATTTTTTAAATTATAAATTATAATTATATTATTTTATTAATTTTTTTCATTTGAATTTTTTCAGTTGTTGTTTTTGTTGTTATGTTTGAATATATTTCGGTGCCACTTATTCCAATACTTTTGGATGTTTTTAAACCATTAAATGAATCACGTCCAAGACGATTAATGATTGTCGCTGATTATTATGTGAATACAGATGATCATTATTTTTTAATATCATTACATGCAACCTATTCATGTATTGCAATAGTCACTGTTTTTTTGAGTATTGATGGAATTTTTATTGTATTTATTTATCACGCCTGTGGTCAATTATCAATTTTAGGGTATTTTGTTTAAAATTCATTTAAAAAAAAAATTAATTAATTATTATAATTTATTAATTGGAATAATTTTTTTTTGATTGCAGATTCAGATTGAAAAACCTTGTGCTGGAAAATCATCAATTCAATAATGACGATGAAGAAATTATGGAGGAAATTAAATTTTGTGTAAAACTACACAAATCAATTATAATGTTTGTATATAATTATTTTTAATTCTTTTTATTTGAATCAATTTTTTCTAGCAGTAATTTTTTTTTATTATTTTAATACAATTTTTTTATTATTTTAATACAATTTTTTAAAAATTTTAATAAAATTTTTTTAATTTTAATAAAACATCATGATTTTTTTTAAAGATTTGTAAATGATATTAAAGAATGTTTTTCAACTCCTTATTTTTTTGCCATGGGCTTAAATATGTTGATGATGAGTTTCACAATGATTCAGGTATATATGACTAATTTTCATAAACATATTTTAAATTTTATAATTAATAATTAATCAATTTTTTTTTTTAATAAAATTTTTTATTACAATTTTTATTAAAAAATTTTTTTTAAAACTATTATTTTATTTATTTACAGATGATTATAAATATTCACGATCCACGAGAAGTCGTTGCATGTCTTTGTTATACTTTTGGACAAATGTTTATGCTTTTATGTCTAACTCTTCCATGTCAACGATTAATTGATCTTAGCCAACAAATACCAATTAACATGTAAATTTTTCAAAATTTCTACAATTTAAAAAAAAAATTTTTTTTAATTAAAATCTTTTAATTTTATTTTATAAATAATTTTTTTTTTTTAGTCACGAAGGGTTTTGGTATAAAATATCATCTAAATCACAAAAAATGTTACTCATAATAATTATGCGATCCGCTTATCCTTGTACATTTACTGCAGGAAAATTATATACTTTTTCAATGGAGAGCTTTGGTGCTGTTAGTATATCATTTTAATTAATCATTAAAAAATTGTTATTTAAAAAAAAAATTTATTTCTAATTTATATATTTGTTTAAGGTTATTAAAGCATCTGTTTGTTATTTAACTGTTTTGTTATCAGTTCGAGAAAAATAGATTTGGTTTATTAAAAAAAATATTTTGCAGTCTTTATAGAATTCTATATTATTATTTTTGTTTTGGAATAATGAGGTTACTATTTTTATAAGTAATAAAGTTTCTTAATGAAAATTTAATTGTAAGTTCTTAATTAATTAATCTAGTAAATCTTAAATGTTAATTAAATCATAGTCATGTATAGGGTAAGTGGAATTTTAAATTTAAGTTTTTCCCGCCCATTTGTCTCCTCGAAGCATTCAAATCGATTAATCGAATAAACAGAAGGAGAGGTCCTGCACAAACTTCAGATCTATTGTGAAAAATGGCGACTTTTGGATAAAGTGTGACATTTCCTTGCAAATGTGTCTTAGTTGTTTGTAGTTATTTAATTAATATCGGTAGTTTTTAGAATAAACGGGCTCGTGAATCGAAATGGCAGTGAACAGTGACTGTATAAGCAGACGTAATCCCCAGGACGAGTACGAGCTCATCCAAAGAATAGGCAGTGGAACTTACGGAGATGTTTACAAGGTGTTTACCATTATAATCATCCTTTTAAAAACAATCATGCAAGAAATTTATTATAAAAAAAGAATTTCCTAAATTTTTCCAGGCCAAGAGGCTTTCGATGAATGATCTTGCGGCTATCAAGGTTATCAAATTGGAGCCAGGTCAGTTTCATATTTTCTTTCTCACAATTGTACAGTTTTTTTTTTTATAATGATACTTTCTACTTAACTTTTAGTTTTTATGTTCACCTCTTCTTTTTTTAACTCACGAGACTTAATTTTTAAAGAAGAATTTCACTTCAATGAGATTGTAGATCATTATTTGTTATCTATTTGTGTAATTGGCTTCTTGAGATTTAATTTATTGTTGGCTGGTCATCATTTCATTTCCTGGATCGTCATTACATTTGCAATTTTTTTTTCTTATAAATATAATTCATCACTTGAAAACTTATTGTTTGTAAATTGTTTTTTTTTCTAAATGACAACGAAAAATTATTCTAATTTATAAAAAAAAGAAGAAAAAAATGGGTACTTGAAAATGTCTTTTAACCTACTTTCAAGATAATGTCAATCAAAGGAATTTTTTCACAATTAATCATTTCTTAACTTCTTTTATTATGCAATAAAATAACGATAATTTCCAAGTTATTTTATTTTTAATTTTTTCTTGGAAAATTGATTTTTTTTTTTAAATATATAATTTAGAAATATTTACGAGAAATTTAAAAAATTAAATGAAAAATATTTTAGGAGATGATTTCGCAGTTATACAACAAGAAATATTAATGATGAAGGATTGTAGACATCAAAATATTATAGCATATTATGGAAGTTATCTACGTCGAGATAAACTTTGGATTTGTATGGAATATGGTGGAGGAGGATCTCTTCAAGATATTTATCACAGTAAGGAATAATATATAAATATAATAATATAGAAATTAATCTAAATTATAATATATTTGATTTTTTATTTTACAGTAACGGGCCCTCTCTCAGAAATACAAATTGCTTATATGTGTCGTGAAACACTTCTTGGTTTAGCGTACTTGCACAATATGGGAAAAATGCATCGTGATATTAAAGGTGCCAATATTTTACTAACTGAAGCTGGTGATGTAAAATTGGCTGATTTTGGTGTCTCAGCACAAATCACAGCAACTATTAACAAAAGAAAAAGTTTTATTGGCACTCCATATTGGATGGCACCTGAGGTATATTTATAATTTTCTATAAATAGAAAGGAAAATTTTTATTCCAGGATTATTATTTAATTAGTTGTTTATTTATTCAACAGGTTGCCGCAGTTGAAAGAAAAGGTGGTTACAATCAATTATGTGACATTTGGGCTTGTGGAATAACAGCCATAGAACTCGCGGAATTACAGCCACCAATGTTTGATCTTCATCCTATGCGGGCTCTTTTTTTGATGTCAAAATCTGGCTTTAAACCACCGACACTTAAAGATCGTGATAAATGGAGTCCGACTTTTCATAATTTCGTGAAAGTAGCACTTACAAAAAATCCTAAGAAAAGACCTACTGCTGAAAAATTACTACAGGTATTTTTTTTTTCTTTACTAAAAAAAAAAACAAAAAATTACATCAGTAATTGAAATAAATTTTTGATTACAGCATACATTTTTTCAAGGAGAAATGAGTAAACGATTAGCATTGGAATTATTGCAAAAGGTTTCTAATCCTAGCCACATGTTTACCGATCTAGAAGCAGACGAAGACGGTGCAGTACCTAATGTTCCTCAGCGAATTGCTTCGAGACACACTGCTAGATCTCGACCAAAAAGCCCAATTTCCCAGCTAGACTGTGATGGTGAATATTGGATTTTTATTAAATTTTTTTTATATTCACATAAAAATTTAAATTCGAATTCTTTTGCTCCAGATCAAATAAATTTAGACGGTGAAACATTACAAAGAGAATCAATACCTTCTTCGGTAGATACAAGTCCTGCGTGGGATATTATGGATATTATGAATAATGTAAAGGTAATTTTTGCAATTTATATTATTTTTTTATATATATATATTCTTTATTTAATTTTTTTTTTTCTTATAGACTATGCACAATTGTGACGTTCATCCTGATTGTGGAATTGGAACTGCATTTGAAGATGTACCAGAAAAGTAAGTACTTTTAAAATATTTAATCTTTATTTTGTAAAAGTTGCTTGTACATTTCCATTAATGTAGTGATTGCTGCTTTGTACATAAATTTTTTATTGCGATGTTTTTTTTTTTTTTTATTTAGATTGAATTGGAATATGATCGTTAGCAATTTGGGCTTTAAATTAATTTTGGAAATTTGCAAATCTAGTTTTAATATGACAAATTTAATTTAGTATTCAGTGATTAATATTTAATTTTTTCAATGATGAAATTTTTGTAAATATAAATTTTTAATATTTGACATTGAATTTTTTCTCAAAGCAGCAATTTGAGTCATTGCATAAATGCAAAAGCTATAAAATGCTATATTGTTCGTCACGTTTTTATTTTTATGTTTCTACATTAAATTTTGCACATTGTGCATTTTCTTTTGCCTTTTTTTTTTTTAAATGCATCGACTGCAAATTGATATCATAGAAAAAACAACAATGATCTTTTGGAAAATAGTTTGCAACAAAATTGAATTCTATATTGTTTTTAATTTTTCCATTCGGGCACGCTTCTCAAATATTTATATTGAAAGACATTTGCTGATCTTTTTTTTTTTTCTCTACTTTGTTGAAAATACAATGATTTACTTCTTCATTAGTAATCGCGGCGTTATGAGAGACTGTAGAATGTTGCGCCGAAGCAAAACTGGCACCGAGATATTTCATATGAGTCTCAGGTAATATCGAAAATATCTCGTTTGGTGTGAAACGTTTTTTACGATTAAAAAATATTTGTATATTAAAAGAAAAAAATTAAAATGAGATAATTATCTCTTCTAATTTTAGAGATTAGAGTTTTTAATTAAACTAATTAAAAATGAGGGTAAATTGTTTTTTCTTTTGAAATTAATTTAATAACATTTTATAACTAAACTATTACGAAAAAAAAATATGTTAATATCTTGATAAATATTTTTAAAAATTAAATATTAAATTGAAAATTATGAAGGCTCGATTTGGAAAAGTGCAAAAACATTTTCTTTCAAAATGAAAAGAAATGTCGAACCTTCACTTCCAATTTTATATAATATAAGCATGGTAGCTTTTTTAAACATTAAATTCTGCATGTTCTGCATGAATAGTATGAGATCATGATCTATAAGTAGCGTAAGTAGTAACGTAAGTACTCTAATTAATTTCAATTATAATTTTAAACTACTATCATTAAGATTTTAAAACTATTTTATAATTTCAAATTATTTTTGAAAACTTATTTTTCTGATCACTATTTTATTTTTAATTCTTTCAATCCAGATGATGATAACAAACTAAAATACATATTATATGCTTTCGGTATTTAAATAATTAAAATTAAAACATTCAGTAAATATATCTTATTTAAAACCAATTATCAGTAAAGTATTTTTTTTTTTTTTTTTTTTTATTTGGAAAGCTTTCTTATTTTTTCTTTAGTAGAATTAATTTTTTTCTAATCAGTTTGTAATTTTTATTAATTTCTCCCTACAGGAGTCTTTTGCAGTACATTGATGAGGAGTTGTTGCTAAGGTATTGGCAGGTAACCTTTTCCCTTGCACCTTGCGCTTATGCTTCCTAATGCCGAATGCGTTTTACATTTTATTATTAGCTTGAAAAATGATTAAAAATGATTACATTTTTATTCGCGAATGGCTTTTTGAATGAATTTTTTTAAACGGTGCTTTTTTCAATTTTTTAAAAGTATATTAGATTAATTATATTTTTTATAAACGTGTTTTATTTTTGTTAGATTTGAAATAATATCTCTAAGATAACATTATTAATACATTATTATTAGGAAAATTCTTTATTACAATTATGTAGTTTTTTTTTATGATTCGAAATTATTAACAAACAAAAATATGATATGATTATTTTCAATTTTTTCAAAATTGTAGACTTGTCGCTTTTGTGTTAAATTAGTTAATGTTTCATAAAAAAAAAAGAAAAAAAAATGCTTTATGCTTCAGCTCTATGCTTTTTCCCACGCTCTTGACATTGATTTAAAAATTAAAAATAATATTATATATAATTGCGAATATTTACATGAAAAAAACTAATCTAACTTTCTGTCATAAATCTATTTTAAACTTGAATTCTTAAACTTGATTTTTCTTAAATCACTTATTTTTCTGGTTAAAAGAAATTTTTTTTTTTCAAATGAAAAATCGGTTCTTCTTTCGGGTTATTAAATTGTGAAGGGCTTTTCTTTTATTTATCTTTATCCTGTTTAATATCTAAAATGTGAATTCACATTGGCAACTAATGTTATTTTTTTATTATTAACATAATTGCAATTAATAATTATAATAATTTCAAAATTAAAATACATTTTTAAAACCATTTATTATTGTAAATAATCTGTTTTTTTTAAGTGCTTTTATTGTCTAAAAAAATTTCTGTTGAATTTAAGAGAATATTGCCATTTTTGGATTCAAATTTAAGATTAATTTTTTTTATTTATAAATGCTTAAAATTTAAATATTAAATAATAATTAAAAAATTTTTTAAATGTTAATTTTTTTTTATTAATTTTATAAAAAAAAAAAATTCTATTCGAGAGAATAAATTTTTAAGAATTATTTATTTATTTTCAATGAGTAGATTAATAAAATTGTAAAGATTAATTAAAATTTTGAAATGTATCCATGTAATATCGGTTTCATGTGTGCAGGGGAAACGCAATGTCGATGGTTGGTGGCCATTGCGACCAGCTATACTCCCTGCAGTAAGTAAAATGTCGAAACCTTCAAAAAATTAAAAAATTTCCTAAAAATTATTTTTATATACTGCAACAAAACATCTTTCTCTATTCATTATACAAAACTTTATTTTTGTTTACGCACAATATTAATTTCTTGTATTTTAATTTTATTATCATCTTTTATGTTTTAATCCCCAAAAATGCATAAAAAGTTTTTTTTTTTTTTAATTTTAATTACTTTTTTTGTGAAATTATAATCATACCATATTTTACACATGAATCGCATTTGATAAGTTTCATAATTGCTTCAAGGAATCTTAACTGATTAACATAGCTCAGCTTTTTTTTTTTTTGTTTATCAAAACACGAATCCATATTAAACATTTTTTTCATTAAATTATTCATATTATTGTTTCGCAAGCTATTGTCCAATTGTGATTTGTGATTAACAAATTCAAAATCTGCTTTATATTATCTATTTTTTAATGGAATCTGATAAAAATAATTTTCTTTTCTGGCTAAAAATTGAAAAAAAAATTTTTTGGATAGAATAAAGCAGATGTTTGTAAATTTAAATAAATAATTTATATTTTTAAAAAATAATAATTTATTGTTATATATTTCAGAGCTACATTGCCTCTTGGTGAGTCATCAAATGATTGCGAGGTACATCGTGGCTTTTATGGTAATATACCTGGTAAGCAAATGATTTTTATTGTTAACGTCCTGTGTGAATGAATGTTAAAATTTTAAGTAAAGAAAAAATTAGATATGACACAAATTGTGAACATGAAAAAAAAGTTATTTTATTTTAATAAGAAGCAATTCAATTTTTAATAATATTGTAATTATATTTTCAAGTTGAAATTAATATTAGATTGTCACGATTGCTATAAGTACACTTAGAATATTTAAATGTAAACTTTATGTAGATTTAAAAATTAGTATTTCATGTTTCGTAGATAAAAATGTCAAATTAGCATGAAACAAAATAGTTTCTTTTTTGTCTCAAACTTAATTATTAAAGAAACAACTTAATTACACGTTTTATATAATTGTTTCAGTAAAGTTCTTTTTTGCATGACTCATTAAAAATCACTTTAAAATCAAAAAGTATTATGTATTACAGAAAAAAAAAGAGATCTCTTTAATAATTTTAAAAATCATTTTTAATTATCATTAAAGATAAATTATTAATTGTAGTTAATGAAAAATAATTTTAACAGCAATAAAAGGGATGAGGTGCTTTTGTGTGTGTTTTAAAATGTTTGAGAAGCATTTTTTTTTTTTTTTTTGTATTGCCTATATTAAAGTAAGCAGGCACTAGTGTAAAAAGTAGGTTGGGTGCTTACTTGCTTAGGGTCGCAAGCAAGTCCCAGGCGTCACAGCTCTGTGGACGAGTTGTATAACCTGGTGAGCAGTTCCTTGTCATTAGGAGCAGTCAATGGACAACGTCAACGTTCACTCTCGGACAGTGGGTCGAGAGAGCCTAAGGGTAGGAGCACGCATCATGAATTCAGAGCATGCTCACATATTTTTCCCAAAGACGTGCTTCCCTTTACTAACATTAAATCATAAATTGTCAACTTCCTTTTGAAAATAACCATTCTCAATCCTCTGACTTATAAAAGCTTAAACATTATTAATTTCACTAAAAACATCCGTTTCAGAATTGACTCTTTTTATTTAATATCTGGGATTACTATTAAAATTATTCTTTTGAATTGGAATAATTTGCTTTTTTGAATTAAGAAAAAAAAAAAAAAAAAAAAAGTAATGATTCTTGATATTTTGTAGGCGATGGCGAAATACCTGACAATGGAGATGGGGAAAGTATTAGTCCTGATTTATTGTCCGATACACCACCAGTTCCACCTAGACGAAGGGATAGAAAAAGACATACACCACCTAGACCAATTAGTAATGGACTTCCGCCAACGCCAAAAGTTCATATGGGAGCATGTTTCTCAAAAGTATTTAATGGTTGTCCATTAAGAATACATTGTACGGCAAGTTGGATACATCCTGATACGCGTGATCAACATTTATTAATAGCAGCTGAAGAGGGAATTTATAATTTGAATCTCAATGAACTTCACGATGCAGCGATAGATCAACTCTATCCGAGGAGAACAATTTGGATGTATGTTATTAAGGATGTTCTCGTCTCACTCTCAGGTAAATTTAAAATTAATCCAATTACAGTAGAACTAAATAAGTTAAACTTTTAAATATTTTTTTTATAGGAAAAACGCCTCAGCTTTATAGACACGATCTTTTAGCAATGCAAAGCAAACAAACTCACAGGTTTTCATTGCACATGAATAAAATACCCGAGAGATTAGTACCAAGAAAATTTGCGCTTACAACAAAAGTCCCAGACACAAAGGGCTGCACAAAATGTTGTGTCGGAAGAAATCCCTACAATGGGTAAGAAATTATTTTATTCTTTTTTATTTTAATGCAAAAATTGAAAAAAAAAAAAAAAATTTTATTTAAAAATTTTATTTTTGACATTAAAGGTATAAATATCTCTGCGGTGCAATGCCAGCAGGAATATTTTTAATGCAATGGTATGATCCATTAAATAAATTCATGTTGCTGAAACATTTTGAATGTATTTTGCCATCGCCATTGAATGTTTTTGAAATGATTATCACACCAGAAATGGAATATCCAATGGTGTGTGTATCAGTTAAACAAGAATATCAACAAAATAAATTAAAATTGGATTTAATTAATATGAATTCTGGCGCAAGCTGGTTTCATAGTGACGAACTCGAGGATGTCGATGGTTCAGGTAATTTTTTTTTTATATTAAAATTTTTGATTTGTATATTTCTAATTTAGAATTATAATTTTATATAATTATAATTATAATTATTACTTTTTTTAGCAACGGTGATACCAAGAAGAGAAAATCTTCAAGTGATAAGTGTTACACAATTAGAAAAAGACGCAATTCTTGTTTGTTATGATAGTAAGTTGATAAAAATAATTTTTCTTTTCATATATTTCGGCAATTTTTAATTTGTTTTATATTTTTCAGATGTCATAAAAGTCGTAACGTTGCAAGGTAAATTAAGAAATAGTAAGAAGCAAATGTCGGAACTTCAGTTTAATTTTCAAATTGAATCTATCAGTAAGTTAAATTTCAATTAATAATTTACATTTTTTAATTTTGTTATTAATTTGAATTTTTTTTTTAGTTTGTTTGCCTGATAGTGTTTTGGCATTTCACAAACATGGAATGCAGGGAAGAAGTTTGAAAAATGGTGAAGTTACGCAGGAAATAAGCGATCCAAGTCGAACTTACAGACTACTCGGTTCAGACAAGTAATTTTTTTCATTTTAAATTTAAATAAATTGAATTCTTAATTCTAAAAATAAATAATGTTTTCAGAGTTGTGATGTTAGAGAGCCATTTAGTCCATACGGGGACACTCTCAGAAACTGATGGAGCTGATTTGTATATACTCGCTGGACACGAAGCCAGTTATTAGTTATAAATATTTTATGAAAGAAAACGAGAATTATACAAAAATAGAAGACAATGATTCAAGCTGCAAGTAAATAATATAATTAGCTAATTATTTGCAAATTGAATGGATTTTGCGTTGAAGGTAGACACATTTTTTCTTTATATATATATAATATTTAAATTGCGCTCTTTATCTCGCAATGGTCCGTGGCCAGGCGATTATTTACTTTTTAATTAATTGCATGAGACACAATATCCGAGCAGACTGTATTAAGTAGACTGTTTTAATTATTCAAGTACCAGAATAAGTATTTATTAATTCCATTAAAGGAACATTTAATTGAAATACATCATAACACTGGTAGAACACAATAGATAACGCAATGATTATGAAAAACAGTAGATTTTGATGATCATGGAAAGAATTAGCTATTTTATACGTAGACTGTAAATTTTTTTTTTCATTTATGTAAAAAAAAAAAAAATCTCTAATTATTCGAGAATCAATTAGTTAAGCCATTTGCCACATTTTTTATTATGTTAGCTTCTCATAAAAATCAATTTTAACTTATTTACGAAATAATCATATATATTATAATAGACCAAGCGAATAGATGTTAATGAAACGAATAGAATTTTCATGATCATTAAAAAAGCTCATTCAAGAATTTTTAAAATAACTTGTTTACTTTATTTGACGCAATCAATATTTAAATTTATCAAGAATCGTACAGTGATATTTATCTTACTGTGTTATGTTTTTTTTTTTTTTTTTTGTTAAACAAAAGTGATTTTGATATTTCTGTTTTATTATCTACTGTTTTATATTTTAAAATTGGTGACAGCGAGATTCATTTGAATATCGTTCATTCAATTAATTATTGTTGAGCGATGTCGATTCGTGTAAAGTATTTTGAACCAAAGTTTATTCTTGAGAAATTCTAAATTTTTAATGTTAAGAAAAAAATGTAGCTTTGTTGTAAATAAGGGAAAATAAGTATTACAATTTTAAATTATACAAATTTTTGTTTTCTAGAACGTTTAATTTTTTTTTTTTTTATAAAAAAAACATCTTATCTAAAAAAACATTCCTTTTCAAAATTGCCTTCTTATTGTACACGAGTGTTGGTGAAACAAATACGATATAAACTTATATGTAAAAATTGTGTATATTAAAGCTTCAAAAGATTTTACTTTTAACTATTTTTTACATTACTTGCGGTTACATTAAATCTATCATGAAATTTCATTAAATTAAAATTAGCAAAAATTAAATTTAAATCTAAGAGAAATTATTTAGAGAAAAAAGAGTATTCCAACTCATTTTCATAACAAGTAAACACCAAAATATTCAATCAAATATATAAAAATTAGAATTTAAAATGTCTTCCTCTCTTGTTCTTTGAAAAAAAAAAAATTATTACACTTCAAAATAAAATACATTCAATAAAATTTAATCTCTTTTTCGCGTGAATTGCAAAAAAAAAAGCTTTGGCTTTAAATATAGTTGTCAATTACAATAATTCATTTTAGAGATAAATTAATTTTCAATAAATCTCGAATGTGTTTTACACATAGCTTATAAAAAGATAAATTCATATTTTTTATTCACAAAAAATATTAAACATTTCTTACTGGGAAGAAGAGGATTTTTTCTTCTATTTAAATCGATAGTTCAAATTCAAAATTCTCATATATGACAATACACAAATGATAAATAAATGAATATATTTTTATTTTTATTCATAAATGCAATTAACATGGAACAAGAATTATACCATTATAATATTGTGGTATACATATCGTTCTTCGACGACCAGACAAATTTAACAAAAAGAAAAATCAAAGTATAATGAAAATCTCTTTCACTTCATGGTAGGAATTTTTTTTTTTTTTTTTATTTATAGAATTATAAGTATATAATACTTTGATTTTGAGAACAATATTATCAGATTTAAACGGTTGAGAGTTGCATTATGACTTCATTAATCGAAACTAAAAATTCTCAAAAATTAATTTTTAAATCAACGAAAGGAAATAGAATTTAAAATTTTATGAAACGACATAACAGAGTAACAGATAAAAAATGTTTTTAAATATTTTTAATACTATTTCTTAGAAACTGTCAATTTAATATTTTTGATAGTTCAAAAATTTAAAGAAATATGAATAATTTGAATGTCTCGACTAGTGATGCCATAAATGTATCTTTAATCACTATAATGGAAGCAATTTAAAAATTGTAAATTAAAATATTTTCGTAGAAAAAGAAGTTATAAAATCAAAGCAGGATAACCATAATTTCCTTTAACGAGGATTTGGAATTAATTAATCAACACTAAACATTTTTTTTTAATTGTTCAAATTTTGAATCATTCAAATATTTTTATTCTAATAAAAAAATGTTTAAAAAAAAGACATTAATTATCCTTAAAATAATTGAAATAACTAGAAAATCCGAATTCTCGTGTTAAATATTTCGTTAATAGAATTAGAAATTTTAATTAGTGGTCTAGTACAATATTTGGATTTATCCTGCTAACGAATTTAAAAGAATAAAATAATATTTTGGGAGGTGAAAAGCCAGAAACAGAAAGAGAGTATATATATACACATATAGATCTATATATATTTAATATTGCTTCTTGAAATTGTTCATGTTGAAATTATATATTATACATAAATGTACGAAAAGAAAATTTTCTTCCATCAAACAAAAAAAAAAACAAAACGATAATCGAAGCACTAGTGGAAAGTAGTCTTGGCACATGGTCAAGCATTTTAGAAAAGACGAGTTTAAGAATCATATATATTTATGTTAAGAGTTTCTAAAGCGTTTTGGTGTCTCTCGCAAGATATTTTATATATATAATAAAAATTAAACCGTAAAAAAATACGAGCAAAAAGCAAAACACCAATCACGGAAAAAAAAGAGTAAATTAAAAAAAAGTATTCTTCGTATTTAAATATCACGAGATAGTAGTAATATTCGCTTAGTTAGCGTCAATAAATACAATAATATAGAAATTGTACATAATGTCACGAATTATATATTTATTTACATGTGTAAACATTTTATGTAAATAGACGTTCATAATTAATAAAAATTGAATCATAAATCCATAATTCACTCACCTTTCTGTTCGAAAAATAAAAAAAAAAAAACAAAATTCAACCAATTATATAAGTATAAGTAATTAAACAAAACATTTTTTAAAATTTTCATTTATTGTCATAAAAATGTTAAAAATTGTTGTTCGATTTTGTTTGTAAAATTTAAGTACATACTTTAATTTTTCTCATGAATTAAACTATTTATATGATTTATCTCATATCGAGAGAATTCACAGGAAGTTTGCAATAATGCTTAAAGCGAGAATAAAAACATTTGATTGTTAGTTAAACTATTACTATTAAAAATTTACATGTGAAAATAGTTACTGCAACGATAATAATAATCAACATTGGAAGATCAATCTTTTTTTTTTTTTTTTCTTTTTTTTTTTTTTAATCAGACTTCAATCCTATCAGTACTTTTTTCTTCTATCGGAACAGAAAAACTTATTTCTAATTATATATATTTACAGGTCGCATTTAATGGTTTTTCATTTTTTTCACAATACTTTTAAATATATATATATATATATATATATATTAGCATTGATAAGAATGGAGCGAAGATAAAAAATATTTGAGATTATATCGCACATTCTTTTTAAGGCACAAGGGACGCTCTAAGAGTCGTCGAAATATTTCTTAAAACGCAAAAATGTTTCAATGCATTTTTCGTTTAATATTTTTCTATATATTTCAAAAATTGACTTCATATATCATAAATATATTTTATAAATTTTGCGTAAATATTTCTGACGATTCAATATATTATTATTAATTTCTCCAAAAAAATTCAACAAATGATTAATAAATAAAGTCGTTTTTGGAAAATGATATATAAAAACTTAAATACAAGATAACATGCACATGAATAGATAAAAATATTATAATTTCACAAAATTCATATAACGATTAATTAATTAATAATTAAAAAATTCCCATTTTTCATAATTAAAAAACTTTAAATCGTCATTAATTAAAATTAACTCTGATTATGCAATTCATATATTGAATTTGCCTAAAAAAAAAAATAATTAAATAAGCAAATGTGAAATGTAATTACGTTTCATTTCGACTTTGCAATTGACCTACCATTTTTTTAACCCATCCTGCATGACTTTGACCTGCAGAAACATCATCAAAATCTTCGATTTCCGATAATGGAATTTTATTACTTTCATTTTCCGATTGCATCGAAGAATTAGATGATTTATTTAAATCGGGACTTTTAAACATTTTTGTCCTCAATTTCAAATGTTCCGGTTTTTGCATAATTACGGGTTTTAATTTAACATCGCATCCAATTTTTGGTGACGATCTTTTTTTCGCCGGTATTGGAGGAGCAATTTTTGACTTAATTGGCACTCGATTTATTGCTTCATCAAATTCAATAAGTGATGATCTTATTGTCAATGTATCCTCACCATCACTAAATATTGCACTATCACGAAAAGCATCTTCAACATCGACATCAATATAATTTTCTATTGTTTCAAATGATCTTTCATAAAAACTATCCATCTCACTATCTTGTCTTTCGAATTTTTTCTCATCTTGTTTCTCTTCAAATTTTTCATCAATTGTTTTACATTCATTAAATTCTCGATCTTTTATTATTGATTTATCGTTAGAATCTTTTTTCTCTAAAAGATTTTGTTTAGATGTGGCAAGTTCCATTCGTTTATTTTCAGTGAAAAGAGTTGATGGATCAGCATAATCGGATTGAGCGATACGAGCTCCCAAACGAGAACTTCCCTGTTTGTAGTAATGTAAAGGACTTCTTGAAATTTTCGAACTGTTAGCAATATGACTAACCATTTCCTCAACGTCTGATGATGATTCTCGGGACAATTTGAATTTATTCTTCTTTTTTGTTTTACCACCATTGATAGAGCGATAAAATTTCGTTCTTTCCAATTCGTCACTGTACTCTAGTGTTTCACTGCTGGCTGTTGATCGCAGACCTTGTAATCTACTTCCGGCTTTTGAGAGAACATTTTTTAAGGATATTGTTCCACTTCCATTGGGCCTAAAAGAATTTTTTTTTTTTAATATTATAAATAAAATTATTTATTTTCAAATTAAAAAACTCACCTGTAAATTTTGTGATCTGGATGAACATTGGTAATAGTAGGAGCGACATGTAATTCAGAATATGCATCAGTCATTGAATCATGAAGTGAGCAGAAGAAATTTGAAGATGATGTTGAGATAGAAGTGGGAAACTTGGCAATTCGTCCTCCCGTTTGACAAGTGGAAGCGTATCTTTCCATATCTTCCAAGTTGATCTCAGCTGGTTTATCAGACGCAATTGTAAATGGACGTTCACTCATTGGTTTACCGTCACGCTGTAGAAATCGCGGTTTTGTTGTTGAATGAAGACAAGACGTTGGACTAATTTGGAAACTACGAGGTAGCGATCCGCTTTTTTGTGGCGAGACTGGTAAACCTTCACAAAGCTTCGTCAACCAGACTGCCGGCCTCGTTGGACTATCATTATTACCCTCTTGATCCTTTACATCTTTCAAACTTTCCCAAACATTTTGTAAATTATCATAATTCTCAAAACCTTTAGCCTCAATATTTTCCCCATCGGCTGTCGCAGTTATTTCCTTTTGATTTTCTTCTGTACTTGAAGTTGAATTTTCTCGTATTTGAAGTGCTGTTTTAATAATTTTACTCTCAGTGACGATACTCTGCCGTTTGAATGCTTCGAAAATTGCTCTTTTCTCCTGAATACGATTTGTTTTTTTCTGCTCCTGTTGTTTATCATCGGCTGATCGAAAATTATCATAACGTAATCGAAGAGATGGACTAATTCGTTGTGGCATTGAAGAAAGTGAATTCCAAACATTATTTGTACGAACAAATCTTTGTTCACGTCGTGTACAAGAATTTCTCAAACGTGTATTTCGATTATTGGTGGAGTCTTGAGAGTAGTTGGTATTTTCTGTATCACTTTCGTCGGAACTATCAACTGATATGCATTTATTGAAGCGTTGTTGTCTCACATTCATAAGATTACTTGTTCTTTGTTTTTCGATAAGCTTTTGGAATTCTTGATTTTGCATAAGAATATGACCAACAATTTCTTCTACCGTTTGTGGTTGAGGTTCTTGTTGATCATTTGTATCTTTGGTCTCGGAAATTGATGAATTATTTTCAGAATTTATTGTAGAATTATCGTCTTCATTTGTCACAATAGTGCAGTCGCTTTCTGTATTTCCAAATTCAGTATCGACTGGATCTTCTTTTTGTTCCTCATCGGACATATTTAAACTGATATAAGATTGAAAACCAGGTTCAGATTTTCGTCTCCAGCTTGTAAAACGATCCTGCAATTTATAAAAAAATTGTAATAAAAAATAAAAATAAAAAATTACAAATTCTCACCTTAACTTTCGAGGCACGTGTATCACATGATCTATTAAGACTTTGTTCTCTGGATCCATTTTCTTCAGTTTGGTTTGCGAGAGAAGACTACAAAAAAAAACAATTTTATTTAGCAAAATTTTTATCTAAATTTTAACATCATTTTTTTTTGTCACTTACATTATCATCAATTTTTCTTCCTTTCTTTAATTTTTGTCGAACACCAGTTTCCGATCTTCTCCTCTCTCTTTCTTGCTTCCGCTTTTCTAAATATTCCGGCGGTGATGAATATTGTTTCTTTGCTAAAACTTTGTCTATCGTGCTACAGTCTTCTATAATTAAAAAATAATTTTATTTTCTTTCTTTTAAAAATTAAAATTTATAAAAAAAAAATTACCTTCAGATTGCCTTTGCCCAATTTGCAAGACCAATTGTCTCGCATGTGAAGGTATCACAGCATTATAATTCTCTAAAATCACGCTCTTTATCTGTAGAGTCCATTCTCTCTTTTGTTCTAAATTCCGCGCCTGTGAGAAATTTTTTTTATTTTTTGAACATCAGTAATAAAAATTAAAATATATAGAAAAATTTGTTTACCTGTAACGTATATTGTAATCGTGGATTATCAAATGGGATGACGTGAAAGCTGAAAGGTTCACCAGGAATACTTTCAATCAACATAAGATTTGAACACTGGAAAAAAATAATAGTTTTTAGTTAAACGAGATCTTTTTTAGAATAATAGAAAATTAATTTAGAATTATAAATATACCATAATATGAGTTTTATAAACAAGTAGACCATCTTCCTTTTTTTTGGTGAGGAGAAGCATTTTCTCAAATAAGAAAGCGTGCCTTGGAGCTTTGGCTCCTCTCATTCGAAATCTTCCTTCTGCGACCAATTCACCACTTGTTGTTAAATCAGGACCTGTCCAGCCATACAATAGAGACTGTATTTCTTGAACTCGCACAGCGTGTTCGTGTTTCTTTTGCATAGCATTGATATGATCCGCAATACCGTTCATCGCCTCTAGAGCACCTTCAATCGCTTTACTGCCTTCAGTTTGGTTCTCTTTGTCATAATAACCAGCACCGTACTCTTTTGATAAATTCTATAATAATTAATCAACATAATTATTAAAAATCTTTTTATAAGAGGAGAAAATCATAATAAAATAAAAAGTAGAATTTACCTTTAGAAGTAGATGGTACTTTAAAATTCTCTGAACTGGTTTTAACAAATATGCTCCGAGGGGTAAAGCATGGTCCAGTGCTGCTTGTCGTTCTTTAAAAGCACTCGCTAATTCCTCTTGACTCATAAGTTTCGTTAATACTGAAACTGTCCTGCAATCAAAAAACATGTTTATTTTTTTCTTTATTAAAAAAAAAAAAAATAAATCGAATATTTTACCTTGGATAATTTGTGCAATACTCAGTGTAAACTTTAAATCCTGAATTGTGTTTAATAAAAGTATTTGCCACGCAAATTGGATCTAATCCACAATTTTCTATTTCGGTAAGAAATTGACTATTAAATTTAAAAATATCTTCAATATTGCTAAATAAATCATTAAGTTGTAAATGATGTACTAGTGAAGCTGGATCGTCTCGCCAAAATATAAGATACCCCTTTAAAGAAAATGATAAATTTAAATTATTGTTTTAAATTTTATTTTCTGGAAAAACATTTAAATGACTTACTTGAATGACTTGTCGAAGATGTTCAACATAAATAGCTTCGGTATCGACAATTTCAACGAGAACTCTTTCGACAGGATTTCTATGGGGATCACAATATCGTGGCCTATGATGTAATAGAGGATTATTTTTTATACTATTTCCATCTTCAATTCGACAACTAGCTTCAGAAACTGTTACAACCACACCGCTGTCTCCTGAGCCTAAAGAAAATAAATGTTTTTTTATTATTATTTAAATTACTATTATTAGTTGATAATAAACTATAATAGTTTCTTGATAGTTAATTAAAAATCATAGTAATAATTAATATCCAATATAGAAAAAATTATTTCTCTACGATTTTCATTTCCAAATACTATATTATTAATTTCTTTTTATTCTCAACTTTCTATAATGAATTTACTTTTGGTAAAAATGATAGTTTCCCTATTTAATTAAAGAATCATCTTCATTTTTTTTTTTTTCTACAATTTTCCAAGTATTAATTATTAGCTATATAATAATTTTGAAATTAATCAAAAGAGAGAATTATCGACATTCCGTGATCGTTGTTTCTTTTTTTTTTTTTTCGCTCGTTACCTTGAGAACTGGCACAAGTGTCAGCAAGTGATTCGACAGAGGTCAAGCAGGGATTAGCAGGGCACGTATTTTCCTGATTACTACAGCCACTCGATGATGTACTGGAAGCAATGGAACTTCCGGATAATGGCCGACTTCCCGTTCTTCGATGTCTATTATAACGAAGCGCTGTTAAATCATTATTATTATTATTTTGATAAAGTGACTTGTCATCGGACACTGAACGTTCCTTGAGTGTACTTTGTGATGAAACAGTGTCATCATTCTTATCAATTTTGGAATTAATGTTGCTGCACATTAATGATGCTTCCAACTTATTCGAACCATCTTGGGATTTATTAGACTCCATTTCGTTTGTTACTTCTTCCCAATTGGAGTTGTTGATCATTGATTCGGAAGAGCACAAAGGACCCAATATGGATTCACGATGAGATTGTGAGACCAAGCTGAGACGTTTTTGTAGGGCTGCTGGTATGTTGCAGGATGATGGCAGGACTACATGATTCGTGTAGCCATTCCCCCTTCTTGCAAGCTCGTCGAACATCCCAAGCAACTGAGGCACTAAGTCTGTCGAGGTACCTGTAAAAAGAAAAATAAACATTTATACTTTATTTGGAAGGACTTTTTTCAAAAAAAAAACCAGAACACTTGAAAATAAACTTGTTTTGATATTTTTTATTTTTAATAAGGTTTAATATTATGAAAGAATTGTGAAATTCTTTAATATTATACTGATAGATTAAAAATTATCATTTTGCTGGTAGAGCGAGTTTTTGCGATCAAACGATATTGGAGGGATATATAATTCGTGTAGCATTTTGCGAAAGTGTATATACAGATTAGAAAGAAAAAAATAATAATAAAAGAATTAAATTCCAATTTCCCATGAGGCGGCAGACGGGAAATCGATGTCTAGCCATACATCCGCTATACTATAAACATTCTTTAGTCAATATTTTCTAAAAACACTTCCTTTTTTTTGCTACTCATAATCTTCTTTAATTTTTTTCCCCTTTTTTTTAATAATTCAAAAATTATTTTTTAAAAATAATTACAAAATCGAAAATATTGGTAAAAAAAAATAAAAATATTGCTAGATTTAATTAACTTGAAGATGAAAACTAAAGATATCGGGAATGACATCATAAATGTTCTGATATACCTCAAGTTTCGATTTTATTAAAATTAATTGAACAATGTTCTACTTTAAGTGGAGACCGGACGCATCCGAGATTCCGGTGCATCTGTTCATTGATCGAAGATCATTTAATCTGCTCATAATAAATTAATGCGGTCAGTGTCGTGACTATATTTATTTGATATATATATAGAATCAAAATGATGAATAAAATTTCTAATAATAAAAATATAAATATAAAAAGAAAATTAATAAATAATATTTTAATAGAAAAAATAATATTTTAATGAAAACTAATAATATTTTTATGAAAAATATAATTTAATGAAAAAAATTATTTTTGTATAAAAAAAACTTTGTTAAACAAGCACCAACGAAAGGAAATAAATTATAAAATTAAAAAAAGGGGGTAAAATGTGTTTAGTGAATAATTTTCGCAGATGTGAACAGCAAGTGCAACTTTTATAGGAGGAGAAAAAAAAATGCTCTAATATTATACCACGTGGTACTTTTCATATTCGAATAGAAGATATTTCATTCATGTCGGACTGAAATTTTATTCTATGTATAACGAACTTGTGCATCAATATATATATATATAAAGCTTGGAGGAGCGCGTTGAACTCACCACAGGCCGATATTTATACTTTTTATAACCCATACGACCTACAACGATGAGACTCGTTGGCTACCTAAATTCTCTTTATATATGCATGAACCGTGCACTATCTTCACGAAATATATTAGTACTAATATTTTCTTCTTGTCAAAAATCAAGTTTTATTATACAACTTGTCTGCGAGTTGCCTTCAAACGAAAGATAAACTAACTAATAAAATTCACAATTTCAAAGGAACAAAATTTACAATTTTAAAAACTAAATTTTTAAAAAAATTTTAATCATTTAGATAATTATTATATATATATATAATAATAAAATTCTTGGTCTGTCCTTCTGTCCTAACTTGAAGTTGGCCTTTTCTGATTTCACGTGTTTTTTTTTTAATAGTAATCTTATGACGTGTCAAATTTTGACAATTCTTTTTCTCATTTTTGCCAAAGTTGTATAATTGTGTTTCCAAATTTCTGAATAAGTTTATTTAAAATTCCAAATTTGAAAATTCAATCCACGAAGCTGAAGTACACAACGTTTACCAACGAAATTTTTTTTAAAGTTGTATATTGATTCAAAAATTGTATAAAAATACAAAAAATTTATGATGAGAAAAAAGATGTGCCAGGAAATTTCGTACAAGATAGTAATTTGAAAAAAAATAAATTTTTAAAAATAAATTTTTAAGGTACCAGGGACCAACGAGTACCTATTAAATATTAATTATAAAAACACAGGCCTCGAATCAACTTAAAGACACAAAAAAGTCGTTTTAGTCGATTTATATTTCAAAAAAAAGTGTATTTGTTTTTTACTTTTAACAAAAATATTTTACAGATTTTTAAATAAAAAATTTTTTTTTTTAATAATAATCCTTTTCGAAGGGTTAAAGTTGAAATTTTTAGAAATAATTAAATTTCAAAAGATATTGTTAATTTTCAAACAATTATTAAATTTTACTGAACTAAAAATAATTTATCAAACAATTTTTGGAAAACATTTTTTAAATTTAATTGAATTTTCAAAGATTTAAAATTGAGATTTTTGAAATTAATTGAAACTTTAAGTGTTTTTGTAATTAAAATTTTAGATGATTTCACTAAAAATTTATTAGAAAATATGCGGACAAAATACAATAATTTGAAAATCATTTTTAATTGAAAAAATGGTTTCAGATAGTTGAATTTTCAAAGAATATTATTAAAATAGTTAAAAATAATTGAATTTCCTTAGAGTTATAATTGAAATTATTAAATTTCAAAAAAAAAAAATTTTCGATGGAAAATTTTAGAAATAATTAAATTTCAGATGCTTTTAAGTTCAAATCATTGAAAATTCAATTAATTTTGAATTCAAATATTTGAGAATAATGAAATTTAATTTTGATTTTAAATTTGGAAAATAATTGAATTTCAGTTCATTTTGAATTGAAAATTTTGGGAAATAATTGAATTTTACTTGAAAATATGGATAATAATTTAATTTAAGTTCATTTTTGATTGAAAATTTGGATAATTAATTTTGAATAGAAATTTTAGAAAATAATTGAATTTTATTTCATTTTAAATTGAAAACTTGGTAAATAATAAAATTTTAAATTGAAAATTTTGGATAATTATTGGATTTTTAATTGATTTTGAATTAAAATTTCGGGTAATAATGTTCATTTTGAATTGAAATTTTTAAAAAATAATTCAATTTTATTGTGATATTTTTTTTTTAAATTATAAACAATTGTTAAATTTCATAAAAATTTTAATTGAAAAATAATTTTGATATAATTGAATTTGTGATATATTTCATTAAAATTATTAAAAATAATTAATTTAGTGAAGAATCATTTTAGTTTAAAATTTTTTAAATAATTGAATTGAAGAAGATCTGAAAAAGATCTACATTTTATACTAAAAAAATGTATTTTATTTACATTTTTTTCAAATGTAAAAAAAAAATGTCGCATTTTATGAAAATAAGTCGATAAAAGTCGTATTTTTGAAAAAAGTCGGAAAAAGTCGTATAATCCGAGGCCTATATAATTTTCATTATTATCATTTAATATGTAATAATATTCTAATAAATTAAATTATTATTGATAATATTAATTTTTAATTTCTTTATAACAAACAATTAAATACTCAATTTGGCGCGTTTGCGCGCGTTTAATTTTGCTAGTTAATTATAAATAATTAATTTTACATTTAAATAATTTAATTATAATAATTATTTTACATTTAAATAATTTAATTATAATAATTAATTTTACATTTAAATAATTTAATTATAATAATTAATTTTACATTTAAATAATAAAGAAATTATTTTCCATATTGTTTTGTTTTTTTTTCTTCATAAAATTATAAAAGATGTGAAAAAAAATGAAATCTTGTTGTGTGAAAAGAAGGAGAAATCTATTTAATTTACTTACACTTTAGCTTTAGAAAAATTTTCAATTATGTTTATACATGTGTTAATATATGTTGCGACATAAAAGTGAGACTCATTTTCATTTAACGACATTGTAATGTATAATAACTGAGCAGTGTGAAACGAAGGAACAAGATGTATTTTCTCCTTCCTATGGATAACATATGTTGAATCAATAATACTAAAATAAATATTACTTCATAATTTTATTTTTTAAATTTATATATATATACAATTAATAAAATTTGTTTATATGCTTTTAATACAGTATCCGAATTGAATTATATAAATAAATTTTCTTCAAAATAATTAGGAATAAAAATACGAAAACTAATGCAATGGAGTGCAAGGCAAAAAAAAAAATTAATATTCTCAATTGGCGCCGCGTAATTTCATGATATGAAAATTTACGAGTGCGATGGTAGTATAAAAACGAGGAAGGGGACGGCTTTCATTGACGAAAAGATCTTTCAAGTGGTATTGGCGCCCATAGAGAAAAAAAAAAAAAAAAAAAAAAAACCGCCATGACTCAACGACTTTTGTATATATGACACTCAAGGAATTTACTTTGATCAATGTTTTGAAATGGAAAAAAATTCCTTTTAAAATTTTTTTTAATTCTCAAATTAAATATTTGAAAAAAATACGAGAATTTGGAATTGTAATTTTTTTTGGAGAGAGAGAAATAAGAGAAGGATTTTAAAAAGATGAACTAGTTCAACCTGTATAAAAGGAGAGGGCCGTCAACCTCTTGAGGTCTCTGGCCTCCATTTTATGAAAAAGAAAAATTAGATTTCTCAACTCATAAAACTTATAATCGACAATTACTATCAACACGTTTTCCTTCATGCGATTTATTACAGAAAAAAAAATGCATCTTTTCCTTTTTTTTACATTTCATATATAAAAAAAAAAAAATGTTCTATTATTAATTTTTTTTTGTGGGGGGAAAAATTTATTTATTTTATTTATTTAAAAATAAAAAAAAATAAATATAGAATCTAAAATAAAAAATTTTCTATAGAAAATTATGTAATCTTTTTTAATTTTTTTGTAACTCACTCTATTTTTTTTACTGGTTGTTTTTATCAGTGATCAATGGACAAAATTCTTGACATTTTCTGAGTTTCACGTTATACATCCCAACGCGATTAGAACTAAAGTAAAATTCCAGAGACGGTTGTCAATGGACAACTGAGACCATCACGTCATTTTGTAGTGACGAAATACACATGGAAAATAAAAAGAAGAAGAGACAAAAGTGATTGTTAACATTAACCGGATACAATATGATGATTACATAAGGATGCAGAGTGAATCAAGCTCGATTTTCTCCTTTATTTCCTAGATCCAATTTTCAATCTTATAATCGGAACAAAGTTGTTCATGAAAATTGATGTCAATTCTAATCACGATTAAATAACAAAATTTAATTTCAAATCTTAACATATTAAAAAGAATTTATTCTCCTTGAATTTTTTTACTTAAAATAAATATAAAAATAAATAAATAAAAATTATTACTAAATACAATTAGTAATTCATAATTCTGGATTTAAAAAAAAAATTAGCATTTATGTAAACTACAATGTTTTTTCTGGGGATAAAAAATGCATACATACATCTTCACCGGAAAGAGTGTTTTGTTATCATTGCGGTGTATTAGATAATAATTCTGGGGAAATGAAATAAAAACTGGAATTGAGGTCTTTAAATTTATCTGACATTTGTTGGTGCTTAAAAAAAAAAAGTTGTTTAAACATTATTTTTTCCATGAATTTCATAAGTTGCTACGTTACAATGTAAACATATCAAAAATGTTTCTTTTTTCGTTTTTAAAAAAAAGAAAATTCCAAATGTGATTTTGATCAGGTTTATATTTATATGTGAATATATTGTAACTCATATATATATATATGTAAAATTATATTCATATCGATTCCCTTCGTAATCGAGGCGTATCGAAATTACTGATAAAATACGATTAGAGCAATTTATTACTTGCATAATAAAGCAAATAAAGCGATCATCTATCAATATAACGCTAAGGTATATATGTATCAAAAACCGGGTGGAGTCCGAAACAATATATGTTTTGCATCAGTAAAGATACAATTTTTTTTCAATGCTATTTAATGGAAATGAAAAATTATCTCAAAAATTATATAAATTAATACCTAAATAATAATATTAATTATCATTAAACATAATTAATTATTATATTAACAATTATTAAATATAATTAATATTAATTAATTATTATTATATTAATAATTATTAAATGTAATTAATATTAATTAATTATTATTATATTAATTATTATTAGTATTATTATTAATAATTATATTAATTATTAAATTAAATTAATAATTATAATTAAAGTTATAATTTTTCCGATATAGATTCTAATTTTTTTTTAATTATTGCATTTTGTTTAATTATTCTTAATTCCAGCGGTGCAGTTTTTTTTTTACTAATTACTATTTTCTACTGATTTCTAATGACTGTTTCGAATGAGTAATTATTGCTTATTACTTGGCAATTAGAAAAATAGTTAATAAACCATTTAGTAAATAACTATTACATATATCATTCAATTTTTAATTGTTTGAAATGTACAGTTATTGAATAATTTATTTATCACGCAAAATAACAAATTTTGCTTTTTTTTTAAATAAATATTTATTTAACCGTAAATTATATTATGCGGTAAATATTACAAATTTTCCGGTTATTAATTTAGTCAATTTCCGTGAAAAAAATTGTATTATATAAAATTTTTTAAATTAATAATTATAAATCTTACCGAAATTTTTTTTTAAATTTATTTTCCAATTAATTAAATTAATATATGGCACTTTGAGAACAAGATAATTTACACTTTAATTAGCATCCAACTCATTTATCTCTCTCGTTCTCTCCAGTGTGATGCATAGTCTTTTATTAATCGATCGCATAGATTTTTCCACACACATTTTTTTTGAGTCACATTTTTCACTCACACATACACAAAACTGAAACTAGTCATAATTGCTCCAGAAAAGATGTGGAAAAAGAATTTTTCCAGATTTTAAAAATTCCTAGGCATATATATAAGGGTTGATTTTTTCAATGATGTGTTATAAGCTTTTAACATTGATGATCGGCACGTTTGATTTTTCTTTTTCTCGAAAGAATAGAAGAAAAAAAGAAAAAAAAAAAAGAGTAACGTGAGATTTTTGAGAGCAGGTAACAAAACACAACCTTCACCATCGAGCAACAGGTAGGTACTACTCGCGGTGACTGTGCGTGCTCGATCATGAATGTGGAGGAGTTAACTCTCTGTGTGTTAAAGGAAAGTTCACACTGTGGCTGCACCGTTATTATTTAAAAATAAAATATATATGAAAATTCTTCATTCAAGAATTTCAATAATTTTACTAAAAACTGAAATTACTTTTTATTATCTCAACAAAATTTCATATTATATAAAATTAATTTTTTACAATTTTTTTTTTTTTATCACCCAAAAGGTGTTGAATTATATTCAAATATTGAATTATTTTATTTTAATTATTGAAATTAAAAATTATATTCACTATTTCCTTATAAGATAAACGTTTATTTAGAACGTGCCAACATTACAACCTGAATGATTAATTAATAATAATTCTCTGTCAATATTTTGAATAAAAAAATTTTTTTAATTCCCGTTAAGTTATATACTTACAAAAAGTTTTATTACCGGAAAAATTAAATATGTACAAACAAGAATTGCTTCACAAAGTCATTATTTTATTTTTTGTTCCCTTTTGCAAACAATAATGTAAAATGTTGTTGTATTAAGTCACGTCAAAATGTTCAAAGTTTATGTGTAGACATTCCAATTTCATTTTCAGAAATACATTTTTTTTTTAAATATTATTTATCGGATAATGTTACATTGATAAAAATTTATTTATCATATTTGATTAAACTCAAAAGACATTGTTTTTTAATCTCATTTTTTCAATATCGATTTATTTTTTGTTAGAAAAAAAATTATTTTCGATAAGAATTTTTTTATGTCCCTAAAAAAAATAATTTGAAAGAAATTAAATTTTGAAAAAAAAATTTACAAAAGCTTTAATTATTTTATAATAATTGAAATATATTTATAATATAGAAATCTATAATTAGAGGAGGATTTAACTATATACACTTGATTTAGTATCAACTTCAAGATAATCTATTTCCGTTTGATTTAGGTATTAAGTAGAGATGCACTAAATCTGACAAGTTTGCTCTTTTTAACGTTTATGTTCACAGTTTAAATCTGAAGATGCAATTTCCGGTTACGATATGTGTCTTCAGAGAAAGCCGTTTTGTTTCAAATTAGATTACGACTCCCTATATTCTATGAAAATTATTATATATATATAAACATAAATTCATTTAGAAAGTTTGAAAATATTTATAATAATTAAAATTAAAATATCAATTTAAATAAAAATAAATTAATCGAATAATTAAAATTTAAAATAAAATTTGTTTGGCATTTTTTTTTCTCTAAATTTTATTAATTGGAGAAGAATCTAAAATTTACACCTTTAGTGATAGTCAAACAAAAATTGCATTTTTTCCAAAGGCACAAGGAGGGCCAAAAATGATGCCGAAGAATGTGGTCCTGGACGTACTGACTAAGAGGGTCCGGAAGGTATTTTATCTTTTCAAACGAAGAAAACAATTTCTCTCCACAAGATGAGAGAAAGATGAAGTGAAAGAAAGAAAAGAAAGGGAGGGGGGGGAGATGAAGACAAATTAATTGCAAATTCCTTGTGGCTTCCGTTCGGTGTGAACAAAGCTTGAATTTCATCAAGGTGTATGGTGGGGGAGAGAGTCAATCATTGCAATGAATTACAACGAAGCAGTCACAGCTAGTGACTCACCGCACAATTATATATGAACACACATTCAGATGTATACTAATAATAATATTAGAATACCTTACAGAATCCAGTCTGAGTATCAAATATTATAAATTATTTTATCTATATATTAAGTAAAATACCAAAAATTCAAAAATTTTAATTATTAAAAAAAAAATTAAAAATTTTTGAGAGAGATTTAATTTGATTAATTAATTTAATAATTTAATTAATAATAATAATTAATAATAATAATAATAATAATTAAATGAAAATTAATTAATTTATTATTATTAATTATTATTAATTAATTAATTAATTGTTTTTATTAATTAAATTAATTTATTAATTAATTAATATTAATTAATTAATTTTTAATAATTTAATTTAATTTGATTTTTGAGATTTTTAAAAATATTTTCTAAATAAATACTATAATTCCTTTGAAGAATAATATAAGAAACTTTTCACAATGTTCTTTTTTGGACTTGCCTATTAATTCACAAAGCAATCTTGAAATGTTAAATAAAAATTTACTGTGAGAAGTATAGTAAATTGTTGCAGATAAATTTATTGCGTGACACACATAAGATAGAAAAAAACAATTGTACAATGATAAATCGGAAAAGATGATGCATAAAGGAAAAAAAATTCAATTATTAAAATAAAAATCCTCTTTGCTTTTTGAAAGTAAAGTCAACGAAATGAAAAAAATTATTGTAATTTTCGTTTCACAAATTAAGGATCAAAAATAAATCTCATTGAAATAACATTATCTCCCTTTCTCTCTCGCCCTAAAAATATAATCGTTTATAGATGCAACAAGCATAAATCTTTCTCTATTTTTTGAGAATCAAGAAGAAAATTAAACAAAATTTTTTGAAGAACGGAAGTTGTTCACCAAACCAGAAGCGCTAAAGGAAATGATTATAAATGTCTACCGTGATACTTCCGATTCGTGGAATTTGCGCGCACATATATAAGACTTGTTTATGGAAAAAGGCTGTTTCCGTTAGACGGTGCTTTATACCATCAAGAGGTTATAACGTATATATAAGATTCTTTACGTGTTACGTAAATAGTGTGTATAAGATGAAATATGTGCTTGTTGCCCTCGCGGATATTTGGAATAAAAAAAAAAAGAGACTCACGTGCGCGCTCTTCGGAAACGACGATACCAACCAACCAAAGGATATAAAGGAAAACACACGCTATATGCAACACTAACATATATATATATATATATATAAAATTTATGACTAACACATTTTGCGAAAGAGTTTTGAGTATATGAAGACAATAATTGTTTCTTTAAGAACAGAACATGCATTCTTAATCGGCTCCAGAATGCAGTTTAACCTTCCATTCAAGAAAAAGAGAATCATATACACTGTCTGTTAAAAATTCAATAAATTATCTCATAATAAAAGATTTAGAAATACAAAACTATTCTTTAAGAAAAAATGTTACAAAATTGCATTGGCATTTAAAAAAAAACGATTTTATAGTAATCGTGACTTTTTTTTAAAAAGACTTTTTAATTAACAGAATATTTTTTAGATAATTTTTTGGGACGCATGATTATGTTCTAAAAATCATTAGTCATAATTTACATTTTATCGAATTTTATTTGTCCTAATCAGTTTTGAGCCGAATTTTAATTTGTTCGAAATAGCATTTGGCATAATTTTCATCAATCCGATTTTCTATATGGCAGAATTTTTATATAACGGAAAATTCAACTCACAGAATTTTTATTTCTTCGAATTTTTATTTGTCAGAATTTTTATTTGCTTGAATTTTCATTTAAAATAATAGGCATTTTAAAGAATTTTTATTGGGTATAGAATTTCATTGAATAGAATTTTCATTTAGATGAATTTTCATTTGTTCGAATTATTATTATTTGATATAATTTCCATATAATCGATTTTTCATACTACAGAATTTTTACTTAACCGACAAATCATTTAATAGAATTTCTAATTGATAGAATTTTCATTTGTCCGAATTTTCAAATGGCCGAACAAACAATCGACAGAAAGATGTCGGCGCGATTTTTAAAATCAACCAATCAAAAATTATTCATAAAATTGTGATTGGTTGATTTTAAAAATCGCGCTGAAATCTTTCTGTCGATTGTTTGTTCGGCCATTTGAAAATTCGGACAAATGAAAATTCTATCAATTAGAAATTCTATTAAATAAAAATTCGATACATATTCTGTTAAGTAAAAATTTGTTTTAAAAAGAAATTCTGTCAAATGTTAATATAAAAATTCGGGTAAAAAATAATTATATATCTACACGGAAAAAATTATACTATTTTAAAAGGTAAAACCCGAATTGTCCGCACAGTTTCTGTGTATTTCTGGCAAATTTTACTCCAGAAATAGTAAAATTGACTAAATCCAGAATAATTTTTACAATTTCAGGAGTAAATTTTACTATTTCTTAAGTAAAAATTGCCAAAAATGCGCTGAAACTGCGGACAATTCGGGTTTTACTTTTAAAACAGTAAAAGTTACTTTATTTGTATATTTCCATTTTTCTCCGTGTGTAATAAAATTCTTTAAAATGAAAATTTTAACTAATAATTTTTATGTGGGATAATCATGCAACCCCCAGAATCTGTTGAGGAACGGCCTTTAATGTCTATATAGGAAAGAATTTTTTTGTAATCATATGTATTACAATATGGTCGTAAAAATTAATGCAATTCAAAAAATTAAACTTCCTCAATGAAATAAGAGATCAAGAGAAAAAAATTATTTGAGTAGGCGAGAAGAAGAAACGGGCATAATTAGGACAAGTAAATTCAATTACTCTAGGCATTTAGAGTGAGAATATAATTTAGAAATTAAAACCTTAATTCCATTGCGAAAAAAAAACCAATAAAATTCTAAACGTTAAAATTGTAAAGAAATTTCAAATAATTTTAGATTTTTAATATTTGCGGCATTACGAAGCTGAAGTACGCAACGTTTATATAAACGATTTTTAAAGAAATAATTTTTTGCCTAAAAAATATTTTTTGTATAATTTGTTAATTAATGAAAACTACAAGTAATATTTTTTAGGCAAAAAATTATATAGAATTTTTCATTGTAAAAAATTATTTCTTTAAAAATCGTTTATATAAACGTTGCGTACTTCAGCTTCGTGCGGCATTTAAAAAAAAACTTTATTTGTCAAAAAATATTCACATTTTCGGAGAAACTGCGAAACTTCCCTAAAGATACAATTATTTGAATATACGCAGAGTCCAGACAGTTTTTTTCCGCTACTTTCACATAGGCGCCACTATAAATGTTGCAAATTATATCACGGTAGAAATATATATATGTACCTAAGTTACATGATTTATATAATTTTCTTTTGT